CGACCCTTTGTCCGCCAGTTGTTTGGGACTGATGACGAGTGCGGGGTCTGCAATGCAAGCATTGAAGAGGATTTCAGAACCCAGTACCAGCGCAACATGGTGCACTGGTGCGTTGACACTTTCCGATAGTAGAGGGGTCATGGCGTCTTCGTCTTGCGAGTCAGAGTCGCACTCATCAGCACAAACCTTGGCAGCCTTGAGAAACGAGTGCTCGAGCAAAACTTAAGATTCGGATGACACTGGCTGAATATGGCTCGCGACGGGAGCTGGGCAACTTAACGCGTCGCATCTGCCATGCATTCCGCTCCAAGGCTGGACGGACACAACAATCCCAGAGACCGGACATTCCAACCAGGACCAGCACGGAAACACCTGGCAAAGGAATGCCGCGCACAGATTGCCACGAATTTGCTGTGCCCACGGCATAGCGAACACATGGGCTGCCAAACTATGTTGAGCACCGTGCGGGTCAGCTGAACAAAGATGGCCAAACAGGCTTGCGGTCGTAATCTTGGACGTTCGCAGTGAAAGGGTCCCAGCCGAGTTCGCCGAAAACTGCCGCGCCCGGGGCACTTGCAGGCCAGCCAAGCAATCGCCCACCCCAATGCCGCAACTGCTTGTGAAGGCGACGCGCAGAAATGTCAGCAAGAAAGGCAGCCCCATGTGGCATTGCCGGCGGTGTGCAGGTGGCGTACGATGGATGGAAATCTTGCACCGCCTGTGAACGTATTGCTAGAGGCTGCACCACTCCTGGAGACGACTCAAATCGGTTGCCACAGGCAGGCCTTGCAAAATCGGTGCAAGATTTCCCCCAGTCCCCAGCATGGGCTGTGCGGAGGCTTCAGTTGACTGCCAGGTCGGGCACTCAGGTATCGTGCGTTCCGGCAACATTCAGTCAACGTCACAGTCAACGATGTTGGCATGGCCAGCAATTCCTTGAAAAGCATAAAACTAAAAGCTTGAGGTGTTTGGCGTTTACGCTTGGAAACCATGGAAAAGCTGGCAGGCGTCGCACTTCGGCAACGTTGACTGTAACGTTGACGGTCACGTTCAGTGAACGTTGACGCAACGTTGACTGAACGTTGGCTGAACGTTGACAGACCGTCGACGGTGAAAGCGCAATTGACGCGACCGGAGGCCTGACGTGTAGTAGTTTGAGGGCTTTGCTTCGGATTCCCTACCTGCTGATCGGTGGGTCAGACCTGCTTTGAACTGGGTTCCGAATTGGTCTCGCCGCATGGGGCGACCCAGGTACCAATGGGATTCCATGCTTCAAAACTTCTGTCGGTGGAAACGATGTGAGAACTGGCAACTTGAAGCCCAAGATGAGGCGAGATGGTCAATGCGGCAATGCTGTTTTCGGACTTTCTGTCCTTCATGGACCGCGTGTGAGCGCCGGTTTTCTGTACAGTTCTTGCTAAATTTGCCTGAGCCCTAAATGGGTTGCGCCTACGGGCTTTCAGGCTTAACTCTGATTCTGAGCATAACGACTACCAACCCATAACCTTGACATCGTGCTTTGCAAAAACTTGAGAAAGGTTGATTTTAAATCGCATCAGGCCGGACGTGGATGCGCAGCTTGATCCTTCCCAGGCAGAATTTCGCTGGGGATCCGATGTTCAGGTCTATGCTCTGTTGGAAACTCTTACGTTGCGCACGCTTTGCGCTTTCCTGAGGTCCACAAAGCGTTTGTTGTGGCCTGGCGGGACGGCGCTTTTCTTCTCCCTTTGTACGACAGGCAGTCAGCGGTCCCGGTGCAAAAGCCGGCAGGTTTGCGGAGTGCAACGAGGCGCCCGAGGCCATGGGCGGCGGCGATGGTGGGGGGGGGGGGAGCCGGGCGAGTGCGATCTCGCAGAAGGCGGCCTCGTCCTGGAGGAGGCGTGGCGCCGCGCCGCGAGCGGCGCAGTTTGGTTGGAGAGCATGGCAGCGGCAAGGAGTGCGACCGGCGCGTCGGGAACAAATCCGGGTCAAGCGGTGCATACGGCTGGCTGGGGCGGCAGGCGGGGTCACGCAACCGTTGGAGCGTTGCATCGTCGCCAGGGGCAAGCGGCTCGCTGAGCAGGGCCCGCCGGGCGGCAGACAGCACTCCCAAGCGCGCAAGGTGGCGGCCCTGCTAGCACGTTGCTCAGCGATGGGCTCACTGGCAGGGGGCTTACGCGGCCTGCTGAACCTGCATGCTGTTGCCAGGTGCATAAACGATGACCGTCTGGTAATTTGCAGTCTCCATGTGCTTGACTAACACCACATCCCAATCGCAAGTTGATAATTTTAACGCTACGCGACCCGTTTCGCCCCGGCCCAGTGCGTCCGCGTGAGCATGGTGATTCCGCAGCGCCCAAGTCGCTGGACCTCAAGCAATAAGGTGAGCGTGGGACGGCTGATGCGTCCGCATCGTCCGCCGACCTGAACTCCGACCACAACCAGTCGGCAGCTGCTGGAATTCCAGGTAGGTCCGGTGCTTGCAGTCGACTGCCTGGTTCAGCGCGAGGCCTGGCTCATGATCAGCCCGCGGATGCGGCTGGCCATCCCGGCATATGCGGCTAACGATCGTCGCGTCAACGGCGATCTGCGCGCCCTGCCAAATGGAGAGCCGTTGGCCACCACTTCGATCCGGCGCGTGTCGGCCGCAGGCACATCCAGGTTGAGGATGGTTGAGGTCACGCAGGACGACATGGGGCGGCGACTCGGGCGCCTGCTTCCCTACAGATGCGAGCCGCCGCCTGCTCAAGGGGGCCAGCTCTCCTGGCCAGCACACCAACTTGCGCGCATGCGGAGCGGTGGTCCCCGTAGACGTCCAAGCTTCCACCACAAGAGCAGCGCCGCGGGGGATACTGCAGGTGGCGCATGCGCGGCAACTGCTGGAGCAGGCGGTCCTGCTCGTGCGCACGAGGCCCCCATCCGGGCGGGAAGTAACGCGCCAGCACGCCTGGAGCACAGGTTAGAACTGCGTGTGTCGCCGCTTCCCGACATGTCGATGGGAGCTGCATTGCCGAGGGGACAGATTGCAAGACTTGTCGGGCAGAAAACTTGGCAGCTTCGAGGACTGCCGGCCATCGCCCCACGACCATAGCGAACGCAAGTTTCGGCGGGGCGGACGGGCTTGACGATCAGCATTGGCCATGATTTGCTCAAGCTTTTGGACACGAGAGCCTTGAACGGACCCTGAACAATTCCCACTATCCCAGCCTGTCCCCAAACGCTGGTTGCAAAGTCGCCAATTGCTGCCCCACCGAGGCTATCACTCGCTCAATTTCGCTACGCACAATGTTTGCTACAGTGGCAACGGACAAGCCCACGTCTCCTCCCACTTGCAACTCTAATTCCTCATCGTTATCATCATCCATCGCAGTCAGAGGAGAACGAGTGGCCCGTGTCACTGCTTTCGTGATTCCGACATAGTTAAAATCACGTCAACAGCTGCAGGTTCTGCCACACCGAGCAGTCAGCCCCAAAGACCATGCAACTACTCGTCCCTACTTTCGGCTGTTCTTACTGGTTGAAGGAACTACGCATGCTACCTTGGAAACATGCGCACGTTGTATGTGCAAACACGCGAGCGCGCCGTTGACGGGTTTGCCGCGAGGCCCGCAACGTCCGCGTCGCCGACATGAACATCGACGTACCCGTCGCTGACGACAGGCGCATCGCCCCTTGGCACGGCTCGCAGCTCGCGGTTGACGCCGCGCTCGTCTCCCCGCTCGCACGTGCGGGCGAGCCCCACCTGCGGGGCGCTCTGTCACCGCAGCAGCACGGCGCAAGCGACACGGCACGTACCCCGAACTCCTCCACGCCGGGCGGTGCCGCCTCGTCGTCCTCGGCCTGGAAGAGGATGGGCGCTTTGGCACCGAAGCAGCCGCAGCCGTGGGAGCAGCGAAAGTGCCCGCACTCGGTGGCCCGGTCGTACTCCCACCAAAGCCGGCTGCCGCAACCTCCGCACGCCTCTCCGGCATTTGACGGGACATGGATGTCATCCAGCTGGACGTCCCGAGCACACCCAGGGCATACCCAGGCAGGTTGCCAAAACGTCGCACTGCAACGGGAAAATGCCTGCGCTGTGTGCTCCGCCGGCTCCCCCAAACCGAGGCTTCGCTTTCGCCCGTTCGGGTCCACGTGAAACATTACAAGCGTCAGACTGTTCCTGCTGCTAGTGGACCACGGTCCTATAAGGACATGGGGAATGGGGGCGTGCTTGGTGGGCCGGCTACCTCGGACGAGCCGTGAGCTCGAGCACCGCCGGGGCGACAACCCTTCGCCTTGAGTGCGTGCTCGCCACCCGTTCGCGTGAGCCGAGCGCGCTCGCACTGTAGAGCTTGCGGGACGCCGGACACTTCTGGTTCGCCCTACGGCCGCCCCTGCTCTCCGCCTTGATGTCGGGGTGGACGCATCCTGCATCACCGGGTGTCTCTCTCGCTCTCACTCCTCGACCTGGTGGCATGCTGTGCAGCGGTGGTTGTTTTGCTTGCTGTTTTAAATGTGTTCAGCAGCAACACCGTCCTTGATGTATCGAAGCAATCGCCACTCTGAAACCGCCACTCAACACAGGCGAGGTTACGCTTACCAAACGTTAGGAAATGGAAAAACACGTGATGCGTCCATCTGTTTACCCAAAGGAAAAGGCGTGCTTTGCGGTACTGCTTGTGGTGGTAGGTCTTGGACAGGAGCAGTGCAACCACACAACCACAAATTTCCTGAAGTTCCCGTGGTCCCAAGCCTTGAGACGTGTCGCTTGGTGGGACCTGGAGGCCACGCGGCAGAAGTTAGATGAGAGGGGACCTTTCGGTGCTACGTGAAAAGTTAAAATGCTAATGTCAAGAGCTGCTGTGGAGGTTTGTTTCGTTGGCCGAGGCGTTTAGATGAAAACATTGGCAGAAACATCAGGTTGACGGCTGCCAACAGTTAGATTTGGGCTCAAAGCGCCCAACAAACAGTGTAGTAGTCTGCTTCAGTACATGTTTGCCTAAGAGCTGATGTGAGTTGTGTTGGCTCGCACCTGGAAGTCCATGCTGCTTGCCACCGCTTTTTGTGCCTGAGCCAGTTAGGGTAAAGCATTTTTTCTGTGACTTGGTGGTTTTGGTTTGGCCCTGGCTTGCGGGGCCGCTTAGAGGCAGCAGTCCCTGAATTTCGCAAGCCGAGGCATGGGCATCAGGTTGGCTTCATCAACGAGACCTGCGCAGCAGGATGTTCTGCTTGCACGTCCAGGCGACGGAACAGTGGCATGGGTGTGTTTTCTAATCTTTCTAAGTTCCAGCAGGGCATTTCTTGGTGTGCAAGGCGACGGCTGTTCTACGTTGTTTCAGATCGTTACACTTGGCTTCTCGGGATGCAATCGTGACGGGCTCGAGAAAGATGGGTCCTTGAACGATCGTGTGTCACGATCAGAACTGAAAGTGAACATTGTGCATTCTGATCGGATAATGTTGCCCCGAGAATTCATTCCCATGTTCCTCACTGCCGATTTGCGGTTCGTGCGCAGGTACGGAGGAGACACTACACCGCTGGCCTGACTCGCGCATTCTGCCGAGCTCGTGTGAAGACAACGGTGTGATCGCACTCGCGCCCGGGGTCACCTATCACACGAAGGCAACGGCGTCTTCATCATATGGAGGGCCTGTTTCTATCGAAGCTGTTAGGTTCATGGGTCTTTTTTTGTAGGTAGTAGCTGGTTTGTCAGTGACTTATAGTGACTTCGAGGTTGCTGTGATGCTTCAAGTAGCATGGCGTAGATCTGCCACAGGTGCGTCTACATGTGTAATTTTCGCACAATGCCAAACCTCGGTAAACCCAAAGCATCCTCGAAGGTGGGTCTCCACCCTATCCAGGCACACTGCCACACATTGCAGGGAGCACTCGGGGCTCAAATCCTTTGCTTTGGGGGCATTGATTTCGAGAACAAGAACGTGACGCTCCGCGGGCCCCTCCTTGTGGCGATGGCCCCGGGAGTTCCGAACCTCCAAAACGCCTCGGCGATTCAGAGCGCCGGGGATCTACGAGCGGTGGCGCCCGAGGGTAGCGTGATGCACTTCAAGCACATTTCCAGTACAAGCCCCGGGGCGGCGTTGCATGCAAATCACAACATTTGGTTAGAAGGATTGGGAACCATGATGTTCGAGAATGTGGCCAGCGAACAGTATGGTGGTGCAGTGGGCACATTTCATTTCGGCGTCGTTGTCACAGTGGCTAACATAGCTTTCCTAAACTGTTCCGCACGCTTCTCAGGCGGTGCCATTTGTGCTGGTTCTTCCGTTCACCTGGACAGCAGAAGCAGAAACGACACCATTCGGTTTGAGAGCTGCAAGGCCGGGTGGCGTGGGGGGGCAGTAGCAAGCTGGGGTGAGACAAAGCTTACTGGTGCAGGTTCCTATTTTTTTGAGCAATGTCACGCAGTATTTGAGGGTGGCGCACTAGCGGCGGCTAAGTCGGATATCATGATCGCGCTCGAGGCGCGAGGCTCCGTGGATTTCAGAGAGTGTACCACCAATGGTCAACATGGCGAAAACTTGCTCGGTGGAGGAGCTGCAAGTGCGATCCGGGAGGTCCATCTCAGCAGCGGCCGCGTCCGCTTCTCCGGATGTTTGTCAGACAGTCAGCGCGGCAACGCCGTGATGGTGGCAAATGGCATCCTCCGCATTGATGAGGAAGCTCGCGTTTTGCTTGCTGGCATGAATGCATCGAATGGCCCGGCCTTTTTTGCACGAATTGGGATCATTCCTCCTGCTGGTGACGTGCTCCCGTCAGATGTGTTCTACATGAAGAATTTGCTAGCATCCCGTGCCATGCACCAGCACGATGACAAGATCTGTCCTCCTGGATCCAGATTCTTGATGCGCGCAGATGGCAGCCCTGAACTCGGCAAGTGCGTCCTGTGCCCGATTTCCACCATATCCCTGGCTCCGTCATACGTGAAGGTTGACGGTGAGGTCACCGCCCCAGCAGCTGGAATGCGAGTCGTACTCGTGCATCGGTCGTCCCCCAACTCGTTGAGTTCGCTTGGCATCCCACTCATCAGCAATGTCACGGAGCGAGAGGATTCCGTCTGTGCGAAGGCGCCGGGATGCTTGCAACTCGGTTTTGCAGCCGGGGAGTGGGACGCTTGGTGGGAGTGCGCACCCTTGGTACTCGCCCGTCACGACGCGCTGTTAATTTCCTATCGCAATAGGCAGATGCATACAGCCGGTGGAGGGAAGCTAGCAGTTCCATGGGAACTCTATCAGGTGGGCACACCAATCACCGTCGTGGAGGCGGGGCAGACGGTCGCCTGGACGAAAGGTGACTCGCAGATTTTTGAGATTAAGCAAGGCGTCCTCACCCCGTCTCATGCGCCTCTCTTGACCATGGGTCTAGCCCACGACGTCAGCTACATCTTCGAGCCCCGTGACCCGAACAGCGCATGCCAGGCTTGCAGCCTGCTTCCCACGCAGCTCGCGGACAAGCTCCGGTGCCCGGGGGGTGGGCATGTCCAGTCCCTTCCAGGCTACATGTTTTTACATAAGGCAGGCGAGCGGACGCTGCAGGTCCACAAGTGCCCCAACAAAGTGGCATGTCCAGGCAGCAAATTGGCACTCAGGGCGAACGGCCAGCCTTCCTCCCGCAGCCGATTTTGTGCAGAAGGGTATGAGCCCATGGCCGGCTGCGTGCGCTGCACACACGGCTACGGCCGGCCGCAGCTGGACCCTTTCACATGCCAGGCGGGGGCAGAACCAAGTTGCATGCGGATAGATCCGCCATTTGTGAACTTGATCCGTGCAGTTGCCTGGCGAGTAGGGACAAATTTCGTTTTCCCCTGACAAGGCTTGCGGGAACCGCTCCTTGGTGCAGAAGGTGATCATGGCAGCACTACCCAGCGGCATTTTCTATGCCCTCGCAATCCGATCTGCCAGACCTCGGAGTCGCACGCAGCACATCTTCAAGGCTGGGTGGCTTGACGGCTTGAGCAAAGACCCTCTGGCAGCCCCCTCGTCCGTCTTCTTGACAGGTTTTTCTGGCTTTCCTGACCATCTCATGCCGGAGCCTCTCCGCCCTGCCGCACTCTTCGCACTTCCAGCGCCTCAGGCTCGCTCGGGCAGGGTGGGCCTTCTGTGTTGAAGGGAGGTTCAGAGTACAGAAGGGTCTGTCGGGTTCTCGTGCCAGGTTGATCCTCCAAAATTGTTCCCAGCCTCGCCGCAAACTTAAGCTTGCAAAGCTAGGAGCGATGTGGCGGCCGGTGCGCAGACGTTCGTCAGGTGCCTGTTTGCGGTGGATGTCGTGGCCACTGCCGAGCCCGGGTTCCTGGACCTATGCTCATGGGCCTTTGTGAGTTGCTCTCATTCAGGGAGGGGTTGGTCTTCAGTGTTGATTTTCAATTTTTCCCGCCATAGGGCAAAACTAAGACTCTCTACATGGGCGAATTTGCTTCCACACTGTGCTCTGCAGGGCTGGCGTGTTTTCCATGGACTGCTGGGGGATTGGCGATGGCCCCATGGACATGCTTACAGGCCTAGGTTTCACGTGGGCCATCCCATTACTCTTCCTGCTGTTGCTTGGCTTCCATGAAATGAAGCTTGCGTCGCTCCCAGCTTGCTTTGCAGCAAATGTGGGGCTCGGAAGCAGCTGAGGCTTTCATTGTGCTTCCTAGGGGCGCAAGCTTGGCTGAAGTGTGTGGTGGTCTGGGGCAACGTCTTCATTCCACCGCTCCTTGGGGCGACTGCTAAGCTTCTGCCCTGTTATGGCACACAAGAAGGCGGCCAACGCATCCTCATGTACGAGGCCGCCGTCAGCACCTCGTGTGCCTCCACTTTAGGTGATGCAGTGGGACTGCCGCGGTTCTGGCTGGCGGTCGGAACAACCGCCGTGCTTACCCTGCTTGGCCCCGTCTTGTGGCTTTGCCTCGCAGCATCCGACCCCGCGAAGAAGCACGTGCGTGAGCGTGAGGAGACTGTTGCTTTCCTGGTGGCAGGCTACGAGCCAAAGTACCGCTGGTGGGAGGTCACCGTGTTGTTCCGGAAATCAGCCATCTACGTGGTTGCAACGTGGTTTCCCATGTCCTGGGCACCGGGAGCACACCTCGTCTACCTTGCCCTTATAGTAGCCACGGCTGAGCTCATCCACACGACATTTCAACCCTATCATAGCTCGCTGCTTGACCGTATCGAAAGCCAAGCGCTCTGCGCCGCTTTGATCGGCTTGCTGCTGGTTGCCTCACTATTTGTCAAATGGCCGTTCATGCCGTACGCCATCTATATAACCAGTTGCGGCATGTTGTGCGTGGTCACCGCCGGTGCCTACCTCCACTTTCTGTTAGTCTACCTGCGTGCTGCGTTTGTCACGAACGACCCCCCCGAGCAGGAGGAGGCGGAGGATGACTGCGAGGAGGAGACAGACGCAGAAAAGCACAGTCCACCCAGAAAAAGGCATGCCAGCATGCAGTCGGCCATGTTTGTAAGCTTCCGCTGCAGGACTGAAGAAAAGCAGGACGAGGTGTACCTTCTGAAAGCACGCACGGGATCCCGAGCTGAGTTGTACAGGTCCACCAGGACATGCGATAGGTCGGGCTAGAGCCAACCTCCATTGCGGGAAGAAAGAGAGAGTTCTGCAAACGGTGGTGCAATGCCGTCCGGGAACACGATTCATACGGATATGTGAGCGATTTGGCAGGAACATGGGGCGTTTTCCGTTTTGTATTTGCTTGGTTGTAATCTGGCAGGTCGACATTTGTTTGAGTACTGCTGTCATTCTGCGATTTGCACATGATTTTTTTTGCCGCCTGGCAAGATTCGTGACGCAAGACCTCGAGGTTGTGCGCGGGAAATTCATAGACAGTCAGGTTAGGACAGGAGTCGTTTGTGAAGAACGTTTCTTTGGCTTTCCCACGCCCCGTGCCTTGCTTCTTTGTGCTCAGGTTTGCAGCTAGCTACCTGCTTTGTGGATATCAGGGCTTTTCTGTGCTGCGTCCAGTTCGTTTAAAGTTCCGTTCTAATGATTATGGCAAAGCCGTTTTGTGTTTGTTTTGTGTTTGTCAATGTGCAACAATTGGTGGAGTGAGTAGATTGCAGGGTAGGAACCCATTTCCCAAAAGTCCCATCTTCGCGTTCATCAGCGTTGTCAGAGCCTTTTCAGTGGAACGGAGCGTTGCGCTTGTGGCTGATAAGCGGCAGGGTATGGATATGTGTAAGCCCTCCTGATGGCTCCCCGTCAGTTCCACCCGACGCTCTAGCTTCCTACAAACCCAAGGCTCCCCCATGTACTTCAGCGCCCAGATTACCTTTGCCCTCAAGTCCAGTGCCACGGGACTCATTAGTCTTGGTCTTCGAAGACTTCTTCTCCAAGGTGAGGGCTGCCAAGTGATTGCCAAGATCTTTTGATAAGTCAGCCTTCATGCTTCGCTGCCGACGTTCCGAAGAAGCATGATGGCATGGTCTACTCATGGCGCATGTTGTATGTGTGCTCGAGCTGGGGGTGGGGGGGTTGTTGTGTTGCTGAAGAAAGCGGGCAGCTGTCAATGCATCTTGTCAGCAATCGGGCCATGGCAAAGACGAGGCTGTGCGTTGCCGCTTTGGAGTTATTCCTGCTGAGGCGATGTAACAAGCAGAGCCCGGCAGGACCGACATTCTTTTGCGCATGACGCGGGCATAATGTGCACACATCCGTGACGATTTTTCCCCCAGGCTCCTTGCACAAGTCGCAGCAGCCCCCGCCTCGAAAGTGATTTGTTTATGTTCCTCCGGGGTCGCCATTCTTGTCGTTTGCAAGGCTATGGCTGCCGCCAAGCGTGAGAAGCAGCAGAGGCCAGCTTGGAGCACCATTTGGTCAAGCTCGTGTCTACGTAAACCGTAAACATCACGTGTGGGAGGGATCTACACGTTTTGGGGTCAACACACAAAGGGTTGAGGCGATGCGGCCCAGGCTTCTCTACGAGTTGGTCGGATTCGGCGCATGTGCCTGTTACAGCAAACGACCCGCGCTGTGCTCAGATGGTGCGCGGTGGCAAGCATCATGATTACATCGGCTTGGGCCACTGTTGATGTTCAGGTGCCGGGTTGGAGCACCTCCTCGCCAAAGTCGAGCAGAGGAGATGCGACCAGCCGAAAGAGCCGATGCGTTCGTGTTTGACCCGCGGCTGGCTGCAGGATCTTCAACGGCTGTCGCATATCGAGAGTTTGCGGAGAAGCATCCGTTTAAAAACGCAGCTTGATTTGAACAAGCTTGTTCATTGTGGGGCAGCTGGAGGGTGCCCTTACACAGCGAGATCCTCGGGGATGGCACAGCAGAGGGAGGGAGACAGAGAGAGAGGGAGAGAGAGAGAGAGAGCGAGAGAGTGAGAGAGAGTGAGAGAGAGAGAGTGAGAGAGAGAGAGAGAGAGAGTGAGAGAGAGAAAGAGAGAGAGAGAGATGATGATGGAGAAAATGCCACACTATTGCAGGCCGTCTACATCTCGCACGCAGTTGGAACCAATTCCACGGATAGCGACACCAAATCGCCCATCATCGCGCAATAGCAGTCACGAACGTGACCCACCACGCCTGGTAAAGGCCGGGGGGTATTGTCAGAATGGGGGTATTGTCAGAATGATTTGATGATATAATAAAGTTGTGTGATGATATTTGCTGAGCATTTGCGACACTGTATGTGTACTAGTTAGGGAAGATGCCTTTTCCATGAACTGCTCGAAGACTGCCGCGGCTGTCTCCTTCACCATGAAGTTGCGGGCCGCGAGCGCAGCAGAGCTTCGAAAGGCAAACCGGCGGCAAAACATGTCGCATCATTGAGCCATGTGCATGTTTAGGGTTTTTTCAAGCTAAAAAAGCCTTTTTTTAAGGGTTTCTTAACATTCAAAAACCCTACTAAATGCCTTCACCCTGCACCAAGTCAGGCAGCTCAGCGCTCTGGTGCCCAGGCTGTCAGTGTGATGCCGTCAACAGGGACGCAAAGTAACTCAATGAGGCGTTGCAGATTATGGTTTAAGGGTTTAGGGTTTAGGGCTTGGCACGATGGCAGGCTTCGCTCCCACCTTTGACCGCAGCGTCTTCGATGAAGTTAGCCCTTGGACCTCAAAGGTTGGGTGGCAGCAGGCGACTGCAAGTGCCACATGATGACGCGTTCAAAGGATGACGACCTCAGATGGTAGAGCGATGTAGAGCGTGCACATGCGTGCAGGTTGCAAACCGGCCACGCCCCAAACCTGAACCCTCGTTTCTCACTTGTGCCCATAACCCAGAAGCCCTCAACAGCAACTTTGCGGTCAGGCCCGTGACGCCCGACACGCAAAGCTCCACGCCGCTTGCGCGCGACGCAACTCGGCGCTTGTTTCGGCTCGTGGGCGGCTTCGGGTGGTGTTTAATTGGGGCTCTTTTTCGTTACTTGCGCTCGCTCTTCTTTGCTGCACTTCCCGAGGGGGAATCAATTGGCATGAGTGCTGTATAAGTACTCATTTCATGAGGGATTCGCCATGATTCCGTGAGTAAACCCAAGAATCTCGATCCTGACGCGAAAGCTGACCAAGCTAACCGACAGTCTATGCATTAAAGGTTGTTCTCAGAGTTTTTTTTGGGCTTTCCAGTGATGGGCTTGATTCTTAGCCCCCGAGGACAGGCTGGATGACGTGCCCCTGGGCGACCAGTCTTTGCCGGGGCGAGCTGCAGCACAGGAGACCTCCTGGGAGCTTCATGATGCTTCATGTCTGTTCTGCATTGCCGGGGTATAGGTGTTGGTGTTCGTGGGCGGTTTAATGAGTTTAGTTTGGGTCGAGGGATCGCGTTTGGGGTTGGTCTTCTTGGCAACTTTGGCGACCGCCACTTGCAGGCCTTTCTTGCGCGAGCATGCTTGGACGGACGTGGGATTTCCAAACAAGAGCGGCTGCGGATACGACAGGCGCAGTGCTTCTTTGCCAGTTGCGCTCTTTCTCTTGTGTGTGTGCGTGTGTGGCAGGTTTTCGAGCGGTTCAAAGATCAGAATGCCCACGAAATCCATCGAAGTGTTCGTGCCTCATGCGCTGTGATTTGTTCCTGGCAGTCGGTAGTTCGCAGCTTGGGGCACGCGTGCTGAAACCATGGGGCTGGCTCAACTTCATGCTGTGGCACGGGGTACTGGGCAATGTCCAGCGATCCGCCTTCAGGAGTCATGCCGTGCCCAATGCATTGCAACTGTAAAACTGTAGGATATCCAAAAATGTATAATTCCTTTCAACTGCTTCAACGCATTCCCGTTTTTGAGTAGGGGACTGCAGGCGATGCGTTCGTCGAGGATGCGGGATAAGGAAGAAAATATGGGGCGCATGCATGCGTGGAGGAACACAGTGAGAGTCGTGAGAGGGTTTGATGAAACATCGGGGTCCGAAGAATTTCTGAGAGGTAACCCTTATATTGCCCATATAAATATACTGCAACAACCCCCCCAAAACCCTATTGACATTTTTAAGGCCCCCTACATTAGAGCACCATGGATGATGCTTCTCGCTCCGTCAAAGCCTCCAACTTCTTGCCTTTCGACTTCCTGGCAGCGCTTGGCAGCGATGGCGCAAAGTTCCTTGCTTTGAAGGCGGGGTCGCTGGCAATTTTGAAGCTGTGTCGGGTTCGTAGGGCTGATTAGGTTTTTTTTTGGGTTTAAGGTTGAGGGTTTTTATTGGGTCGTTAGTGGAATAAGGTTGAATTATGTTGAATTTCAGATTCAATAAAGATTAAGTTCAAGTTTCAGACCTGCTTCAGCGGGCATCCATCTGCCCGTCGAGAGGGTTTAGGGGTCTTTAGGGTTTGTAAGTAGGGGTTTGTAGGGTTTGTAGGGTTTGTAGGGTTTGTAGGGTTTGTAGGGTTTGTAGGGTTTGTAGGGTTTGTAGGGTTTGTAGGGCTTCTAGGGTTAAGCTCTCTGCGAGGTGAGTCCGGAGTTCGATTGGGCGGAAGCGTTGCAAGGATCCAAGCTTCACATTGGCCACTTGTCAAGACCATGTGCTGCCATTGCAGATTAGGTTTAGGGATAGGGTTTAGGGTTTAGGGTTTAGGGTTAAGGGTTAAGGGTTTAGGGTTTAGGGTTTAGGGTTTAGGGTTTAGGGTTTAGGGTGCTCTGTACCTCACAACCTGCTGCGGCGTGCAGCAGCACCACACTACATTCATGAACACGACAGGCACACGGCTTCAGTGCACTTGCTTCGGCATACGCTCGGGCGCCTGCGCCCCTGTGCGCCTCGAGGCGAAGACGGCCAGGTGTCCCTGGAGGCCCCGAAGTGCGAAGACGAGTTGGGCATCCGCCTGGCTGGGAGCGACTGGAGCCAGGGCCTGTGCTGCATGATAATAATAAAGATAAGGATAATAGTACCAATAACAATAATAATCATAGTAATATAAATACAAATAATGACAATAATAATAAGAATAATGATGGTCATCTTCCTCTTGTTGGTTGTTGCTTCTAGTTTGTGCGTTTAGTTGTTTATGTTTTGTTCTTTTCTGTTGTTGTGGTGTTGGCTGGTGGTTGTTATGATGATCATCGATACTTGCCGCTTTGTGATGTTTAGTTTTTGTTCTGTCCCGCTGTGGTTTTGGGCTTTTGGTACTCTGCTTGTCTCTTGTTCCTATGATGATCATCAGATACTTGCTGCTTTGTGATTCTTACTTGTTGTTCTACTCGGGCACGGCCAGGTTTGTGTTTGCTACCTCTCAGTCTCGAGGTCAGCTTCTATGCCTTGCTCCCCCGAAGCAGGGCTTGGCGAAACTGAAGATCTGCGGCCGCGTGGATGCTGTCCTCCAGCTGGGCCGCAGCAGCGGCTTGGCATTTCTTGAGTAGTTGCAGCGGACATCTTTGCTAACAAACATGCGGTCAAATTTGCAAGTCCAGTTCTAGAAGCAGATCATATGGGACAGATGGGAGCGTAATGCGGTCGCATAGTACCATCGTAGTTGGCTTCCGCAGATGTGAATATCACGCGTCGTTCACTGAGGCAAGATTCTGTCTGCCGCGGATTCCGCGGCACAGATGACGCAGGAGGAACTGCACCGGCAGCAAGAATACGGCAGAAAGGCAAAGAAAGGTGCGCCAGCCCGAGTGTTGGGACAATGCACCCTGAAGGATTATGCCAGGCGTTCTCAAAAACAAGACCTGACGGGCAGATACTTGTAGCGGATGCCTAAACCCTAAACCCTAAACCCTAGTCCCTAAACCCTAAACCCTACACCCTAAACCCTAAACCCTGCACTGGTTTCGCAATCTGCCGGCCAGGACAACGCAAAGCCGAGGTGTGGGCCCAGTGTTTTGCTGCATGTGTTGGGATGTCTCCCCTTCTACTAGGAGTCCTTAATCGGGATTTTGGTACCCCCCTACTATCATCCCTATTAAGGACTGTTAGTATAAGGGGGAGCATCCCCAATGCATGTGTTGCCTGTAGTTTTCTCCATCTCTGCGTTGAGTGGCCACCGGCGCTGCGCAGGCAAAGCGTCGCGCAGAGACTCGCAGTCGTTGCAAGCTGCCCACCTTGAGCGATGCGCTCTGCGGAGTGGCGCGTTTGCATGAGCCAGAACTCTGTTTAGGGTTTAGGGTTCTGGGTTTAGGGTTTAGGGTTTAGGGTGTGTTAAGAGCTTCTAGAAAGAGGCTTGATTGCGGGTAAAGCTAGGAGTCCCTCCACCCCCGTCAGGGCATGTTCTCCCCCCTGCACCCAAAAGGCTGTTAGGCAAACAAGAGGCATCCCTTCCAGGCAGAGCGTGCAAATCTGAAGAACAGTGGGGGGGGGGGGGTCACTTGATGGTCGGCTGGTCCAAATTCCGGTCACGGGGCAGCTACGCAGATTGAGAGCAGATAAGGTGGCCTGGGACTTGGGGCACCAGCTGGCGCCTCTTTTGAAAGAGGATGCGTGGGATGGCGCGGGCCAAGCTCCAGAATTAGCCAGGCGACAGTCTGCAAGGAGCAGCAGCATTCCCCATGAGATGCTCGGGTTGAAGCTGAAAATCAAGGTGGGCTTGGCAGCTTGGTTTAGGTGGCCAATGAGGAAGTCAACCGGCTTGGGCTGTAGGCCCCCCAAAAACGAGATGCCCCTAACCCTACATTGCTAACGCTACTCTGCTACTTCTACTACTACTACTACTGCTACTACTACTCCTCCTCCTTGTACTCCTACTACTCCTACTACTCCTACTACTCCTACTGCTCCTGCTCCTGCTGCTGCTCCTGCTGCTGCTGCTGCTCCTGCTGCTGCTCCTGCTGCTGCTCCTGCTGCTGCTGCTGCTGCTGCTCCGTGCTGCTCCTTCTGCTGCTCCTGCTGCTGCTCCTGCTGCTGCTCCTGCTGCTGCTCCTGCTGCTGCTCCTGCTCCTGCTCCTGCTCCTGCTCCTGCTCCTGCTCCTCCTCCTCCTCCTCCTCCTCCTCCTCCTCCGTGCTGGTGCTGGTGCTGGTGCTGGTGCTGGTGCTGGTGCTGGTGCTGGTGCTGGTGCTGGTGCTGGTGCTGGTGCTGGTGCTGGTGCTGGTGCTGGTGCTGGTGCTGGTGCTGGTGCTGGTGCTGGTGCTGGTGCTGGTGCTGGTGCTGGTGCTGGTGCTGCTGCTGCTGCTGCTGCTGCTGCTGCTGCTGCTGCTGCTGCTGCTGCTGCTGCTGCTGCTGCTGCTGCTGCTGCTGCTGCTGCTGCTGCTGCTGCTGTGCTGCTGCTGCTGCTGCTGCTGCTGCTGCTGCTGCTGCTGCTGCTGCTGCTGCTGCTGCTGCTGCTGCTGCTGCTGCTGCTGCTGCTGCTGCTGCTGCTGCTGCTGCTGCTGCTGCGGCTGCCGCTGCCGCTGCTGCTGCCGCTGCTGCTGCTGCCGCTGCTGCTGCTGCCGCTGCTGCTGCTGCTGCCGCTGCCGCCGTGCTGCTGTTTTTTCTACTTCCATGATTTCTTGCATGAATATTGCTCCGGTGCCGATGATGTTGGTGTGGTGTCCAGTCGAAGGATGGTACACTTTGTAAATCTCGCTGTGCCACTGTTGTAGGGGACCGTAGCAGCAAATGTAATGGTTGTTTCCTCTTGGATTAATAAACCCACGCACTGAAACTTTAAACAAGGCTCAAGATTCGAGACTCCACATCTCGACTGTGCGGCTGCAGTTTTTCGGGTTCATTTTTCGAAGACAGGAACCTACCCGGAACCTCGAAAGGGTTTCAAGAAAAGAAGACAATTGGAGAATTATATAATGGAAGCAAAGGAAAGCACCAACAAAAGTGGACACCAACAACCTGAAAGTTTCGAGCTGTTTCAACAAACCCGAAGAATTCCCGAAGCATTGACAAAATGCAAACATGTGAATTGATAACTTTGCTTTTCGAAGTTGCGAAGACTTGCAGGATAACCGGCTTTCTATCCTGGAACCCCGAAAAGCTTGACTTTGAAAGGTTTGTAAATAAGGGAAGCTTTGTCTGTTTCAAATGTCAAATTTACTCTAGTGCTTTCGCTGTAGTTTGTATCGGGTAAAAGTGGCAGGTCGTTGAGCTGGAGCCCGGCCAGAGCTTGAAAGTTGCCTTCTGGAGCATGGGCAACTTTAACCTGGACGGCCTGGAGTCGGTGACCTTTACGAGCTACCAACTCGAGCGCCCAGGCTCCAAAGGCAAACCGAAACTCCAACTGACCGGAAGGGCCTCGGATTCGACCGGCCTGCATGTCCTCGGCCATCCTGCCAAAGCGTTCCCGCCTTTCGACTACGACACCCTGATCGGCGTGCACCTTCCGGGCTCGAGAGAGCTTCAGCTTTGCCCTTGCACCATCTTCAACATTGAGGTGGACCGCCAGGGCAAAGGCTATTCGGACCCACAAGACCCAGTGAATGCCAACAGGGAGAAGGAGGCGGCTCAGGCAGAGGAAGCAGCCCCCATCACGGCCAAGCAATATCGGGACAAGCGCAAGGCGGCCATTGAAACTAGGTAGGGTCTTGGGACATTTTTGTATTTTCCCCTATTGGGTTTAAAAGGATCATATGGAGGAATATTTTTCAGAGGGTGTTAAGCGCCATCCTAGGAAAGCTTCGGCACTGCAAAGAAGATGAGAAGCTTTGGTGCCGCCGTCGAACGATTGGACAGGGACTGTGAAGTGGCGAACCTTGACCAGTATACGGAGAGCATTAGCCAGAGAGTGGAGGAACAGGCGGGGGGCTGAGCTAAGTTGCGGACTCCTTCCTGGTACCCCAGAATTTTACAGGGCATTCTTCAACTAAGTAGGTTCAATGCCCCCTTTGAAGTCAAGTAGGCGTGTGTGTAAAAACCGACACCGCGATCTAGGGAACCCCAGCGCCCAAACCAAGAAACCCTAAACATCCGCAAGCCCTAGCCTGCAGGAAGAGAAGAGACTGCAAAGCGCAAAAATGTAAACCCTAAACCTGAAACCCAAAACCCAAAACCCAAAACCCAAAACCCTAAACCCTAAACCCTAAACCCTAAACCAGGCGTTTGATATGCCCGACCTCTTCCCCGTATACGCTTGCGAAACGGGTGGGGAAAAAAAAACCCTAAACCCTAAACCCTAAACCCTAAACCCTAGACCCGAATGGCCAAACAAAACCAGCTTTGAGCCAGAGACCCCGTTTAGGTGAAGGCGAAGCTCAGTCCCGAAGAGAAGGATGAGCAGACAAAGCGAGACGCCAGGCTCTTGTTGTTTAGGGTTTAGGGTTTAGGGTTTGGGGTTTGGGGTTTGGGGTTGGGGGTTTGGGGTTTGGGGTTTGGGGTTTGGGGTTTGGGGTTTGGGGTACCCTAAACCCTAAACCCTGCTGACCTTACATGGTTTTGGGGCTTATTTGGGGTTTGGAGTTTGGGGTTCGGGTTACTCTATCCGGGAAGCTTGCTGCAAAAAAAGAGAGAGATAGTACGGCACTCTTAAAATGAGGACCCCAAAAGGAACCCTAATTAGAGAATTTCCCAAATTATATGAGTCGCCGTAACAGGAATTAGTGTGGCGCCTTCCTTCTGGTAACACAAGGCTGTAGCTGATAGCATTGTACCCTTACGAGTGTACACAAAGAGTAACCAATCTTCTCATTCTTCTCTCGCATCTGAGTTTGAGTTCCTTGACAAGAGCCCAGGACACGTTGCCGCCTTGGATCGCATCCGATGATGTCCAGAAGATCTACGCCGTGCCTTGGAAATAGGAAGTTGAGGGTTTAGGGTTTAGGGTGTTTTCCTGAGCAAAGTACCCTGCTGAGGATGGTTTGCAGAGCATCGTGTCGGATGACGCTTTGGAGGAGGAGCCCAGCTTGGATGAGGGCGGCTTGGATCGAACTGGAGTTGAGTTATCAGGGAATGAGGTACCTCATATCCCAATAAATTCCAGGCCTTTCAAAAAACTCTATGGGTGCCCCCCCCTAGAATTCCCCGAGTCGCTTTTAAGGGGCCTTGCCTTGGAAGCTGCTGTTTCTCTGACTTGGGGGCAGTTGTGTCAAATGACTCAGAGCTACCTCCCGAGCCATGGGGAGGATGCCCTGGAGCCGAACAAGCTGGGCTCTGCATGTGCCAACTCTGAACTCCGAGAGGACGATCAGGAGGATGCGGGTATGATCGCTAAGGCTGCAAAGCAGCCCTTGGCGGAGGAGACACAGCCGCGCTCCTTTTGGATCGCCTGTGGTGTACTCGTGCACTTGGCATGGGGCACCTATCCAGTCTTTGCGCGGTACATGCAGGTGATGTTGCACTTGGATGGCTTGCTGGTCCTCATTTTCTCGAACCTGCTCTCCTTCCTCGTCGTCCAGACGTTGACCTGCCAGGGCTTAGGGGGCCCAGCAGGGAGAAAGGTCGGGATGATCTATGCCATGCTCATCACCGCTCGAGGGGTGTCGAACATGCTCACCAGCAAGTTCACTATTGCCCTGTACTCAGGTATTGTGACCCAGTTCGGGCCCTTCATCGTCGCAGGCGTCTCTTGGGCTATCTTGGCAGATGATCTGCCGCGCTGCATTCTGCCGTCGCTCGTTCTTTCAACCGTGGGTTCCCTCCTCGTCGTGCTGGGCCAGGCAAATTCGCATGTCTGGGAATTCTCTGGCAACGACGCCATTGGAATTGGAATGGCCATGGCTTCCATATGCGTGAGCGCCGGGATACGTGTGACGATGAAAATGTCCAGTTCTTCGCTGTCTGGTTTCATGCTGGTTACATGGCAGTACATGAGCGCAATCCCACAGGTCTTGCTGGCGATGCTCCTGACACCGACTACTGCATGGGTGGAGACAGTGCACCTGTCATCACATCAGTGGTTGGTGATTGCAGCTTTCGTCCTGGTTCTTCCGCTTGCTGCAAGTTATGGGCAGGTATCTGGGTCATTGTTGAAAACCATTTTACACGTTCATGAGCACGTAAACCCAATGAATGAGTATCAAGATGGCCCTTTTTAAATAGCACCCGGCAATGGGTGCAGGTAACTTGCGTCCGCAAGCTGGGGCCGTCCCTGGATGCTTCGATTCAGCCGGTGCGGCTCTTGTCGACCATTGCAGGGGGCTACCTGGTTCTCAACGAGCCCGTGAAGTCGACCACTGCTTGGCTAGGGCTCACTCTCATCATGGTGACGCTGTGTGTGTATCTGAAGCTTCAGAGGAGCTCCTCACCTCAGTTACCCGACTTCACCCCACAGGCCGGTGCGAAGTGAACCACAATCTCTACTCGGAGGGTTCCTTCCCACGCTTCTCCATCTCTTCGTGGGGCATGCAAGCAAGGAAAGCTCTTGCGTGTACAGTGTACAGTTGCTTGGACCGTGAACACAGCAATCCCTATGAACATAAGGGCCCTTGCGCTGAGGGTACCCCAAACAAGGTGCATCATGTAGAGAACTCGATCCCCCGGTTTAGGTTTTAGGGTTTTTGGGTTTAGAGCCATCCCTGGCAGGCTTGACGCTTCGAATGCCTGTGAGAGAGAGAGAGAGAGAGAGAGAGAGAGAGAGAGAGAGAGGGTCGTGCGTAATCTTGAGCTAACCCTAAACCCTAAACCCTGAACCCTGAACCCTGAACCCTGAACCCTAAACCCTAAACCCCAAACCCTAAACCCTAAACCCCTAGGTAGCCTAAGTCTTGCCTGTCAAGAAGCGGCAGGTGGATCCAGAATGCCAGCCCCAAATCCCCCTCTCAGCCCCCATAGGCCGGAAGGCCTGGGCTTGTTGAAAGATCAAAGGGGAAAGGGTTTAGGGTTTAGGGTTTAGGGTTTAGGGTTTAGGGTTTAGGGTTTAGGGGAACCCGGACACCCTAAGCCCCAAACTCCTGGTTTAGGGTAGGGTTTAGGGGAACAACAAGTTGACTTCAAGAGTCTGGGTTCAGCAAGAAGGGGAAACGACCAGGGTTTAGAGGGTCGCCATCTGGTCATTTTCTCAAGATGACGGTCCCTTTTTTGGGTGTCCTAAATATTCGGGGCCGCCTTGGAAAACAGTAACCCAAAACCCTAAACCCAAAACCCTAAACCCTAAACCCTAAACTAATGTAGAGGAAGTGACCATCAGCCGCTGAGGCATCCTGGCACTCGTTTCGAAGGAGCTCCGGGAAGTGGCGCGCCTGGATGAAGCGAAGGCCATGTCCCGAAGCCCCCACTTGGGGGGTTTGCGAACTTCGGGGGCATCTTATATGGGGGCCCTTATGATCAGGGATCCTGCTCTTTGGGGGTCTTTTTTAGGGACCCCCCTTTTTTCGTAAACCCCCCCCCCCCCCGGTTTCTCCTCTCCTCGGCCCTCCTTTCCCTGTTAGGTTCCCTATCAGCCACTTTGAACCAAAAAGAGCGCCATTTTAATTCCCAGCTTACTCCTGGGTCCAGTCTCCCGGCAGTTCAGCCACAAACCTAGTCGAAGCCCACAAACCGAGAAGTATAAACTACCCACCTCCCTTTTCCAAGCGCTGAGCTTCCGATCTCAAATCGCGAAGGGCCCCCCCGACTCAGCACTCCTGGGCCACAAAGTCCCACAGCTCTACATCCCTCAGCATTCTTACCAGACGGCCATGAAGCCTCACATACTCCCTATCATTCACACCTAACCTAAACCCGAAACCCTAAACCCTCAACCCTCAACCCTAAACCCTAAGCCCTAAACCCCTAAACCCTGAACCCACAATGCGTGGCAAGGGAAAAGAGCTCTGTGGCTCCGCCATTGCCTTCGCTGTGCTCAAGGCTCGCCACACGCAGGGCGCGCCCCCTCCTGAGAACCCGCAGCACGGTGGCACCAGAGCCTTGTATTTCGGGGGTTTAGGGATTAAAGGGGTTCAGGGTTTAGGGTTTAGGGTTTAGGGTTTCCTTGTATTTTGGGTGGTTTAGGGCTTCAGGGGTTTATCGGGTTTGGGGTCAAGGGTTTTGGGGGTTTAGGGCTGAAGGTGCTTGAGGGGCTTGAGGGGGTGGAGGGGCTTGGGTACTTTGGCATGAACGGGAGGAGAGAATTTTGGATTGACAAATTCGAGCAGACTCGGGGAGAGCTTCAGGATTCTACCGTACCCCTCGTTGGCTTGGCCAAGGCGGATGTTGGCCAAGAAGATTGGCGTGCTGAACTGGCTGCTCACCCTCTGCGCCAAGGTCGGTGTAGCTCTGAAGCTTGCATCGTGCCTGTTGTTGGCTTGTTCAAACATTGCATAAGGAAGCGGTTTCCGCAGAAGCTCCGAAAAAAGCGGGTGCCCCCCTCCGCACCTGTTCATATTCTGTCCTAGCATCAATGTCGAAGATGACTTCGCAGTAGCATTTGTCCAATTGACCGTGGCATGTGGAGAGTCGCGATTGCGGCACGAAGAAAAATGTGAAGAAACTGTCCGCCCGCACTGGGGCTGAAAGGTGCCACAAAATGCCCGACATCCCCGGAAGCAGGGTGTTAGCTTCTTATGCAAAGGTTTCTTTTGCAGAGGTTCTTTTCCGTGGTTTTGCTGTGACGCAGGTGCAAAATCTCTTCCACTTGTGTGTGTGTGTGTGTGCGTGTGCTAAATGGCCGGAGGCTTCCATTGCAGTCTTCATCCCTGAACCGTAAACCCTAAACCCTATGTGTGGATGGTCTGCTTGGCGCGTGTCAAAACCCCCTAAACCTAAACCCTAAACCCAAACCTTAAACCCTAAACCCTGAGCCCTAAGCCCTAAACCCTAAACCTTAAACCCTAACCCTAAGCCCTAAAGCCCTAAACGCTATGCTTGCAAAAGTGTCGGGCCCCCACTTGGCAGAGGACGGCCGGAGAATGTCGCATGCACACGTCAAAGCCTGCCCATCGCTACTGGGCCTTGGAGCCTGGGCCAAGTGGGCTTAGGGTTTTGGGTTTAGGGTTTAGGGTTTAGGGTTTAGGGTTTAGGACGGTTAGCATAAGGGGAAGTCATCCCAAGGTCCTTATTCTAAGGGAATCCTACTAGTTGGGGGCCCCCTATTTTTCGTAAAGTCCCATATGGGTATTTCCCAAAATAGGGGGTACCCCTTTTACTACCCCCAAATGGAATAGAAGCCCCTTAAAGGGACGCCCCAGAAAGGGTACCCCTATTTTCAGAAACCCACAAGTAGTTTTGGGTTATACCTTTGGGGTTGTTGGTGATAGATATTCATAGGTATATAGGGATGATGCTAGAAGAAATGCAGAAAAGCAATATCTATCACCTCTAGCAGGAAAAGTAGTTGATGTTATATTGCTGGTGTGTGTATATGTAGCACGTATATGCATAGTGTACGTTTTGCATTTCGTTGTCTGTTGCATATGGTATAGTGTTGTATGTTTTATTATTTATGCTGCGCCGCTCTGAAGCTTTTACATCTGTGTCTTATGCCTTTACTTTGTGCTGCATTGGCTTATCTTGATTTCACTACTTAAGTATTTTTGTAGCACCGTACGTAGCATACATATACATCCAGGAAACAACTATCTTATAGAACATGTAGCAGATTGTGGGATGCCCTGCACCCTGAAACCCGGAACACGAAACCCTAAACCCTAAACCCTGAACCCAAATTCAACCCTAACCCCCAGTCCGCCACACCTCAGGTGCCGTGGAGCCTTCCCAGGCAGTTCGGCAGACTCAAGGTCGCAGTTAGCTGCTGCTTTAGGGTTTAGGGTTTAGGGTTTAGGGTTTAGGGTTTAGGGTTAGGGTTCAGGGCACAAGGTCTCTTTTCATGCAATGAATGTGTACATGTACCAGTATATGTACATGTAAATGTAGCTGCATAGGTACATGTATATGTATGTGATACATGATGCGTAACATATTACATGTTGGGTGTTATGTGTATATGGGCATTGGGCTTACCCGCAGAGTTGCAGCAGGCACCGGTTAAGCAGTGACCCTGAAAAACAAGCCAGGCTTGAGCCTTGTCCCTCTGTTTGGTAGAAGAAAGGCTCATCCAGTTTTCCTCGGCAGTAGCCGAACAGTAGCCTTCGTCCACCATCTGAAGCATCTGAGGTTGCACAAATATTGCTTTGACCCCACCGTGGGCGGCAGGGGGAAGCGTGATTTCAACCCACGGAAGACGCTGTGCGCCGCTATTATTTGGGCTTTGCATCTCGAATATTCAGCATCGTCCCTTACAGTTCGATTTCGAGCATTGCGGTCCAGGCGGAACATAATGCCAGGGTCAGTGAGCTTGCAACTTCTGCTCTAAGGCATCTGACACCTGCGCTCTGCATTGATGTCACGAACTTGGCTGCCCGCGAGCTCAAGGGCGAAAGAAATGTCTTAGTTGCCGGCAGGTGGCTGGATTCGTTGATCAATCGATTTCTGGTCAGGTTGTTTGGTGCTCACGATGCTTGTCATGTGCTCGTGCATGTTGGGCCGGCTGGTTTTTTCGCGTTCGTCAAGGTATGTGGGGTGCAATGTCGATCCCAAGAAAGACGCTCTTGGCGGCCACCGCGCAACTGGGCGAGTTGGGAATCCTTCTTTCTTCTTGTCTTCTGCGCCCTCGATTTAGCACAGTTCCTAGCAGCCAGGCAAGGCCACACTGCCACACTCTGCAGCAGGGGTTAGGTGCCTGTAAAACCCTGTATGTACGTGTCAATAAATAAACAAACAAATAACTGAATAGATAAATAAATAGAAATATATATATATATATATATATATATATATATCGCAAGAAGGGATACCCTTTTTGTTTCTAGGCGGCTGGCTTGGGCAGCTAGACTGCTTCAGATAGCCGAGGTTGCGCTTAAGGGTCCGCCCAAGTTCAACGACCAAGCGATGGGATACCAAGCACGCGGGCCCAAAAGGCGCTGAATGCTGAGCACGCAGCGATTTGGCTGCCAAAGTTGCGCCACCCTATGCCCTAAGCCCTAAGCCCTAAGCCCTAAGCCCTAAGCCCTAAGCCCTAAGCCCTAAGCCCTAAGCCCTAAGCCCTAAGCCCTAAACCCTAAACCCTAAACCCTAAACCCTAAACCCTAAACCCTAAACCCTAAACCCTAAACCCAGAGCCGTAGCCGCAGCCATCGATTGTTTCACCAAATCGCGCGTTTGCCAGCCGATAAAGACCCCAAAGCGATGGATGCCTGCATTGTGCTCAGGCTCACACGAGAGGTAACTAGGTAGGCTCTTGGGATACTTTTTTTTGCCCTTATTGGGTTTAAGAGGATCATACGCAGGAATGTTTTTTAGAGGGTTTCAAGGGCAATCCTAGGTAAAGTATAGGCCTGCTACTTGGCAGTGCTACTGACCTGTTTCCGTAAGTAACAACGAGCTTTATAGCTTCTGTGTGCATGTGCACATGAGGAGAAGGCGACTTGCCAGGAAGGTTTGTCCTTTTGTTGACACAGATGTTTGTTACATGCATGTGTGCGAATGTGTCCGGGAGTTGAACATGTTCGAAAGGGTCCACGGCAATTGGAGTCAGAAATCTTGGGCAGACAAACGCTCGGGCGCAACCCCCTGGAGGTTGATGTGGTGTGTGTGTGTGTGTGTGTGTGTGTGTGTGTGTGTGTGTGTGTGTGATGGTGTGTGGGTTTCCGGCGGTGGGTTTCGAAGATCAGCGCACGGTATGGGCTCATTGTGGTTTAGGTTTAAAGCGGCTTAGGGTTCAGTATCTGGGGTTTAGTAAGTATTGAGGGTGCGTGGGCGGCCGTTTTGCGCCATCCGACCTTCCATGCCGCCCTTGTTGAATCCCCTATTCCCGAAGAATAGAAAGACCTCAAAGCGCCCCTGGTTCACAGGTCATGATGCCGTCCCTATTCAGAAGCTTACAATTAGGGGCAGGGAGTTGTGAGGCACATGTGCGCATGCCATTCTGAAACCGGGGGAAGCCGAAGGTCACTGTTGATGCTGCTGCTGCTGCTGCTGCTGCTGCTGCTGCTGTTGCATTGTGCGCCCTTTTGCGCATGTGCTTGAGGACTTTAGGATATTTCGCCCCAAATCCTAACTTATGTTTGGCCTTGACCTCTGCACTGGGCGGCTGAGGATCTCTTCTACGCCGCAAAGCACTTAGGCTTCGTTGGCGTGTCGAAGGAAGTGGCCGCCTGAGATGCCCCCCTGTGGGCTTCTTGCCAGAAGCAGGACAGAGGTGTACTAGGAGGTTCAAGGTTCTTCTTAATATAACTGTACTTATAACTGTACTTATAACCATATTAGGGCACTTAAGGGGCTTCTAAGTGGGTTGTAAGTACAGTTATCATCGGTTGAGAAGTATCATGAACCTCCAAGTAGTCCGGCGTAAGATGCCAGCGCGAGGTGTCAATTCAAGTTGCGGGCCAGCTGTGAGACGCTCAGTGGACTCCCAGTCGTTGTTGTAAGTTGTATTCGCACGGAACCGTGGTTGTTGCAGCCGTGGCCACTTCTTCGTTTAGGGACAGGAAAGTTTAGTAATTTCTTGAGAAGACTTTCTTCGTTATTCGGGCTTTCGAGATGAGTGCAATGACGGCCGGGCCCTTCCCTGGACCACCGTGAAAACCCCCACTTGCCGCGCGCTGTTGGTTTAGGATGTAGGGCGAGTCTTGGGCTGATGGTGAAGAGCTCGCTTGCAGCCAGGTCAGAATACCATACTCTAGACCTGGAAGAGTTCGTGGTTTTCTTGGAACAGTATACCACGCAAGAGCAGGCAGGGAGCTGCGAATGCTGAGTGTGCACAGGCCCAAGGCTTGCCAGGGGCTCGCATACCTTCCATGCATGTTGGAGGCAGAAATAGACCGGATCTTCGCAAAGCACGCCGGCAAGACGTCCCAGAAGGCCGGGAACCTGCAAGGACCGCGTGCTTCAAGAGGTGTCAAATCCCAACCTCCCTAAACCCCAAAACCCGAAAACCCCTAAACCCTGCAAGATTCCATTGGGAGCTGTACCAGCTGTTCTTCACGACCTGGGCATCGCACTCAGCGTGTTTATACCTTGGCACAGCTGGGTCAAGACTGCCTTGCTGCCTCTTGTTCCAATTTCATCTCGCCGCCGCTGCTCGTCGGCCTGGTGGAGGGCTGGCTCCGGACCCTAAACCCTAAACCCTAAACCCTAAACCCTAAACCCTAAACCCTAAACCCTAAACCCTAAACCCTAAACCCTAAACCCTAAACCCTAAACCCTAAACCCTAAACCCTAAACCCTAAACCCTAAACCCTAAACCCTACCCCTAAACCCTAAACCCTAAACCCTAAACCCTAAACCCTAAACCCTAAACCCTAAACCCTAAACCCTAAACCCTAAACCCTAAACCCTAAACCCTTTAGTACATCGGATCGCGACCCGAGGTTAGAGGGGGTGGCCGTGTCGAAAATCGGGGGAATGCCTTGTTTTTGTCCCTAAACCCTAAACCCTTGAGAACCCTTATGAACCCTAAACTGGGTGGGGGGGAGATGTCGGAATCCCAAACCAACGTTTTGCTGACGATGGCGATGGCCATCTTCGGACGTCGGCCTTGATTGGCCGACAACAGCCAACCATGGTTCGGTTGAACTAGGGGTTGGGGGGGGGTTTAGGGTTTAGGGTTTAGGGTTTAGGGAGGATTTAGTTTAGGGTTTAAGTTTTCAAGCAGCCTTGGCAGAGAGCGAGGCACTTGAGAGAGCCCTCGTTGAAAAAGGTGTTCAGGGTTCAGGGTTACTATAACATAAGAACAGAACACGCTAAATATAATATAGTATGATATATGAAAAACCTTTCCGTTATGACAGTAGAATGTAACAAGGTTTAGGCAATAGGGCTTGCTGTGATGTCGCTTTGCTCTGCTTTCCAGGTCTTACGTCTTTGCAGGCAGCGATTTCAGAGTCCTTGGACACTGCTCAGCTATCATCGCACAAGGCTGGCAGCTTGCGCTATCACATAGCCTGCCACGTGGTAGTCTGGGAAAGTGTGCGCGTGTGTCCAACAACCTGCGAGGCACTGTCCACACGAGAGCTCCGTGCATTCCTGGCTGCCCATCTTGCCGCTGAAGGCCAGCATCTAGATGCTAACAGACACGACGCAGCCGCATGGCTGACGACCTGGAGCCATACTGAGGCCATTGATCCTGCGCAGATCACAACCTGTATGTCAGACTCGTACCAGACTACACTAGTGGAGAAATCAAAGGCGGATGGTACTGACGGTCAACAGATGGGGCCGGGCTTGCTTGGACGACCAGTAACTGGCAGGCATTCCGAGGTAGGGTTTAGGGTTTAGTCCTCTTCAAAAGGTGTGATGGCTAGGTGATGCTAGGCGGGTGCCCAGAATAGACCCGTTGGGCCCCACGTGATGAGCTCATATGAGTTCCCCCGAGGCTACACGAAGGAGGAGCTGAGCTCTGCGCGCCGGGCCTTTGATGAGGTTCGCGAAGGCCAGGCTTGCTCTGGTTGCTCGTACCGGTTTAGGGTTTAGGGTTTAGGGTTTAGGGTATCAGCCGGGCGGGAGCATAGCCAAGCTCGTTGCAAAAGGGTATCATTGGGCGTTTGTAGCAGCAACTTGTCACTGGCGGCGAGACAAGTCTGGCGCCTATAGTTGAGACAGCCTCCGCAGACTGGCGAGTGCCAGGAAAAGCAGACCTTCCGCTGCATAGCGTGGGCGCTGCCTTGGTGCGCCCGCATATTCTGGGCCTGCGAGGTTGACGTGCAGGGGTGATGCAGCAGATCGGCACCGAGGCCCTTTTTCGGGGGACCGATGCCAGCGACGAGTGGAACGAGCTCTGGCGAAGGCGTGTCGGGGAAGCTTTCGGGGAATACAGGGAGCTCACCTCCCTGGCCTTCTGGCTCCATGTATGGCTCTCTTGACTTGTTTTTGTTTTTGAAGTTTCGCCTGAGAGTCTTGCAGCATTGCGGTTTGCATGCTCTCAGCGGCATGAGAAGGTGTTGAATAAGCCATGGCATCTTCACGCTCTAGAGACCCGAGTAGAAGCCAACAGCTTGGCTACTTTCGCAGCATGGCAAGCCACTAGCTTGTTCAGCGCGCGACTCTCGGAGCCTCTTGCCCATGGCATTCCTGCAAGCATTGCCGGGTGAGCTTCTTACCATCCCTGAGGACAGGCGAAGAGAACTTCTAGCTGCCATGTGCGATGAGCCCCCCTGAACCCTGAACCCTAAACCCTGAACCCTAAACCGTGAACCCTAAACCGTAAACCCTAAACCGTAAACCCTAAACCCTGAAGGGAAATCCCAAACCCAGTTGGACCCAAGAGCACGGACCACCTGCTCGGCACGAGTTTAACACCCGAACTCCAAAGCGTCTTAAGCGATGATACAGGGGCCCAAATACTGAATGCATACCAACTCAATCCCCATGTAATCATGGCAGAAGTAAGCAGGCCCGTGTCTTGCACAAAGAAAGCAGCACCGGCGAAAGTACATGAGAAGCATGTGCCCGGAGGATGCTGTATGCCCCATCTCCCAGCAGGTCATGGAGGAGCCGTTGTGGCCATTTTTTGCTGGTAGGTTGGGAGAATGCACGAACCTGGTAGACCTTTTTGTGTATTTCCACCATCATTAGGGGTACCCTGAGTACACCCCAACATAGTACAATCCTTATTCTAAGAACCCCAAAGGGGTACCCCTATATTCGGAAACTCCCAAATTTTGAGTCGGGAGATAAATGTTGCCCCTGGCACGGCTGCTGCAACCCATGGACTTCAGGACCCAGTGGTGTGCGCAGATGGGCACTCCTACGAGAAGGACTTCATACAGAAGTGGCTGGCGTGCCATGCCCGTAGACTAGCCTTACCCAGGGTTTTCATCGACTCTTAAGGGGCTTGGGCATCATGCTGTGGCCTCTCAGGATGGGGAAGCGCTCCAGCCCGAAGACCAACATGAGCCTGCCGCACACCACGCTGATCCCAAATGTCAACCTGCGCAACATCATCGAGTCAATCAGGGTCCGGATGCCAGCCATCCAGTCCGAGCAGATCAAGAGCATCAAAGAAACTCTGCTGGTACTTTTTTTGACTGTAAGCATAGATCCTTAGCCTCTGTTTGGGGTGTATTGGGGGTTTCTTATTAAGGCAGCTAAAAACTTAACTTGCAGCTACCCTAGTAAGCGCAGCCAAGGAAATGCAAGACTTGGAGGCCATCGTAAGGTCCTTGATGGAGGACCAAGGCAAACTTGCAGTGACCTGCATTGACCCGACGCGCTCGCCTGAAGCTTCGCCGGCCGCCTACAGCTCCTCGCCCAACGCGCCGAATGCACCGAACATGCCCAGGCTGCCGCCGCCGGACCGCGCTAGCATGGAAGAGCCGATTCCGGTCCTCCTGAGCCTGTTGCGCCACGAGTCGCGTGATGTCTGTGAGCGGGCGCTGGGGGTTATCGACGCCCTGGTGGCTTCGGACCCCCGGCACAGGGATGCGGTTTGGCATCATGGCGGCATTCCCCTCATTGTGAGCCTGCTGAGAAGCGACTCCTCAGAGCAGCTGCAGCATGCCAGCACGCTGCTGCGCACGCTCGCGAGTAGTCAGGCAGAAGCCCAGATGGCCATCACGTGGGCTGGGGCGATCCCTCTTCTGGTTGAACACCTAGATCACGACTTCAGCAAGGTCCGCGTGGAGTCTGCGAAGGCTTTGTGGAGTCTGGCGCAAGGCAATGTGGACAATGAGACATCCATTGTGGAGCAAGGAGGCATCAAGCGTCTTGTCACGCTTCTGTCCGGAGGTGCTGCCGACGCGCGTGACTCTGTGCTACACTTGCTCCTAAATCTGGCATCGCACGACATAGTGCATCAGGACGGTAAGGGGAATCTACCGACAGCAACGCACACAAGCCTGACGGGCAATAGAGGTATAGAACTCTTTTCGGGAGCTGATCCAAGTTACGGGCTCGTTTTGTGATGCTTTGTGTCTTTCAACAGTATATAAATTTATGGTGTAGGTTACATGGAAGGGCCCATCCCAACGAAGCTTGGAGCGAGTGGTGGTGGCCTCTCATCTTCGTCGACTCTTCAAAGTTAAGCCCCCAAAATCTTCAACCCCCCATAGACTCCAGCTCAGCTCCCAAACCCTAAACCCTAAACTCTTAAAAAAACCCTAAACCCTAAACCCTAAACCCTAAACCCCAAAGCCAAGAATCCTACTCAAGCCAGGACAACATCACCCGGGCAGGGGCCATCCCTGCTCTGACGGACCTGCTGAACGATGGCGGCCTCCGTCAGCTGGCCGCGGCGGTCCTGAAATCCTTGGCGCAAAACCATGAGGCTTGGTAGCCCAGTGGTGCCCTTTGCCCTCTTTTGTTTGTGCTTCTGGGTTCCCTTATAAAGTAGCCACCCCCCCCCCCCCCCACCCCCCCCCCCCACCCCCCCCCCCCACCCCCCCCCCCCACCCCCCCCCCCCCCCCCCCCCCCCCCACCCCCCCCCCCCACCCCCCCCCCCCCCCCCCCCCCACCCCCCCCCCCCCCCCCACCCTCCCCCCCCCCCCCCCCCCCCCCCCCCCCCCCCCCCCCCCCCCCCCCCAAAAAAAAAAAAGTGCCCTCGTTATAGTACGGTGTTACCGGGCTACCAAGGAGGACAACCAGTCTGCAACTGAGCTGGCACTTAGTCATCGATCATAGTACCATGGGATCTTTTCGTGGCAGCATGGCCCTCTATATGGCCCCCCCAAAGGCTGGAAGGTTGAACCCGTTTATTCCCCCGAAGAGCTCGGCCCATCGGCCGGGTCTTTTCGGAGTTGGGGAATGCAACAGACAGCGGTTTTCCAGGTGCTGGACGTTTCCGCTGAGAGCTGCTTCTTTCTTTGTCGCTTGGGTTATGCAAGCGACAGCGATTCTGCTTTCCAGGCTATTGGTGCGACAAGCGGCACCATTCAGAAGCTGAACCTCGCCTGTACATCTGTGATCATTGGGTGGGAGGGTATAGGCAGCACGTACACGCTGGAGCCGCTGGAACCTGGATGTAGGATCTCGGGAAGAGCCATAGTCCTGCGCCACGGTCGCCCAACTCTGACTATTAATATGGGGGTTCCGGATCGGTGAGTCGTCCCCCAAGACTTCTGCACCTAGGATTCAGCTCCTCGCGGATGAGTCAGCTGCCATGCGCGAGTCGGCTGCGGGTGTATTGCACGTCCTTGTGGCAGGCACTCAAGCAGTTAACTTCTTGGAGAATCCTTGGGTCCTTGGGTTGGGCGCAATAAAAGGGCCCTCGAACGCTTCTTCTGCTTGTTCTTGCCATAGCTGTCAACACGAACACCGGGAGTGAAGCAAGCCTAAACCCTAAACCCTAAACCCTGAACCCCTAAACCCTAAACCCTAAACCCCAAACCCTAAACCTAAACCATGAACCCCAAACCCCAAACCCTAAATCCCGACTTAAACCCTGAGCCCATCCTGCAGGTGGCCACAGTAAGAATGTCACAGCGGTTTCCCGAAGCGGGGGCATTCGGCCATGCGCCGTGGTCTGCGCTTACGCTTGTTCTTGTTTTTGGTATCTAGGGTTGAGCTTGCCTCAACCCTCAACCCTAAACCCTAAACCCTAAACCCTTAACCCTAAACCCTAAACGCTAAACCCTAAACCCTAAACCCTTGGGGAAGAACAAGCAGCTCCAAGCAGAGATAAAAATTGAGACCCTGAAGCCAGAGAAACGATCCCCAAGTAATCGAAGCCCCACGTCTGGCACCTTTGCTTCACAGCTTAGGGTTTAGGGTTTAGGGTTTAGGGTTTAGGGTTTAGGGTTTAGGGTTTAGGGTTTAGGGTTTAGGGTTTACTGAACCTTATCTGCCTGTTTCATCTTCCCTTGCCTCTGCTGCCGCTGCTCACACGTGTGCTTTTGGCCTTGTGGAGGGGTTCGGCAGCAGCTGCAAGAAGGAAGAACCTAGCGTACAAACACTCAGCGCTGCTATGAGAGCACTGGCATAATTGCCCGCCAGTTGTGAACCAGTCACCAAGAACCTCAGCAAACTTGAATGAAGGGTTCCCCCAGCTGCGGCTAAGAGCAATTGTAGGGGTTTCGTTTTTGTTTTGCAGTTTTGCTCTCCTTGCCTATTGTGCCTTAAAGCCCGCGTCCTCCTAACATATTGGGAGTTGAGGGTCGAGGGGGTCACTGTGAATTTGCTTTAGCGGGCCGTGGGACTACCCCCTTACATCTAAAGCACACGAAGAGAAACGGTTGCCCTAAACCCTAAACCCTAAACCCTAAACCCTAAACCCTAAACCCTAAACCCTAAACCCTAAACCCTAAACCCTAAACCCTAAACCCTAAACCCTAAACCCTAAACCCCAAAACCGTAAACCCTAAACACTAAACCTCAACCTTGGGGTTCTGGGCTACCGAGGCATGGAGCTACTCAAGGACGAAAACCCTGGAGCAAGGGAGGATGCCGCGGGCGCGCCCTTTTCTTGGGTCTTGGACGTTGGGGGTTCGGGTGTTCGGGTCTTAGAGTGGTTTTAGTGTTGAGGGCTTAGGGTTTAGGGTTTAGATGCAAGGAAGGGTTTTGGTGTTGAGTCTGGCTGCACAAGTGTGCAAGGACTGCCGCCGAAGGTGTGTGCACAGTTGTAGGTGTATTCACCCCCGGCTAATGCTTAGGGAAAGTTTAGGGCATGCCGCGATGCCTCAAATACCCATTTCAGTCAAAGAAGCAGCTGTTTGTAAAATTCTGAAACCCACCCTGAAGTCACTTTGGGGCCAGGGGTCCTGGCCGCCCTGGCCAAGAACGCCGACAACCGCGTTCACATGGCAGACCTGGGTGCAATCCCGCTGCTCATCGAGCTTCTCGGGCCAGTGTTCGGAATGCTTTGGGTGCGGGGTCAGTCGCACCCAAGACTGCGCGACCCGATGCCCTTAGCAGAAGTAGCCTGAAATCGGACCCCAGCACCTTCATGGTCGAACCCCTAGCGCCGCAGAGGCTTGTGGAAGACCCGGCCGGAACAGCAGCAGCTGCACGCCCCTTGCCCACCAATGTTCATACTGAAGAGTATATAGCATTCTTCGAGGGTTTTCAGGCAAGGAAGCCACTGCAGCACCAATGTGTGAGCGGCAACGACGATCCCAGGAAAGTATGCCGCCACGGCACTGGGTGAGCTGGCGGTGCGAAACTCCAAAAACAAGGAGACCATCGGCAAGACTGGTGGCATCCAGGCGCTAGTTGAGCTGCTAAAGGATGGTGTCTTGGCGCTTGAAGCCCTTTTGCACGTGCTTTTTGGTGATCCCTGTCTCCGGCGGCCGGCGCGCATCTAGTGTCCACGACTTGGGAGCCGTAAGCCAGCACGTAGCACAGGTGACCATCAAGCACGTGGAAGATCAGCATCTGCGCTGTCGGAGCTTTGTCAGCTCAGCGACCACAACAAGGTGACGGTGGTTGGTGCAGGTGCCATACCATTGCACCTCAGCGCACTTAGATGTTGTGCTGCAGCTTTCGGCCCCCGGCAACGCGCGTTTCCGACGCAACTGCTGTTTGCGTAATGTTGTGAGTTTTAAGGCCTGGTAGCGACCAAGCATGTCGTCAGGTAGTCCCACCCTGCCAGGGCCCTACAAAGTATGTTTCACTGCCAAACTCAAACTCTGCCTTATAAGAGGAGCGCTGCCCTCAAAAGGTACCTTTTTGGATTGCCAGCCCTCCACTTTGGTTTGTTTTCCGGAAACAGTGCATTCCGTGATTATGCCCTACGCCTGGCTCAGACTGGTCGAGCTGCTGCGGGAAGAGTCGACAAAGAAGCCGGCGAAAGCAGTGCTCGCAAGCCTCGCGGGCGAGTTGGAGGCCATCAGCCACATAAGCGTTCCGGAACGATTCAGGGGGGTTCTTACGAAAATAAGGGACCCCGAATATGGACCCCCCAAACTAGTAGGATTCCCTTATACTACGGACCCCCAAGAAGGTACCCCCCTAATTTCGAAAACCCCCATTCCTGTATGCCGATTCAAGCTTCTTCATGTGGGACATGAGCTGCCGACTTGCCCCAGGCTTTAAAAGGGAGCCCTTCTGAACCCTCTTTTGGCTCTCTTAACCGGGGACCTTATTCAGAGGGCCTATATCCCCCAGATTCCCCCTCCTCCTGCAGCCCCTGCAGGCCAACAAGAAGGCGATCCAGGAAGCGGCATCAGCAGCAAAGGTTGACTTGCTAGCTGCCGGCTTAAAGCTGTGAAGACGCTGTCCCCTGCAAACGGGTTCCCAACTTGGAACATTTTCCTCAGTTTTGTTTAGTCGGCCGCTCGTGCGAAATCATGTTGTTGCGTGTGCTTGGCGCGCTCACCAGAGTCAGGTGGGTGGCTACTGATTGGTTGGCTTCACTCATACAGCGAAGCACTTAAAGGTGCCAGCCAAAGAGTTGTCCAAGGCTGCACAAAGTCGGCACGCCGCCATTCCCCTGAAGCTGACGGCCTCTAAACTTACCTTAAGCCCTTAACCCTAAACCCTAAACCTCCCTCCAGTAAGCCCTCCGGAGCTATTCGGGTGCCAAGAAACCCGAAGCCCTAAAAGGTAAGGAGTCTCTTCAAGCGGCCAAAGATGCTGCTTGAGAGGGACGTTTGGGAGACAAAACACGCAAGCTCTAAGGCCCCAATGAGCCCAAAGACCCCTGTATAAAATTAGGGCATATTCCGGAATCAAGGTGGGAATTTGGCTCTTTGAGGCGTTTCCATCCGAATTCTGTACTAGCCTAGCAACAAAAGAATCAAGAATCGTAGTATAAAAAAACAAAACAAGAACATGAAGATTCGTCGTACTTATCATGCTCTGCCAGCTCAAGCTGCCCGTGTTTCTCTTGTACATACCGTGCTTGGCCAGTCCTCTTGAGAAGTTGAGGGCCCGAGGCGCTCAAAACCACGCGCCCGATACCTGCGTTCTTTGTAGGAGGCAGCGCTTGGATCCTAGGGCTTTAGGGTTTCGGGTTTAGGGTTTAGGGTTTCGGGTTTAAGGTCTCGGGTTTAGGGTTTCGGGTTTAGGGTTTCGGGTTTAGGGTTTCGGGTTTAGGGTTTCGGGTTGCGGCCGCCGGCCCCCAAAACGCCTTCCTAGGAATCTCTAACGCGGGCAGGCTTGGGAGCCACGTGTCCAGCTCTCAAGATGAGGGTGGGCCAACCCAGGCAGGGTTTAGGGTTTAGGGTTTAGGGTTTAGGGTTTTGGGTTTTGGGTTTTGGGTTTCGGGTTTTGGGTTAGCAAACCTCAGGATATCAGGGACATTAGTTCGGTACCATACATACCCCGTCTATGAACACTGCCCCAAACAAGGATTAAATACGTACCTAATCCCCGGATTACCTACAAAGAGCCGGGAAATTTTCGGGGTTGCACAGGCTTCAGACGGGCTTTAGGGTGTACATGCGTACATGGCTTTAGCAGGGTTGACGGGCTGCTGGGCCTAAGATGGATGCCTACAGCTGCAGTGGCCATCGTGCTCGTGTGCATAGAGTGTAGAGTTCCGGAACACCGAGGTTGAAGGATGTTGAAGGATGCATGGGCCACTAAGGCACCAAGGTTCTCGTTGCGATCATGAGAGTACCACCCCAGACAGTTTTGGGGTTACGCTTCACACCATCTCATAGGAATCAAGTTGGGAGTACATGCAACCCCGATCCGTAAACGTAAACCCTCAAACCCTAAACCCCAAACCTTAAACCACTCTGGCAGCATGTGCAGGCTGATGCCTCGGGTCCTAGGGCAGCAATGGACTTCCACGAGTTTCTGGTGTGGGCTCTGGCCTCGGGTAAGTGGAGCTCGTGGATTACGATTTCAGGGCTTAGGGTGTAGGGTGATGAGGCCTGGATGTAAAAAAGGGTTTAGGGTGGGTACCTACATCCCCACCTGTAAGCTCAAGCTTGACGTCCAAAGACAGTGTCGTTGGTGGACTGACGATGAGCTGCCTTTCTTGGCACGAGTTCTGTGCCTCTCGTTCATGGGAGTGCCAGCGCATGCAGTGTTGCAGCCGTGCATGTCAGAGCTTTCAAGGTTTTAGGACACCGGCCTCGCGCAGAGAGCTTTAGGATGATGCAGGGCTTCAATTTCTCTGGATTGTCCGACCTACCACCAAGGCACGGCGGCTGGAAGTGCAGGAGGGGAGGGAGGGTGGCGGGAAGTAGCAGATGCCCGAAGCCCACAATTAAGATCAATTAAGGAACTCTCGCTTACACACTTCTGAATGCCGTTTTCGATGCCGGCGGAAATGGGGAGTCGTGGTTAACAGTTGGCTTTGATTTTGCTGCCGTGTTCTGCATGTCCCGCATGCAGTGCTGGCTGCAGCCAAAGTGCGTTTGTGTGCTGAAAGCCCAGCCATTGCAACAGTTGCTCTAGAAAGGAGTTGGCGCCCATCCGAGAAGGTTTTGACCGGGTGGACAAAGCCCACGACTGCCTCGTGTCCGAAGGCATGGCCCGCACAGACAGGAACATCTGCCAAAGCATCTGCTGCAGGGCCGCGTAGGGTGCCGAAGGATTCCATGCTGGCCGTATGGATCAACACATAGTCTTGCTTCTGGCAGGTGAGTTCCTCGAGATGATCACTCCAGAATTGATGCGACCTGAGACCCAAAGCCGATTGAGTTGGCAGACATCCATGTGCTGGTATATGAAAAGCAAGGGATCCCTATAAAGAAGACCCCAACTGGCAGGATTCCCCTGTAATAAGGGCCCCAAGAAGGTACCCCCATGTTCTGCGGAGTCTTCGCCTTGATCACGTTCAGGTGCTTGGTATTCAGTGGGAAGCTGTCGCAGGTGTTGGCGGATGTGCGCGGCCCTAGCAGCTCTTGGATGTTGCCACGCACTGGTCGTGCGAGAAGGGGGGGGGAGCGCGAAACCCTAAACCCTAAACCCTAAACCCTAAACCCTAAGCCCTAAACCCTAAACCTTAAACCTAAACTGCTGGTCCGAGGGCGGCATGCAACCGGGGCAGCTGCTCAGCTTCGACGATGCTGTCCGGGTGCTTCGGACAATGCGCCCGGAACCTCAGAGCTTTAGGGTTTAGGGTTTAGGGTTTGGGGTTTAGGGTTTAGGGTTTAGGGTGGTCACTTCTGCTTCCTGCGTCTTCCCAGTTTTTTAATGATTAACTGGTAATAAGAAAATAAACAAGGACATAAAAGGTTAGAAAACTATAAGAGTGTTGAGTACTACTACAATAACCTCATAATAAGAAGACGAATATCATATTGCGTGTGGTCATGGGGTTCTCGTCTGTGTTGCATTTGCAGGTAGCACCGGCAACCAGACCAAGCAGGAGGTGAAAGAGTTGGAGGAGGCTTCCCCTTGCAGCACTCAGTGGTGTTGTCGGGTTTAGGGTTTAGGGTTTAGGGTGCAGGTCCTCGGGGGCAGAGCTGTAACGATCTCTGTGCCTTCAGCTGGAAGGTCTTCAGGTTATTCGACACAGATGAGTCTGGCAAGATGGATGTCACAGAGATGGTGGATGTGCACCTGCCTTACTTCGACAGAGATGCTCCTGTGTCACATCACCTGCTGCGGGTTATGATCGTAGCCAGTTGCAGTGCTGAAGGGCAGGCTTCGTTTTTGTTTTGTGCGCTGGCTTGAAGGTTGATGTACCTTGGCTACAGCAGCACGTTGGAGACAACGGTGGAGCAGCTTGGACCAAGTTGTCATAAGACCCGCCGGTGTTGCAGCGTTGCAGCAGCCTTCCCATGCATGCTGTTCCGGATATGGCTCTGCAGGGGGGAACAGGCCTCAGACGACCACATGAGCCAGCCCACAGGATGCCAACTACACATGGTTACACAAATCTAGTTCATGTCACATGTTGGAAGTACAAGGGCCTCGTGCTTGTAGCAAGAAGACCCCGGTCAGCTGTCCATAGCCTTGCCGCCATGGCAGATTCTCAAGGTGATCTGGCGGACGCTGTGCCTGCGGCGCCCGTTGCCGATTCCCTGGAGTCGTATCAGACCCAGAGCTCGCTCGGCTCACAGGGCAGCCTGTGCGCATCCTTGATGCATCTGACCGCAGCACCGGCAGCACCGGAAACCATCGGGTCAAGGTCTGGACCAAGAAAGGCTTGGGCGGACGTCCAGGATACCCCGCCCATGGACTCCCAAAACGAGCCGGGCGCAAGTCTGACGATGGCATCGCAGACCGGGATGCTTTGTCATAGTTGGGCAACATTTTGCAATTTTAAGGGTACTTAAACCCAATAAGGAATTTACATGCTTAATGCTATCCCAACCATGAACTAGGATGGATGCGTCGGCATCAGGCAATGCCACGGACAACTCCTGGCAGAGTCCCCCAATGGAAGTGTGCCAACCGGGCCGTCTTACGCGCAAAGGGCATCTCAATCTTTCAGACTTGCAAGTTCCAGAGGAGGAGCCGGAGAAGTGTGGAGAGAAGCGCTTGGCCCCAGAGCCTTCGCAGCCGGCGAAGCGCAGGGCGGTCGAACACCAGAGCCTGCCGCGGGAAGAAGTTCGCGTTGATACACCTGAGAGCGAGTCTTGGGTGCTCTAGCCCTATTTTCGAAATATTCTTTGGTTTATGGTTTAGCAAATGTATGGGGTGTTGCAAGATCTGTAGCTCCTCTAAGATCTCTAAGCCCCAAGAGCTTAGCCAGCAAGGCCTCCTCAGGATCAGCTCCAAGCTCAGCGCAACCACAAGGCTTGAGCTCGACGGCCGGCGCGTCAGCCGAGGTGCCTCGTAGCGGAAAATATGTGGGTAAGTAACCTGTTTTGTTCAGTTCTTGGTGTAGTTGGAATCCTACAAATAATTCTTGTACCATCTCGGAGTTTAGCTCCGAGTTCCCCCGGAGGACCATGACCAAGAAACCACCCTGGAAGTAGAGCGCTGGCGAGAGATGTATGAGTATAGAGCATAGAGCCAAGCGGATGATGCGGTGTCGGCCCCCACATCTGCCTTGAAGTAGCTCGGGATTCAGCAACTAATCGAACGGTCAAGTTGAGTGGTGATTCCCTGTGAGCCACTTGCTCCCTGAAGGCTCCCACCACCGAGTGGGAGCGTCAGAGGCAAAAGCGCGTCGACGTGGTTGCCAGGTTCAAGGAGGAGTCGGAAGAGTACCGGGCATTCGCTGCCCAGAGGGGGCGCGGGAGGGAGAGGTCAGATCCATGGACTCCCGACCCAACCGAGATCATCTCCAAGCGACGATGGGAGGTCAGATTCGGGGAGTGGAAGTGTGCAATTCGCACTTGGGCTGACCCCGCGGGTGATGCTTCGAACCATGAGGCCGATTTTGAAGCCATTGAAGCCTAATTTGGTTTAACGCTGCGTGGGGTGTCCCCGTCATGTCATGTAAATGTAAACAGGTTTGGTAGCGGTCATTTCCAGGGCCATGCGTCGGTGTGCACCATTAGCAGCTTGCCACAATCCCATGATCAGCGTTCAGCAGTTAAAGCTCTGAATCCCTACGTCTTTGTAACCCTGAGCCGCGCAGACCCAGAGCTCGTGCTCCATGCAATCCATGCTTCCATCAGGCAGCGATAGTTAAGCTTGGACATGCGGGGCCACGTGCACGCAGCGTCACGCAGCCTGGCATGCTTCGCTTAGTAAGTGGCACCGCCATTGCGAAGTCAGGCGTTGCTTTGAATGTGGTATTGGCCACATGTCAACTGGCAGGGCCCAGGGCCCTTTATGTAGCGCAGCATGCTGCGCAAGACCACTTCAGCAAGGAGGTCTCTCTCCGTGTAGTTTAGAGCTAAAGAGGTTTGAGTCTAGAGGCTACTTGGATGCCTGCCAGGTGATGGCGTGCCAGGATTCCAGATCAAGTGGCTCAGATGCTTCTGATATGTTGCAAAGTGAGTCCCCTCCCCCTGATAGAAGAGCTCCCTGCCGTACCCGCTACTAATGTTCCCATTATTGAATATAGTACAGCAATGTACAGCACGAAGGCAGCTGAACCCTAGAGCCACTTGGACCCGACCTCGCCATCTGCTTCGGGGATGTTACCCACCTGCGCTTGGCCGGGGTTATGCGCCAGTCGCAGCTTTGTGTACAGCCGACTTCTCACTCTTCGCGGCTAGCTGGCAGATGCATCGGACAAGTCAGCACGTAGAATCGCTCTCTGCCTTCGTGCAGTGTTCATCATCTAGCTCCAACCCAGATGCTGAAAAGAAAACAGAGAGCCGGAGAACTTGCCTCTGACTTGACATGCATGTGCACCTTGCACGGCTCACGCTGAGGATGATGCGCCGTAGTGATGTTGATGGTAACGACGAGTCCGACACCAAGCGGCGGGGCTGTGGCACTCGTTGACCCGTGGAGCTGTGTCCCACGCATAAGCTCCGGCCACCCAGGCTGGACACACGGGAGTTTCTGGCGTGCATGCGCCAGCACGAGATCATGCAGTCCTGGGTCTGCCGCTTAGGGGCCACGGCTTGTCTGGTCCGTAGGCTACCATATATCCCCCTGGGTATTTTTGTTCATATAAAACCCAAGAGGATATTAAACATAGTTTTTTATTAAGGTTCTAAGGGGAGTATAGTACCGTGTAGAGCCTGAACGCCGAGGCTTTGAAGTCTGCGTTTGGCCAAGCAAGCGACGGTGGCACTTGTGCCTGGGCTTAAACGTCCAGCCGAGGGACTTGCAAAAGACTGGAGTATAGGGGCCTATTTGATTGGAGCGGTTTTTTGCAGCCCTGGAAAACAAAATTTGTCGAAGACTCCTGAACCCTAAGCAAAATCCCTGGCTTAAGGAATGATTGTGCCCCGCAATGTGTGGCCTGAGTGTTAGCTAGGGTGGCCAACAAAACTAAAAACCCAAGGGAAGTTACAGGGTCACTTCTGTGCTGCGACGCTCACTCTCGCATGGCAGGCAAGGTTCATAGGGTTTAGGGATACTTGAAGGTTCATGGGCAGTTTATAAGTCGGTATATCAGTATGATAACCGCGATTAAGGCACTTATAACCCTGCTTCTAACTACTTCAAGCATGGCCCCAGACTTCCGAACCCTTTCAAGAAAGCATGAGGCCATATTAGCAGGACTGAAAAACAGCCCCAACCCCCAAACCCGCAACCCTAAACCCTGAACCCTAACCTTACGGGTACCCTGAGACTAAGAAGCGCAGGCAACCACCTCGAGTTGGCCACGATTTTGCTGTCGCGCGGCGCCCGGCCTGGGGACTACGCAGCTCAAGGCTTGGGGCTCCTATGACCGAAGCTCAGTGGTTCTTAGTAGGGATTAGGTTCAAAAGGGTTTGGGTTGAGGGAACTACTCGTAGGTTCTTAGAAAATGGCCCTTCGTGGGCTCTTTTAACCTGGTTCCCCTAGTTCCCTACAAATCGCTAGTCAGCCAACCGCACTAACGGGATCATCTCATACTAGGAACTCCGAGGAGCCAAAAAGGCAACCCCAAGTACTGGTTCCGAAACTTCGCTACCTGAACATCTACGAAACCCGAAACCCTAAACCCCAGGTGGCTAAAAACCGTAAAGCAGAAACCTTAAACCCTAAAAACCCAAAACGCAAGTCATTCACCCTCTCAGCTCTACGCGCCCAATGCGCCTCAGAGCCCTTAAGGCCCCAAACGCCACACTGAAAAAGCCCCAGCACCCCTAGAAACCCCTATTAAGCCCCATAAACTGACTCGAGAACCCTAGAAACTTTATGAACTTGCCTGAAAAACCCTAAACCCTAAACGCTAAACCCTAAACCCTAAACCCTAAACCCTAAACCCCTTACTTTAAACCCTATATAGACCCTAAACCCTACAGCCTTGCTTGAGAACCCAAGGCTGGAGCTCTTCCCTGGCCAAGCCAAGCTCAACCAGATGCTGAAAGATCAGGAGATGGATGACTTGGAGGAGACTGGACAAGGTTAGAAGGGCTTAGGGTTTAGGGTTTAGGGTTTAGGGAGACCTAAGCGTTCCAGTCGAGTATGTAGCGCGTGTATGGCGTGTCAGCCAGCAGAGCTGATCCCGTTGTACCAGCAGCTGCTTTTTCTGGCATTCCCCACCCAGCCCAGATGGAAAAAAGGGAGACCTGAGGCAAAAAAGGGTTTAGGGTTTAGGGTTTGGAAGGGTTTCGGGCTTAGGGGGTTACGGCTTGCAGGGTTCGGGGCTTCCTAGGGCCCTCTTTGGCTGCATTAGGACTTAGGGTTTCAGAGACTTTCGGGGGTTGTGGGATGCACAGCAGAGCGTTGCCTGTGAGATGCGAAGAGCGTTGGAGGAGTTCGACTTCCGCCAGGTGTGCGAGCTCGCCAAGCTTTGCCGCCAAGCTGTTGCCAAGGCGCCGTGGGTGAAGGGTTTCGGGGCCATTTCCTTGTACCTCAGTGGGGGGGCGAGTGTGGGGCAATGTGCGTACAGCTTCATTTTCACGTGCCCTTGTTGCTTTGGGCTCCCCGCCTCGCCATAGACCCTTTCCAAACGCTTTTAAATACCCCAGGGCCATGTGAATTGCATCATGTTCTAAGAAGGCTCCATGAATTTCGAAAGTAGACCCTCTTTCTATACCACCAAAATGCTTGAGTCATTTTGACAGGAACCCCCAACAAAAGGGTACCCATTTTTGGGAACCCATCCCCTCCCCCCACCCCACATTGCGGCTTTACATGCGGCCTTCCGCAGAGGCCAACCGACAACGCGCCTGCTTCCCGCAGAAGCACGTGCAGACCCTGGAGCGGCTCTTCAAGGAGACGCGCCCTTCCGAGTACCCTAAACCCTCCGGGAAAGGCCATAGAGCTCCAGAATCACAAGGGGAGGTTCCCCAAGTAAGCGCAGAGCTTAGATGAAGCTTCAAGGTGCGGGTTTAGGCTTCGGAACTTCGACCTTGGCTGGTCAACGCTGTGCGGGACTTTTGTTTCGGCTTCCATGATGTAGGGTTTAGGGTTTGAGAAATTGAGAAAGTCCCACAGGCCAAGATGCAAAAACAAAGTTTAAGAAAGGCCTTCTGTTTGAATCGGCAAGCATGCAACACAAACAAAAAAATCGCACAATTCAGGGGTCGAAATAATTACGAATAGTTTTCTTTTGTGGTCCCTTTATAGCTATACTGTAATCGCCCCCCAAACCCTATTCGAATGATTCAGCCCATTAGGGTTTAGGGTTTAGGCACAGACGCGATGCGACTCGAGATGCCCGGATGCACCACAGCCTGAGTAGGCACTTGAAGGTTCATGGGTAGGTATCCGAAGGTTCGTGGACAGCCATAAAGTAGGGCTCAAGGTAAGGTACCCTATTGTAAGCTTGGTAAAGTTGCTTATACCCTGCTTATATACCCATGAATCTCCAAGCAGGTGGCAACAGGCAAACGATTCCAACACCCATCAGCAAAACCATCTCAACAGAGCACACTGGGTGTCTTGCCAGAATTTTACAGTCTTTGCTTGGGACGGAGACATTTTTGCTAATGGCTTTGAGGCTTCGATTTGGGAACCGGAGCCTGCCTCGACTTGTCGGAAATCATCTTCGTGAATTGGACTGATCTTGTCGCACTCGTTCTGAAGTGACATGGCAGGAGTATGCTCCCTCTGGAACGATGGACAGGGGAGGTCGAATGCAGATTCGCTGTGTGCATAATGTGCGTTATCGTGCCCTCTAAGCAGAAATTGTGGGAGGGGGGCCTGTTAGACCCGCTGTCCAAGAGCCTGAACGATTGCTGGCAGGGCTGATCTGCTGCCTCTCTATCCTGGATCTGCCGATGAACACCATGCAGGACCCTGGTCGTGAACCCTAAAGCCTAAACCCAAAACAGTATTCAGGGCAGCCTATGAGACAGGGAGTCCCAAAAACCACCTGGGACCTCGGATGTGTTTCCAGGAGCGGGAAGACGTCTTATCGCAGCTGGATGCTGCAAGGCTGGGAGTGTGGGTTTAGGGTTTAGGGTTTGGGGTTTAGGGTTTAGGGTTTAGGGTTAGGGTTTAGGGTCCCTGAGGATTTACAGCTCACCTTAGCCCTTAGGGCCACACTGCCCTCCTTGAACCCTACTTACACCCTACACCCGGATGTGCTATTGCCTTACCGATTCCATCCGCCTACTTAACAAGTAGGCACGCGCATGTGTTTCAAGTTTTTGGTCTTTCGTCCCGACTTGTTACCCTGCATTGTGGCTGAGCTGCTCGGATACCAGGGACAGGGGCCGGGTAAACCTTAAACCGTCTTAGGCTATCCTACGGGAACTTGAGGGAAGAGGGTTCACTTTGGCCAATTGGGTTTCTCCTGAACCTCCTGGCCTTCTTTGGGGCTTATAAGGTTTTGCCCAGACATGTGGGTCTCTGAGCAGCCACAAGCCGGCCGAAAAAGAGCCTAAACCCTCTAAAGCCGTACACCTGCCATAGCACGCGCCTGAACTCCTTGGTAGCCCAGTGTTACCCTTTTCCCCTTTTTTTGGGGGATTCAAGGTTCCCTTATAAAATAACCAACCCCAAAAAGGGTGCCCTCATTGAACTGTGGTTTCTGGGCTACCAAGACTCGGAGCTGCGACCAGTCGCGCCAGGTATGCGGCGCAAGCCTTTGGAGTTGAGGAGGCCCGGGGCCCGTCATGCGCAGAATTCAGGGATTTATTTTTATTTTTTGCTTCGATCTGTAGAGTTGGGTGTGACCTTGGGATGTGTCCCCCTTCTACTAACAGTCCTTAATTAGTAGGGATTCTAGTCCCCTGCCCCCCCCCGCCATGATAGTCCCCAAGGTGTGATCTATCGTTTTTTGTTATTGCTGCCACTTGCGAGACGCAGTTCTGGCTTTGATGAAGGAAGGCCCGTCTCCTAAGTCCTGGTGACCTCATGGGTGGCTTAGGTGAGTTTCTCTGACAGCCACATGCTGACTTTCTACAAGCTGCCCAGCACCTAGCATTTCCTGCGTGCAGCAGACTGGGTGTGAGCGAAATGAGGTTGTCCATAGGCTCTAAACCCTCAACCCTCAACCCTAAACCCTCAACCCTAGACCCTAAACTCGAAACCCTAAACCCTAAACTCTAAACCTACCACGTCCTAAGAGGCTGGGAAGCCAAAGGTGACAGAGGCTAGGTGGGCCCTTGGAAACCCTAAACCCTAAACCCTAAACCCTAAACCCTAAACCCTAAACCCTAAACCCTAAACCCTAAACCCTAAACCCTAAACCCTAAACCCTAAACACAATAAGGGATCAAACTCAGAAATAGTTTTCAGAGGCTTTTACGGGCCATCCTAGGAGGGCATCTATGACAAAGTCGGCCGACCATCACAAGCCGCGTAGGGCGGTGGCCTTGCTTCACAGGGTTGGTGCAGGATTTGAAAACAGGTGCCCCACAAGGGGCCCGACGAAAGGCTCAAAAAGCCTGAAGCTCCGAAGCCTTCGAATCCTTGAGAGCCCAAGGCTGCATTTGTTGCGGCTGGTGTGTGTCCGCCATCGGCGGGCTGTGATGGAGAGGGAGTTGGCAGCCGACGCCTGAGGGTTCACTTGGAGGTTCATGGTACGTATTAACCAGTGATAACTGTTCTTTGTCACCCACTTATAAGCCCCTTAAGTGCCCTAATATGGTTATGAGTACAGTTATAAGCACAGTTTTAATCGGTTAAGAAGTACCATGAGCCTCCAAGCAGGTTTAGGTTGACGGGTCCAGCTGCAACGCGAGGGTTTGCCGACGTCCTAGCCGCATGTCCAAACTGCTTTGAAGTGCTGGGACATGTGGGTGGTTGTGAAAATTATGATCCCATTTTGGGGTACCTTAAACATCTAAATATCAGGTGCTGTATTGTATAATAGGGATCATCTAAAAAGGGACCAGGTGCTGCATTATAAGAGGGATCCAAAAAGGGGCCATAATTTTGACAACCATCCATGTGTGTTTACAGGCATCCTTCGAAAATGCATCGGATTGTCTTGGAAGTTACCAGCAGGGTCTGAGCAAGAAGCCATTTGCTAAAGGGTTTAGGGTTTAGGGTTTAGGGTTTAGGGTGTGTCTTTGGCAAAACAGGAGAGGGGAACTGGGACCCGTACTCTACGGGCTTCTGAACGCATTCTCTGCACCGAGTTCACGCTTGAAAAGGCCAAGCCGCTCGCAAATGTTGCATGTCCTCACCGGGCGAATGGTTTCCTGATTCTCCACAGTCTGGCAGCTCGTATGTGCCGACGATAATCACCCAACTGAATCCTCGTCTGGGCAGAATAATCACCCTCGTGTTGGACGTGGACCAGTAGGGAGGAGGGTTCGGGCTTCCTCTTATAGCTAGTTCTTAGTAGAGAATGAGGTGCCCTATATCACCCTATATATCCCCTGTAATTCCCCCAGTCCCCACTAAGAACCAGGGGGTCTTTCAAGGGTGGGACACCGGTCTTTCAGGCTTTCCTTCAATGGACTGCTGTGGAGCCCTTGAGAAGAAGCAACCCCAGAATTGCCCTCTCCCGCATGGACCTTGGACAACTTGGGGTTGACGAAAGTAAGGGACTCCGGTACCCCTAATATCGCGAACCCCCCATTTGGGCTGAGGCCTTGACTGCAGCAGGCATCGCTCAGACGGAGGTCATCGAGTTCCGTGAGGCGGTCTACATGCGTTTTAGGGTTTAGGGCTTCGGGTTCAGGGTTTAGTTTTTGGGGATTCAGGGTATATCTTGTCCTCATGTTTGAGACTGTGCCTGTTGATTGGTTTGCTAGAGCATGTGAGTCCAGTCAGCAGTTTCTGGCAGCACCCACGGGAGTCCGGATGCAAAAAGAGATCCGGGGTATAGTTTCTCAGAGCCGGGCGGTACCCAACGGCCCGTTGCAAAAGGGCCGCAACAGAAAGGTAATTAATTGAGTCGCTGGGAGACAGCGAGAGGGGCAAGGGAGGGGGGTTGAATCATCAATCGTGCTTAATGATACTACCGCGGTCTTCGACTGGCATACACAGCCCCCGCCCTGCGGGCAGCTTGTCAGTACTTGAAGGTTCATGGGTAGTTATAAGTAGGGTTAAGTACCTTAATTAAGGTTGTAGTAATTAATTACAGGTTACCTCACTGAACAGTTCAACAGCCCTACTTACAACTACCCAGTCGCTTGTATATAGTAATTATAGGTTACCTTACTTAACAAGTCAACAGCCCTACTTAATAACTATCCATGAATGGGTAGCTTTATGTAGGGTTATAAGTTATAAGCACCTTAATTAAGATGATTATAATTATAGGTTACTTTACTTTGCAACTGAACTGCCCTACTTATATAATAACTGCCCTAATTTGAGCCTTGAAGTATTGAAGGTCTTCCACAAGTTGGCCATGGAGAAGGCATGCAATACCGATGCCGGCGCGGCATCTGTACAGAAGGCGGGCAAGCGTTAGGAATAGGTTTAGGGTTTAGGGTTTTTAGGGTTTTTAGGGGTTTTAGGGTTTTTAGGGTTTTTAGGGTTTAGGGTTTATGGTTTAGGGTTTCGGGTTTAGGGAAGATCGTGGGAAGAGTGTCGATGGGCACAGCCGGACGCGCACAGGTCCCTGGCAGCCGCAGAAAGTCCGTGCCGTCGCCCGCGACATGCTGCAAGCTCGGGGTGCAACGACATGGGGGTTTACGAAAATCAGTGGGCCCTAATATAGACCTCCCACATAGTAGGATTCCCTGATAAATAAGGACAAGGCACCCCTAATTTCGGAAACCCCCCAGAGGTCATCTCGTACTTGGAGGTTCATGGTACTTATGAACCAATGAAACTCTACTTATAACTGTAACCATATTAGGGCACTTAAGGGGCTTAGAAGTGGGATATAGGTACGGTGATAATGGGTTAACAAGTACCATGAACCCCCAAGTAGGTCCAGCTTTGCCCGATTAAAACGGCAGTGACCAGCGAGAGCACTGAGCTTGGTGGGGCTGAGGGGAAGCTGTTGACTCCGTTTCGGCCTCCGCCAGCTTCCGCGCCACCGCCATGTATGTGGGTTTAGGGTTTAGGGTTTAGGGTTTAGGGTTGCGATCTTAGCAGGTGGTCAGCGCAAAGACTTTGAGATCTGGAGTCTAGATCCTCACACACGGGCTTGTCGTTGCTTTCAAGCTCAGACGGACCATCCACGTACTCATGCAGTCTAGGGCAACGCAACTTTGCTTGCAAAGGAGAGAATGAGTGATTTCGGGGCCCAAGTTTCATTGCTTTTTACGACCGAAAAAACTGTTCTGCGCCAGGCTATGAGGCCAATTTCGCCATCGCTGAGCTAAAGGCCACCCTGGATGATGTATTTAGGCTTAGAGGTTGATACCAATGTTTTGCAGTTCCTGCGCGAAGGGAGAGTTGTTTTCCTTGCTTCGAGATATTTCCGCATATGAGCCCAACTCGACCCTTGAGCTGAACATGCAAAGCAGCAAAAACCCACGTGCCAACAGCGGTGATCTCGGAACCATGGCGGATTATTGATGTGCCATGGACAACCGTGCCCGCTCTAGAAGCCGTGGGAGGACGGAGAGCACGGATCCTACCCAGACTTGCTCTGAGCGGTGGGTACACGCATTTCGCGCACTTGCAGAGTTCGAAGAAGGAGCTTGGGCCGGCAAAGCCGAAGCCGAAGCCACCAGCCTGGGTCAAATCAAAGCAAGAAGACTCCAGCTGCTTCGGGAGGCTGGTGAGGCTTTGGGCTATCCGCCGGAGAGCTGGCTGTACTCTGCGGACGCTGCAGATGCTCACGAGAGACTTGAGCACGTGCCTGCAACTTTGAACGTGGAAGGCCACTTGGAGCCAGGTCGCCCAGGTCGAACCTTCTCCCCACGCGCGGCACAAGGTCGCAGCAGCTTCGAGCAGAACCGGCAGTACACACTTGAGAACCACATTGAGATGGTGCTCGACGTTCACCGCGTAGCTGCTTTCCAGACTTGCATCCATCGGGCGGCTCCTGGAAGGCGTGTGCTGGATGTTGGGTCCGGTGCATTCTGCCTGCTTGGCAGACTTGCGTTGAAAGCCGGGGCAGTCCTCGTGCACTGCGTCGAGCAGAGTTCGGCCAGCATGGCGCACGCGCGCGAGCTGTTCCAGATGGAGATGGCAAGGACGGAGTCGCCGCCGCTGCTGTGGCTTCGCCGCACACCTGCGACACTTTGCCCTGACCAGATGCAGCTCATGTTCCCGAGTCCGGAGGTGCGCCGATGGGAAATCCACGTGGAAGATGCAGCGGCTGCAGAGAGAGTGGTGCATGAAGTTGAGCAGCATGAGGAGGAAACTTCAGACTCGCACAGCTCTCGGGGCTCCTACTGTGGCACTGTGCTCCTGTGGCCAGATGATGAGGAGTTCCCTACAAGCTTAGAGCTCCACCAAGGTCTTTGTGCGGAGGTTCCTCTGCCTGGAGAGTACGACCTGGTTCTACATGAAGTTCTTGGGTACATGGCCAGCTCAGAAGGTGTGGTGCCGACCATCAGGGACCTACATGCCAGGCAGCTTCCGACGCGTGGCTGTCAGTTCATTCCGTCAGCAGCTGGAACATACTTTGCCCCAACAGCACGAATAGAGATGACGGATCTCGAAATGGCTCTACATCAACTCTTCAACGGAGAGGAAGAGCTGGCCGTGAAGACCAAATACAATGTACGCCATTTTGACCCTTCCAGCTTCCTATCGAAGCCTGAAGTTTTTGAGTGGTTTCAGTTTGACACTCCGGCGACTCTGGTAGACCAAGAGCGATTGGTAGAGTTCAGGACGGCGCGTGAGGGGTATTTTGACGGTCTGCATTTCCACTTGCTTATCGAACTGGACCCCCTGACTACACTCAACGTGCTGACGGTCCCCACGACTTGGTGCACGTCGTACATTCGATTGCTAAGAGAGGCCGTCTTCCTCCCCGCTGGAAGCCTGATAACTTGTCAGTGCAGAGCAGCAAGCGGACCCACAGCCCAGTACTTCGTGGAGCTTTGGTTGGGACCGGCCACGGAGTCACCGCCACTTGCCCGCTTCGCGTGGTCGGGCTGCTCGTGACTGAAAGCCTGATGCTTGCTCATTGCAGATTCAGACTTGTAGGGTTAAGGTGCAACATAACGCTATGTATGCATGTATGCATGTATGTATGTATGTATGCATGCATGTATGTAGGTATGTTATATAATATCAAAGGCAAGGGCAGTCTTACTAGTGTTGTACGTATTCACGAGTGGAGGAGGAAATCAGTGCACACGCTTGATTTGACAGCTCGCCGGGCAGGCTTTCTTGTGCGTTGGTGGCAAAGGGCCACAAATCTTCGCATGGATCCCCAGTCGGCACTGCATTTCTTCAGCTCAACTTGCGCAAATGCCGAAAATGGTATGAAATTGTGCCAGTTGATGTGGTGTCTGAGGTGCAGGATGTGATGGACTTGCTCCTAGACTTGGGCGTGCCGCTGACGAGCAAGCAACAGATAGAACTACGGTTCCAGGCGTGCCTTGCAGGCACCACACGTCTTTCGAGCTCCCTTCACGCTGTGGCAGGCCACAGTCTTCGCGGCCCATCATAACGATGCCATATCCTCAGACTGATGCTGCCATCAGAAGCCCATGCGTGCCGAACCGCTTTAGGGTCTTAGGGTCGTCTCTGGCAAGAAGGGTTTCGCCAAAGGCTGAGAGGGGTCAGGGTGTACTGGCAGCAAGCTCCAAGGCTGTGGACTTTGCCACGTTCATTCAACTCATCAGGCGCTGGGAAAGCTTAGGGTTTAGGGTTTAGGGTTTAGGGTTTAGGGTTTAGGGCAAGAGAACAGCTCTGAGTAGGCTTGGTTCTTGGGAGGTGGATGCTGGACGTGAACCTGGGCGGCATCAACCGGAAGACCGCAGGGAACGGTGGTTCCAAGGGATTCCAGGCCAGCGGCATGTTGCCGGCCTTACCAGTTGAGAAGCTTCTAGAAGAGCTTATTCAGTGAAAGCTGTTCTAATCCAGTGACAACCTACAAAAAGATCACAGAGCACTTCTGGTTGGCAAGGTCAACAATCCGCATGTGCCACAGTGCCCCCAAGTCCATTGCGCTGGACCCCTCTCCAAACCACAAAACCCGTTTTGCAGTAGGCGTTTGAGCACTCCGCTACTCCTTAATCCCAAAACTCCAACACGCTAGACCACAAGGCCCCAAACCAAGCCGCAAACTTGCTTTGGCTTCAGGCAGCATCGGCAGCCTTGTCCGTGTCCTTGCGGCGCTGAACTCAGCGCGGGTTAAGTCTTTCATTTCTTTCATTGGTCCGGTTGGATTGCACCATACATATCGCCAGAGGCTCCGAATATCAGCCCAAGCCCGACGCGCAATCCTGCAAAACCTGAATCGCATCTTCCCATGACTTGCATCAGGTCACGGTACACCGCGTCCAGACGTGCATCGCTATCCTGACAACTTTTGGGTCGACTCCGAAACACGGAGGCACCATGTCTATGCCTATGCGAGACCTGAGGCGCCATCAACCCTGAACCCGTGACGCTTATCTCTGGGAAGAAGTGTCCCCCCAAGCACAGCTCCTAGGGGCCCTCAGGGGGCGAATTCTTACATGGTCGGCTCGGGAACGAGGCAGGCCAGCGGTCATTTTGCACAGCTGATCTTGGCCGGAAGTGCAATGCAAGGGAGGAAGTGCAAGCATAGGCAGCAGAGGCTTTGAGTGCCTGTTGGCTTGAGTTCCCTGTCCTTGCTCTGCATCTCCCCGGAGTACCGCCACTATGCTGCATTAGAGCAGTTTCGAGTTGCTGGGGGAGCAGCACCATGCTGCTTGGGCTTGGTCCTAGGAGGTCTCAGTGCTGTGCTGCCTGCAAGACGCGGGTGTGCCGCACTGAGAAGTTGCAGAGACTTGGGCGGAAGTCTTTAATTGAGACTTCGCCATGTTCCTGCTATGTGAGATCTCAATGGCTCACGTTGCATACACTGAAGTTCCAGTACTCATCACTTGCTTGAACCGATGCTGCCCTAGTCGGAGCCATTGAGTGCCGGAAGAACGTGCCAATTTTTTTGCAAGTTTTCAAAATCTAGGAATAGTTAGGACAACATGGCCCTTTAGAACGAAAAGAGCACCTGCAGGGGATCCCAGTCCGCCACAAGGGGTGTGGCTTTGCATGTATGGGCGTGTCACATGATGCCGAATCAGCTTCAAGATCCAAGCGCAAGACAGCCAAGCAACACCACAGCTTCCTGGTCAGTAGCGCAGGCTGCGTTAAGTGTGCACTTGACCTCGAGCATCTTTGAATCACTGAAATGCAGTGGCAGCAAGGCGACAAGTATCTAGCAGCGGATGCTGGAATAGGATGCTGTAGTTCCTTCTCCAGTTATCGCATGTCATTTGACGGCCGATCGCGAGCAGGAGCCAGCAGCTAGAGCGGGTAGAGCAGGCAACTAACAGAAGCATGGAAGATACACGGTTGAGCATCGGAACTTGTGGCACATCCGATGGCGAGCATTGTCAGGCATGACCATCGAGTCCGCCATGGGAGGCACGCTGGACCTCGGTGGCTGCCTGATCACTTGTCATTGTTTCTTGCACGCAAATTCACGCATTCTGCCCTCGCAAGCTGTTGTGGCTCAAACACTTAGCCTGAACAGTGCGAACCGTTCTCCATCTTTCGTATGAAAGGCCGACACATGGTCTGGCAAAGGTTCATTCTCGCTGCAGCCCTTGTAGCGAATGCAGAGGTATGTGATGAGACCGAGCATCATTTGCACCTAGTGCAAAGGCAGCTGCACCTCCTCCGGGCTCCAAGCACGACACGCACCTGGGAGGAGGCGAAGGCTGCGGCCCAAAACGTTGTAAGCCAGCTGGCGGATGAAGAGCTGTACAACCTGGTGCGCGGCAGCCACTTCGCAGTAACTGGCTCACCTGACCCTGGGTACTACGTCGGGAATACACCGGCCATCCCCCGATTCCGGATTCCGGCACTGAAGATGCAAGACGCGGCGCAGGGCTTCCGCGATACGGAGATGGGCACTGGTGGCACCAGCACCTCCTTCCCGAGCATGCTGGCTTTGGCTTCAACTTGGGATGAAGACCTGGTTCGTTTAGTTGCCAGTGCCCTTGGCACAGAGTACAAGGGCAAGGGGGCCAACTGCATCTTGGGGCCGTCTATCAATGTGCACCGCGCTGCGGCTGGCGGTCGAAACTTTGAGTACCTTTCAGGTGAGGATGGTCATCTTGGTGCAAAATTGACGGCTGCATATGTCAGGGGCGTCCAAGACCAAGGCGTCATTGCAACCGCAAAGCACTTTGCGTTCAACGAGCAGGAGACAAATCGCATGAGCATGGATGCCCGAGTCAATGAACGAATCCAGTGGGAGCTGTACTATTTGCCATTCAAGGCAGCAGCAGAGGCTGGCGCGGGTGCCGTGATGTGTGCCTACAACAAGGTCAATGGCACATATGCTTGCCACAATTCTGAGATGCTAAAGGCCGACTTGCGTGGCAAAATGGGTTTCTCTGGGTTTGTCATGTCTGACTGGACAGCAATGCATTCGAAGGATGCTTTGCAAGCAGGACTAGATCAAGAGCAGCCGGGGCCCATCAAGAACGTGCCTGTGTTGGGTGTCTTCGGTGTGCTTGTAGACGACACGATCAGGACTTTGGACAGGTCAACGGTCGAGACCGCCGCCTTGCATGTCCTCACCACCATCTTTCGCTTCCGGCTCGATCAAGACATGGGCTGCGCCCCTCCAAATTGCACGCAGGAGCTTCAGTCTGACCAGACAAAAGCCACGACGCGCGGCGAGCGCCACGAGGACATCGCTCTCCGGGCTGCTGGGTCGGCGATTGTCCTTCTGAAGAATGACCAGGATCTCCTCCCCCTGAACAAAGCAGGGATTGGCAGGATTGCTGTTCTTGGCAATGCTGCCTCAGACGAGACGCACCGTACGTTTGTGGGGAAAGGCTCCGGCTACGTCCAGCCCGACTCATCTGCCAAGACGCCGCTTCAAGCCATCGAGGCAAGAGCTGCCAAGGCAGGGATTCAAGTCGTCAAGCCGGAGGGTGCTAGCATCGAGGAGGCGGCCTCTCTGGCTCAGTCGGTTGATGCCGTGGTCGTCGTCATTGGCGCCGATGCCACGGAGGGTGCCGACAGAAGCTCCCTGGGACTGGGGGAGGCCAACGATGCCATGATCAAGGCGGTGTCCTCCGAAGCACCCACCATTGTGCTGCTGCAGATTCCGGGAGCCGTCCTCATGCCCTGGCGCGGAGAGGTTGCGGCAGTTGCCACGCAGTTCATGGGTGGTGTGGCGACGGGTGCTGCCTGGGCCAACTTCCTCTTCGGGGACGTGGCCCCGCGTGGGAAGCTTCCGATCATGATGCCGGAGACGAGCGCAGATGTCATCCCCGTCGGTCTGGATCCTGAAGTGGTGTACTCCGAGGGCCTGCTTACATCCTACAGGTCTCCGGTCCTTCGAGCGGCATTTCCTTTTGGTCACGGCTTGGCCTTCACTACCTTTGAGTATTCAGGGGCGGACCGGCTAGAGACGGACTGTCCTGCGGCAGTCTCTTTGTCATAGTTGGGCAACATTTTACAATCTTAAGGGTACTAAACCCAATAAGGAAGAGCAATTTACATGTTTAATCTTATCCCAACCATGAACTAGGTCTGTGTGTCACTCCTGGTGAAGAATGTCGGGCAGCAGCCTGGTGAAGAGGTTGTTCAAGCCTACATCCACTTCCCGGAGCCCACTGGAGGAGATGAAGCCTGGATTCGAGGAACCCCTGAGATCATGCTGAAAGCTTTCCAGCGGACGAAGGTCCTGCAGCCAGGCGGGTGGCTGCCAAAATTCTGATCCCTTTTGGGGGTACCCTAAAACAGTAGGTGCCGAATTATAATGGGTATCCAAAAAGGGGCCATAATCCTAAACCCTAAACCCTAAACCCTGCCAGCGTGTGCGCCAGTGTGAGAGTCGAAACCCTAAACCCTAAACCCTAAACCCTAAACCACCCAGGTGATTCCCAAACACTCCGCTTCGACTTCGCGAACAGCGACCTGCAGCTCTTCGCCTCTGGGCGTGGGTGGGTGCCGCAGAGCAGCTAGGCAGGCCTTTGGGATCGTGTATACTTTGCCTTATTGGGCTTCAGAGGATCTGATTGTTTTTTGTATATATATATATATATATTTTATATTTATGTGCTTATTTTTTCAGAGGGTTTTACGTCTTACGTGTCATCCTAGGCAAGATCGAAGTCCGCCTCGGAGCATCCAGCAAAGACATCCGTCAGACGATCTCGGCAGACATCTCGATCGAAGTGGCGGTGTCTGAGTAAGCGGGGCACTTTCATATTATGAACTCAGATGGGCGGCCAAGGGTTCACCATTCCCCTTGTCCATACGGCGTGGCAATGGGCCATGCTCTTTCGCTGGCTTTTGGCATCTTCTGGCCAGGACGGAATGTGGCCAAGATCGCGCAGAAAACGACCTGCTTGCTGTGGGGGAGCGGGGGGCGGCCTCATAAGATCCCTGGACCCCCCCCCCCCTTCCCCCCAACTTTTTTCCTGCTTCTAAAAACATCCTCAGAATAGCCCCCCCAAGTTTTCCTGCTTTTAAAAAACATACCTAGAAGAGCCCTATATAGACTGGCCCTGCTGAAGTCTGTCAGGCGCCTGAGTCGCTCTGCGTCAGATCCACGGGTTGGGCCCTCAGAGCCTGGTGCCCCCTTCGGTGGGCCCCGGAGCATTCTCGGGATTTCTCGGGTCACGGGTCGCTCGTAGAATTCTCGTGATTCAGGAAGCTTGAGACTTGAGGCCCTCAGCCCCTTGACTTTCAATGCCCCGCCCCACCTAGTGCCTCGCTTTTTCCGAAGATGTGCTTAACTCTAAACTGAGGGTTGCTCGAAAGCTCCTGGTCTTCGAGTTATACTGAGACGACCATTACATGATTGAAATAAGGATCCGCGAAGGGGCCCGCGAAAGACAGTTCACTTCTGCGCGAAAGCTTTCTGTTATTGCATGCCATCACTCTTTGGTACAGACGATGCCACTGACAGTGTGTGTATATACTAAAAGAAACGGCACAAGAGATGGGGATGGTTGCAACCTGCACCCAGAATCTAGCAACTACTATCGGAGTCCGAGAAAGTCCGCGATGGGGCCCGCGAAAGACAGCTCACTTTTCGCTTGTCAACATTCTGGTCCTTTGCTGGATCCCTATTATCATACGGCACGTACTATGTAGGGTACCCCCAAAAGGGATTAGAATTTTGACAGCCACCCATTTAGAACAACCGCCAACATGCTGCTCTGAGGCGTATGAAAAGGCCGACTGAGGAGGCCAGAGGGCCTCACAGTAGGGGTCCACAATTTCGACTTCAAGAAGTCATTGTGTAAGAGGTTTGGGATGTGCTATGAAGGCCTCAACCCTAAACCCTAAACCCTAAACCCTAAACCCTAAACCCTAAACCTGCAAGTCAGCTGCAGGGTGGCTATTTCAGGAGTGTGGGCCTTGGGTGCTTCCGTCATTCGCGAGCAGTGCGGCAAATTCATTGCTACTACGACCGTGTTGGGGACGCTATGTCATCTTCAGCTTGACGAACCAGCGCTGCCATTTGTACTTCATGAACGTCGTTGCTCTCCTCACGTCTAGAGAAACAAGCAATTCAGTAGTCCGGCTGAGGGCAGATGGAGTTGTTTGGCTTTTCTCCTGTTCAGTGTATGGTATCTAGGATCAGTGCTTTGGACTCCGAGGACCTAAACCTGCAGGCTCTTTCAAAGACCCTCAAAAACCACGCGCAACTTCCCAACCACCTACGCCAGCCCTAAACCCTAAGCCCTACACCCTAAACCCTAAACCCTAAACTCTAAACCCTAAACTCTAAACCTTTGTATGGGAGGTGGTGAAGAAGTTCTTGGCCCCACAAGACTCCAGCATCAACCAATTATAAGTGTACTTTTCGGAGTTTAGGGTTTAGGGTTTAGGGATTAGGGTTTAGGGTTTGGGGTTCATGGTACTTATTAACCAAGTATAAGTGTACTTATAGGAGTTTAGGGTTTAGGGTTTGGGGTTTAGGATTTAGGGTTCAGGGTTCAGGGTAACTGTACTTAGAACTGTACTTATAGCCATATTGGGGCACTTAAGGGGCTGATAAGTGGGTTATAAGTGCAGAGATATTTTGTTAATAAGTACCATGAACCTCCAAGTAGGCCGGGCGGGAGGGGCCAATAAGACCTTGCAAGACCAACGAAACCCTTCATCCAAAAAACCCTGTGTTGGAGACTGAATCCCCCAAAGCCTTCCGCACCCTAAATCCGAATTGCCCAAATACTACCCCCCCCCCCCCCCCCCCCGCGAACCTCTACGTTTTTTAAGGCTAGGCCCTTGGCATGACGCACATACCTTTGGGCGGTTCCCCCTCATACTAACAGTCCTTAATGGGGAGGTACCATAATCCCTGTGAAGTACTGTTAGTATGAGGGGGAACATCCCAATGTTCGCCTCTTTCCGCCTTGGCTCTCGCAGGCAAGGGCCAGACGCTGCCGAGCCAAAGCCGAAGTGGAAGCCGGTGGCAAATCAACGTGTAGAAACAGGACTTGGGCACCCCAAGTACTGTTGCTACTCATTGATTCTTCGGGGTGTTGTGGAAAGCAAGCTTTGACCTAGGCCGCCCAAAGCGAGACGTGCAATGCACTTTCCTAGCGTTGAACATGATCAATTAGGTTCTTTGAGGCTGATGGCGGAAGGATCGCAAAAAAGAGCTGTCAGTATTAAAATAGGAAAGCTGACACTTCTGTCATCAGCACTTGGTAGGATCGATCGGGCCCTCGGGAGAACTTGCGATTTTTATACTGCCACGCCTGCCTGACCATGCAGACGGGATGGGCCGCGGTGCTAGCGGGGACCATGGATTGTAATAAAGTGGACCCTCTCTGATTCTGATCAGAGCGGGTCCACTTTGCGACAATCCATGGTCCCCTCGATGCTTCAGAGGAGGGAAGGTACAACACCTGTCGCAACGAGAATTTGAATGAACATGTGCTACCTCGAAGCTGGCCATTTCAACACATGCAGCTGTATAGTTCATAGTATCAAATGTGGTGCACATCTTGAATGGGAAGGCTGACCAGACGTGTTGCACACATGCTCCACTTGTGGCCGCCACGAGACGTGATGGCCAGAGGGATAGCACTCAGCCAAGCGTCGGCCTCTACCGACCTGGACTCGACTGTCCATACAAGGAAACTGTCCGTGAGTCCCACGTCGCGTACAGTTTGAAGCCGAAAACCAGGCGGCATAGTGAATGGAGCTTGCTTCGAGTGCTGGTATGTGCCAGCCCCACATGGTGGACAAAGAGCCCCAGATCGCAGCATGATGCTCTGCTTTGCTGGGAGGAGTTAGTTCCATCTTAAACAACGGATTGCCCGTGCGCGGTGCATATGTGGCAGCCAAAATAGCCATGTAATTCTTCAAGCCGCCCCTGTCATACATGTGACATGTTGCAGTTTCAAGCAACAGTTCCATCACCATCCCTTCCCAGTTTTAGACCGGGTGTTTCAAAGCGCACTTATTAACCTATAACCATGTTAGGGCACTTCAGGGGCTCAATAAGTGGGTTATAAGTACTGGTTATAATTGGCTAATAAGTACCATGAACCTCGAAGCAGGCCTGACACCGCCCGATGTTACATTGCATGGTTACCATAGGAAAAGTCATCATACGCATGGTGAGATGGCGGCGGCCTCGGAGTTGAGCAGCTGCTTTTCAGGGTTTAGGGTTTAGGGTTTAGGGTTTAGGGTTTAGGGTTTAGGGTTTGCCTTGATGCGCCACCTGGCAAAGTTTGGCTGAACCCAGGCCATGTTAGCACAGCCTCCGCGAAGTTGGACAGTTGTGCCTGGGATGGGGTGGGATGGGGTACATGCAACACATCCTTCTGTGGCATCACGTCCTGTTTGGGCAAATGTTCGGTGTAAGCCCTAAGCCCTAAGCCCTAAGCCCTAAACCCTAAACCCTAAACCCTAAACCCTAAACCCTAATAACCCTAAACCCTGGGGCAGGATGACAGGGACCCCGCCACAGCGAAGGTTGGTCCTACGCGAGATTGAATTGGTTGAATGATGTGCGACTCATCCACCGATGTTTGCCCTAAACCCTAACCCTAAACCCCAAACCCCAAACCCTAAACCCTAAACCCTAAACCCTAAACCCTAAACCCTAAACCATTATCTGTGGCAGTACACGGCTTTCTTCGGCTCCAATTTTGCAGAGAAGATCCGCCTCCCCGCGAGCTTGGGGCCAAGAGCTGCAACGAGATGCAACGAGGCATACTTTCTAGGGTTTAGGGTTTCGGGTTTTGGGTTTAGGGTTTAGGGTTTCGGGAACCCAGGATGCCAAGTGAATGCATGTGCTTCCATGAAGGCGGATGATCTGAGAGCTTCGCGAAATCAGACCACCCGGCGGCGCACTTGTCAATTAGCCTGATCAGGCTCATTCATGTAAGGTCCTAGGCGGGCTGAGCAGGGATTGAGATTGGTCCCGTGTGCTCCGTTGTGCAGGAGCTTAGTTTACATTCGTTGTTTCTGAGACGCGGCGGTAAGTCAACGTTGTGTGTCTCAAGATGCCGAACTCAGACTGGCCCAGTATCTGTTTGTCGATTGGTATGCCATACACCTAGGTCGTCTCGGAGCATCCGAAGTTCTGCGGCTTCATGCACGAAAGCGGAGTACCCAGTTCTCTTTCAACTCTCACTTAACTGCCGCCCCAAGTGTGATAGTGCGTGCTGGTAAGGAGAACGGACGGAGTGAACAAGGCCGTTCTGCTAGTATGACTTCTACTGCCATAACAGGCGCTTTTGTGTAAATGTGTGTTGCGCCAATGGTGTGCATCCGATGACTGTCGAAGGTGTTGCGACGAACGCAGCTCCAGACTTCAGTCCCGCAGAGGTACGGCCAGCTTCGCCGCGCGCTTGATTTTGCAGTTGTCTGGGATGTCTTTCCTTTGGGCGTCAGGACGCACAACAACAGGTACCCTGCATTACCTGTTGGGCTACAGGCTTGCATTCTGGCTTCTTTGGCATGAAGTGGCATCATCGTGCCCCTGCGCAGACTCCTTTTCCAGGTACCGAGCCGAGGGGTGCAATGAGCCGCAGAACCTCTTCAAATCGCTTGCGCAGCCCATTCTCCCAGATTTCTACACCACACGACACGACACGACTCTACGCACTACACTACACTACACTAAGGATATTAGAGATCCCAAGCCCTTGTCACGCCCAGCGCCATGGAGATCTCGTGGACGTGATGGCTGCCACGCCCGCAGGGCCACCGCAGGTCTTCGCGCCGCCAGCACCAGGTCGGCTAATTCTTTCAGGTCAGCGGACAGCCAGGTAGAACGAAGAGCGCGGGCTTAATCCCCAAACAGGAAATGTTTGCCGGATTGGACGGCCGGTGCAGCGTGGCTTAGGTTTTCACCGGCACGAAATAACACTTGTAGGGAGTCATGGGCTCGCAGCTGTTGGTGTCTCTCTTCAACGCAGACCGAAGAGCAGATTCAGTACCGAGATTGAAAGCAATGAAATTGAAAGCAATGCCGCCTTCCTTCCCTGGTGGCTTCCACTAGCACTTGAGCTGCTCACACTACGAGAACTGTCTCTACTTAGTACATTGAGCGACCTCATCGCTGCAACTAGGATATCTTCTTGTGACGGCACCTCATGTTAACCACGAGATGGCGCCTACCGCTTCATGATGACGATGACTCCTGAGGTCCTGGAGCCTGTAGTCGCTTAGATGTTGCGAATCTCCCTCTTATCCCGTTCCCAGCCGCCGGCACAGGTTCTGAACTTGACTTTGGGGCCCCAGTGTGTGAACTAGAGGGTGGACTCGGTGTTTTTTTTTGTGTGTGTGTGTGTGCTTTAGTATCAGGGCTTAGGGTAGAGGATGTGTGAGTCTGACCTCAGATGCCTGAAGAGGGCCTTGTGAATTTTGAAGGTGGCCCCGGTGCCCCTACCAGCGGCCGCCCCCAGAGGCGGCGGGGGTCCGAAGTCAGGGTTGCGGTGGGAGAACAAAAAGTGGGAGAATCGGGAAATAGGGCTAGGGATGCCCGGTAGTACCCTTATTTCCCTTTTTGGTAGGTTTAGGTTCCCTTATGAAGCCCTTTAAGCGAAAAAGGGCACCCTTTTTCATCCTAGGTTACTGGGCAACCTAGAGGGGTTTCTGAGCTCCGTGGATGGCCAAAATCACAGTAGCAGGAGTACTAGACGTAGCGGTTGTACTGTGTCGTAGGCAGTCGATGATGAGTCGTAGGAGTGACAGCCGTCATAGTAGCAGCAGCAAAGTCGCTGAAAGTAACAGTGTAAGGCGTAGAAGTAGCAAGAGTAGCAGTAGTGCTGACGGTGGTAGTGTCGAATGGAGGCTACAGCGAGGGGGGGGGGGGCGAATTACACTTTATCACTAACGCAGTACTGGTAACCGTGTTGGTCGCAGCCCTCTTGTGGGTGTAGCCATGCAGTAGCAGAATCGCAACGCGAGTCCATAGCAGAGTTCCATACTTAGCAGCATCGCCCGGTGACTGAAACAAGAAGGAGTTTTCAACACGACACTGTCGACATGTTGCATCTACAGCACCCAAAGAAGGTGTCATCATCAGGCAACAACCAAGAAGACAGCGCGGTGCAGCATCATGACAGACAGCAGTCATAGGATAGGCTTTGAGGGCAACTGACATAGACAGGGTATCGCACAGATGGAGCCTGTACACAGAAACCCTAACCCCCTTTCGCCTGGGCCCTATTCCCACGTCTCAAATCCTCAAGAGGAGGGCACGTTCTACCGGGCTCCCGAAGCAGCGGTACTCGGAGCAGGGCGAGGCCGGGCAAGGTTGTCTAAACCTTAAACCCTAAACCCTAAACCCTAAACCCTTTTGCAAAGCAAACATCTGCCGATGCCTCCAAGCACTGGTGAACCCTATAAGTCCGAAGCCTTATGGGGGGTTTATGAACTTGACGGTACCTTCTTGAAGTCCCTGGTACAAGGGAATCCTACGATTTTTTTTGGGGGGGTCTCAATTCGGGTGCCCTTATAAACAGTAAACCCTAAACCCTAAACCCTATCCTTAAACCCTAAACCCTAAACCCTATCCTGAGGTTGCCCTCTGATGCAGGGGTGGGGGTTGCTTGGCTGGTTGCACTAGCGTGAAGCCTGCTGCCGCAGAGAGTGCTTGCAGAAACCCTATCCCTAAACCCTAAACCCTAAACCCTAAACCCTAACCCTAAACCCTAAACCCAAACCCCTAACCCCTAAACCCTAAACCCTAAACACCGAAGCCCCGGAGGCAGTGAACCCTTGGCTCGACCCACCAGAGATCCGGGCTCCCCGTGGCCGGCGTTGGACTCACAAAGGGCCGGCCCTGAGTTCCACACTGCGTCGGGAGGCAAGGTGGAGCTCCGGTTATTTTTGGGATGGTTTTTGGGGGTTCAGGGGTTCAGGGGTTCAGGGGTTCAGGGTTCAGGGTTCAGGGTTTAGGGTTTAGGGTTGAGGGTTTAGGGTTTAGGGTTTAGGGTTTAGGGTTCAGGGTTTAGGGTTTAGGGTTTAGGGTGTTGTTTTCGTGGGCACGAAGGTTGGGGCAGTGTTGGCTTGGGCAGGGAAGCCTGCGCAGGTGCGAACGCTCCTGCATGGCAAATACTTCGAGAACGACTTCTCGGGTTGGCAGATGCCGTTTCCTTTTGAGCTGACGAGTGGAGCCCAGTGTCCCTAGGTAGGCCCCTGTGGGACATTTTGTACTTTCCCTTGTGGGATTTTAGAGGGTCCTGTTCTGAGTATGTTCCTTACGGGCAATTTAAGAGGATCACATTCTGAGAATGATCCTTCTGGGCTTTAGAGGATCATATTCTGAATTGTGATATTCCGGACACATCTTTCAGGGGGTTTTAAAGAGCCATCCGAGGTCCCATCTGCACCTTGGGGGAGTGTGGTGACGTGAACTGTCCCACATACCGGCCGAAGTACCCCGAAGTGAGGGCCGCCATCGAGGAGGTGGTCGTCCAGCAATCCTTGCAACTGCTGGCCCAGCCAGAAGCTAAAGGAATCAAGACCTACGTGTCCGTGGGTGCTGGACTGCTGGCCCAGGATTGGATCATCCTAGAAAAGATGAGAGCCGCGGCTGTGGAGTTGCAACCTTGCCGCGCCGTGTTTGTGGAGCTTCGAACAGCTTCCCCGGCTTTGGCGTGTGAAGGTCGTAGATTCACCGCCGAGGACGGGGGAATTGACCTGTCCCAGCTGGGTTTCGCATCCCCCTTGGGCCCGGAGTTCTCTTTCTCTGCTTTCGTCACCTTCGAGGGCGCTTCCTGTTGTGGCTCTCGCCTTTTCGATTTTGGGAATTTTGATGGCGAGGATGAAGAGGAGCAGGACAACATCTTCGTGGATGTTCTCCCAAGCCCAGGTGGAGATCCTGCCGCACCCGGCACACTAGTGTTTAATGTCCGACGAGGAAGCGGGGACGATGTCCAGATGATTGCAGCTGGAGGTGCTTGGGTGGCTGGCCAGCCGCACCTCTATCTCTTCAGCGTCAGCGCGACCGGCATGATGCGTATTTACATAGATGGGCAGCTGGCCGTCTCACAGCAAGGTCACCCTCCCAAGCGACTGGAGCGAAGGCAGCTGTATGTGGGCAAGTCCGCAGCGTCTAGTGGCATCTTCTGCGGCGAGATGCGAAAGATCCAGGTGTGGGACTACTGCGTGGACAGTGCCAGTGTTGACGGCGTGTTTGCAGACGAGACCGAGCGTGCCTTGACGCAGTTCACCTCCTGGTTTGCTCCTTGGTAGCCCAGTGGTACCCTTTTCCCTAAACCCTAAACCCTAAACCCTAAACCCTAAACCCTAAACCCTAAACCCTAAACCCTAAACCCTAAACCCTAAACCCTAAACCCTAAACCCTAAACCCTAAACCCTAAACCCTAACCTAAACCCTAAACCCAGTGGTACCCTTTTCCCCCCTTTTGTTTTGGGTCATGGCATCCCTTCTAAAGTAATTAGAACCCCAAAAAGGGGTTGCCCTTAGTCTAATATTTAGGGTTTAGGGTTTAGGGTTTAGGGTTTAGGGTTTAGGGTTTAGGCTCATATGAGTGGTTGTCAAAATTATGGTCCCTTTCTGGATCCCATTATAATATGGCACCCAATATTTAGGGTACCCCAAAAGGGATCATAACTTTGACAGCCACCCCTAGTATGGTTCCTAGGGTTTAGGGTTTAGGGTTTAGGATTTAGGGTTTAGGGCTACCAAGGCTCAGGATTTGACGGTCTACACGTTCGCGAGCTTGGCTTCCTACGCTGCGGCCGTGGCGGAAGATCGCCGCTTCGAGGCAGACCTCTTGCTGCAAGTCGATGTGCATGAGGAGACTTGGTAGCCCAGTGGTGCCCTTTACTTTTTTCTTTTCTTTTTTTTTTTGGGGGGGGGTGGGTGGGTTTTGGGTTCCCTTATAAAGTAACCAACCCCCAAAAAAATGGGTGCTCTTATCAGAACATGGCTATGCTGGGCTACCAAGGAGATCGATGGCTACGACGACTTCGTGAAGAAGGTGCTCAGCCCGCAGGGCCTCGCGCTAACGTTGGGAGGGCCCGGGAAGAGCTGGCGAAGGCAGGGGGCCAAGGTCCTCGAATTCCCGGTGCAGAATGAGATCTTAGAGAAGATTCGGGCGCGAAGCAAGCTGCTGGACTGTTTTGCTTGAACAGAACGTTTAAACTTTAAACCCTGAACCCTGAACCCTACACACTCTAACCCTACACCCAAGGTTGAAACATCTTTAGTGAGTATCATCGGCTAACCACAAAGTCTTACAACTGTTGTGAGAAGCAGGAGTTTCACCCTAAACCCTAAACCCTAAACCCTAAACCCTAAACCCTAAACCCTAAACCCTAAACCCTAAACCCTAAAAACTAAACCCTAAACCCTAAACCCTTTCAAGAACAACCAAGGCTGCCCTGGGTCTTCTTCGGCCCTGGCAAAGTCGGGCACAGCCACTTCTGCGAGGAAGAGAGCCGATTCATGCGCCTTTCCGGCTGGCCATCAGGCGGCGCGCGACAACAAAGGAACTAGTTGTTTCGGGCCATCAGGAGTTCAGGGCATGTTTGTGCTCCAGAGTTTGCAGCAGGCTCTAGAGCTCTAAACTCTGAACCCTAAACCCTAAACCCTAGACCCTAGACCCTAAACCCTAAACCCTAAACCCTCTAATTCCCAAGAGCCATGCAGATGCCCCGGGACCGCCTAAGTTGACGAAGCACCAGGTCGCTATGGGAGGCGACGCCGAAGTTTTCGAGCGGAGCGATGTTGAATCTGCTTCCCATTTTGTATTGATAGGGTTTAGGGTTTAGGGTTTCGGGTTTAGGGTTTAGGGTTTGGGTATTTAACGTAGTCGACGCAGTGATCTCACAAGGGCCATGACGCCAGCATGTCGAGTGCAGCGAAAGCGGCGCCAGCAAGAGCAGGAAGTACCTTTGCGTTCAGGAGTTGGTAAATCTGGTACTTGGCGGCTCGTGAGTAGTTCTATGTAGGGTGATAAGCACCCTACTCGAAGATCATAGTCTGGTTGCCTTATTCACAACCCTACTTATAACTGCCCATGAATCTTCAAGTAGGCCGACATCATGAAGCCAAAGCCTTGCTCCGCAAGTGCAACGTTGCCAAACCAACTCCCCGAGCCCTGAATTTCCCTGAACTCAAGGGATTCAGACTCGTACCCCTAAGGTTGTACCCCTAAAGGTTCCCCTTAAGATACTCCGACTATGGCCCTTATATTCCTTCAGGGATCCTTAAAAAGGGGCCCCAAAACTCAAGGGTACAACCGTAGGGGTCCAAGGTAGAACCCCTAGAAGATCGGGCCTAAGCCTCAGAGCAGCCCGAGGCCGTCGTCCACTGGCCGCCTTCAGGCCATTTCCTGCATGTCCATTCTGTCAAACCGGGGCCCATTTTGGGCCTCAACAGCCCTAAACCCTAAACCCTAAACCCTAGACCCTAGCCCCTAAACCCTAAACCCTAAACCCTAGACTAAAACCCTCCTGAGCCCCTGAGGCCGGTGCTGCGTCGCATGCAGAATCGTACCGGCGAGGGCCCGGGCCCCCGGTCTGGGGTTGAGGGTTGAGGGTTGAGGGTTGAGGGTTTAGGGTTTAGGGTTGAGGGTTGAGGGTTGAGGGTTGAGGGTTCGGTGTCCTGTTGCAAGAGAGGGGTTCGACGGTCTGCCGAGGCCTGTGGTAAAAGGATGTTAGATTTGTCAGTGTGTATGCACGAGGGGTATGCGCGAGCAAGGGATGGGTTGATCTGGTTTAGGGTTTAGGGTTTAGGGTTTAGGGTTTAGGGTTTAGGGTTTAGGGTTTAGGGTTTAGGGTTTAGGGTTTAGGGTTTAGGGTTTAGGGTGTGTCTTAAACTCGGCGAAGAGCCTGACAGCTGTTTCGTTTTCCTGGTTGTCTAACTTCTGGGGTGCTGCCTGTAGGAGACTGTAAGATCTTTAGGCCTACGGTTCTAAGAGTGGCTTGGGTTTTTGAACGGGTTAGGGTTCCGGGGTCTGAATTTGTTGGCAAATTCGACACATGCCCATGTGGCCCTGTTTAGCTCACTCATGCTTGGTATCGAGGGTCGCGTGTGTAGCCAATCTGGCTTAAGCGGCATCATGTGCGACCCAGTCGTCACTTTGCCGGCTGTCAATCGAACTCTTTCTTGCCAGCTGAACCTTACGGACCAGAATGTGACGGATGCTTGGACTTTTACGGTGCATGAGCGGTCGGATTGTTTTGTCACCCTAATCCCCACAGCCACACCCCAAACCCCAAACCCTCGCCCTCAGTTGCTCAGACTCAGAGACAGCCGAGTAAACCCCAAACCCTAGACCCTAGACCCTAAACCCTAAACCCTAAACCCACCTGATGAACTTGAGAGTCCTCTCATGTCTCACCCCCAGATCCTTTCTTCGAGAGCCTCAACTCCCGTCACGCCAAGTACCCTCAACCCCTTGAAACCCCTGAGGGTTTAGGGTTTAGGGTTTAGGGTTTAGGGTTTTGAGGCTTTCGCCCTGCGCCCCCGACTGGCCATAAACTAGCTCGCAGAGACCATGTCCATTTCTAATCATGCACCACCCACCTCTTAGCACCCAAACCATAGCAACCTATACCTCAGCCTTCAACTCACCCCAACGGCCCCAGCCCAAGACCCAAATGATGAGAGCCATACCATAGAACCACGCATAACCCCAACGAAAATGGCATACTCCACCCCATAGCATGCCCCGCCCGATAGAAAACCCATTACAACCAACCCGAAACCCCTAGCCCTACAAAATGGACATGGTCTTCTCAAATAATCTATCTATACTGTTTAGGAATAAGGTTGCCACGGTAATGAAGCAACAGATTTGAGAGTAATACCTACATCACACTAGTGGTGCTTCGGCATGTTTTTCGGCGCCGCTGCGACGTCTCAGTCCAAGTTCAAGAGTCTTTGATTGCCTTGCCTTCTCTCATAGCACAAAGCATCAACTACTTGTCCACATGGGCGTCTTTCCGCATCAAGCGCGCTGTTTCTGGACCACACCTTCCGGTATGCATCCCACAGTCGTTATGAAAGCTGTCCTGGTACTTGCCACATTCTCCTGTACATTCAAGACGGCAAGGAGCTTTTTTCTGCCAGTCCCCGCTGGCTACAAGCATGTTCCTGTGCTGTGTCAGTCGCGCTTCGCTCTGCCGCAACTTCAACGTGTTGGATGCTTGACCAGAAACATGCCTAGATGGACTAAGACTGCCACCTCCCCACCACCCTACGGGAAGTTTCGAGTTTCCTGCAACCGTTATAGCAATTGTGTCACGAGGAAAGGTGGCTTGATAGCCTGCAGTGCATGCACCGGACATGGGCAGTGTGTTGTGCCAGCAGATTTGGGACCAGTTTTGGCAGTTGCCGCTGGCGGTGAGCATACTTGTGCAGTGCGGGCAGATGGTCGGCTCATCTGTTTTGGATACGACGGAAGTGGGCAGTGTGACGTGCCAGCACACTTGGGACCAGTTTTGGCAGTCGCAGCTGGCGGTCGTCATACTTGTGCAGTGCGAGCAGATGGTCGGCTCATTTGTTTTGGATGGAATAACGATGGGGAGTGTGATGTGCCAGCAGATTTGGGAGCAGTTTTGGCAGTCGCCGCTGGCGTTGATCATACTTGTGCAGTGCGGGCAGATGGTCGGCTCATCTGTTTTGGACGGAATGGCGATGGGCAGTGTGATGTGCCAGCAGATTTGGGACCAGTTCTGGCAGTCTCAGCTGGCAGTGATTATACTTGTGCAGTGCGGGCAGATGGTCGGCTCATCTGTTTTGGATACGACGGAAGTGGGCAGTGTGATGTGCCAGCTGAGTTGGGACCAGTTTTGGCAGTCGCCGCTGGCGCTGATCATACTTGTGCAGTGCGGGCAGATGGTCGGCTCATCTGCTTTGGACGAAATGGCGATGGGCAGTGTGATGTGCCAGCAGATTTGGGACCATTATTGGCAGTCTCAGCTGGCAGTGATCATACTTGTGCAGTGCGGGCAGATGGTCGGCTCATCTGTTTTGGATACGACGGAAATGGGCAGTGTGATGTGCCAGCAGATTTGGGAGCAGTTTTGGCAGTCGCCGCTGGCGTTGATCATACTTGTGCAGTGCGGGCAGATGGTCGGCTCATCTGCTTTGGACGGAATGGCAGGTGCCGCTGGCGGTGATCATACTTGTGCATTGCGGGCAGATGGTCGGCTCATCCGTTTGGATACGACGGAAGTGGACAGTGTGACGCGGACAACCGCTGATCATGCAAAAAAAGAGATTCTGAGTGCCAAGGTACCTAAACCCCTAAAAACCCCTAAACCCCTGAACCCCTTCGCCTGTCTAAATACAGTAGCTTCACCAGCATGGCCCCCTTGACCCCACAAGTCCCCAGAACCAAAAGTTGGAACTGCAATCTCGAAATCCTATGAGTACCAGTGTCGGGATAGCCCAAAACCCTAAACCCTAAACCCTCGTACCACCCAAGCCTGCAGCAATTCAAACCGTAAATACTGCCTATCGTTGCCTTCCACTTTATCAGTCAAAGTTTAGGTTCGGCGGAAGGTCAGCAAATAAATCATGATCATGGTAATATCTTTTGAAGTCGTAGCTTTGGTCCTCCCTTTATTTCAAGTCAGCGAACCGAAGAGATACGGGGCTTGATTTATGAGTAAGAGGTTCAAACGGTGTAGTCCGTATGTTTGATTGTTTGTAGATATCCATTCCTAAAGGGTCATCAGATCCATTGTATATCCACGCCTGCAGAGACATCGCTAATATCAAGAACAAAGCGAGAGATGAACCTGTCACACGAGAAGAGTTTATGGAACAGTTTGATTAAGATCTAAACAATAGTAATGATGTTTCATCCGAAAACAACAACTTCTGAGCCAATGGAGAAAAAACCGAAGGACACAAACAGTTTAAACACACTGCCTACGAAGATATACGGAAACTAGTAGATGATAATGAAGGGAACAACGCAGCAAATTCAATTGAGACCAAGCCCTTAAGATTTTATAGATTCTCACTACATGTTGACATTACCTTACCCCTAAACCTTATTCTTAGTATAGATACACTATTTAAGAAAACCATTTCCATTTTCTAGGGTTAGGGATTTCGGTTTGGACATTATGGGCTTTCTACGCAGTGGAGCATGCTATGGGGTTGAGTATGCTATTTTCTTTGGGGTTAGGGGTGGTTCCATAACATGGTTTCTCATTATTTAGGGTTTAGGGTTTCTTGGGTTGGGGTCTTTCGGTGAGTTGAAGTTTGAGGTAGAGGTTGTTATGGTTTGGGGGCTAGGGTGCGGTGCATGATTGTAAAATGGAAATGGTCTCTTCTAACCCCCCCCCCCCACCCTCCCCCTCATTGCAAGGACTTGGGATTGCACAAGCAGGACCTGTCGGGATTCCGACGCAAGGCTGGATTCAGTGCTGTGATGCAAGGCTGGCGAGGGCCTGAACTTCCGATTTGACTTTGTTTAGGGTTCAGGGTTTAGGGCACCATAACTTCGACCCGGCGTGGAGGCCAGTAGGAGCAAGGCTCCGTGCAAGAGGCTCACCACAAAGGTGCTGGGAAGACATGGCCGCACGGGTTTGCAAAGCCAAGCCCGGAAGCCCACGGAGGCTGAGAAATCTTAGCCGACAGCATGGGACGCGCAAAAGCCTGGGTGCGCTGTTTTAACACTGCAATTCAATATAGTAATATCTCATTATATCCGTATTAAACAACATTAAAGCTGTGACCATATACATGTGTATATATATATAATATCAACAGCACTGTTGTTTTTCCTCTTCGACCAAGCAAGGAGTGGTGGACCTGTCGCAAAACCAGTTCACCCACGAGGCGCTCCACTACATCCTGCCCTGCTGCCACTTGCCTGTTTAGGGTTTAGGGTTTAGGGTTTGGGGTTTAGGGTTTAGGGTTTAGGGTTTACCTAGGGCCTGGTTTAGGGTTTAGGGTTTAGGGTTTGCCTAGGGCTTTTGGGGCTTAGGGCTTCGGGCTTGGAATTGAGGGTTAAGGGGCACCGAACCCTACAATGCCTGCGAGTGGCCAGTAAACCCTAAGCAGGTTCGAGGGTTGAGTAATGCCCATGGACAGCAAGCCGTTTAGGGTTTAGGGTTTAGGGTTCAAGGTTTGGGGTTTAGGGTTTACATACACTGCGAGACGCCGTGGTGTATCATGTGCGGGAACATGAGCAAAACTGCTGTAGCCCTGTCCCTGCTCCAAGGCGCAAGAATTCCAGGACCGCTCCGTCAACCCGCTACTTGAAGGTTAGCTATAACTAGGCTTAGAAGTACCCTAAAGGTTACAATACAGGTTGCCTTATTCATAACCCTACTTATAGCTACCCATGAGCCTCCAAGTAAACCCGAACCTTGACCCTGAATCGTGAACTCTACCTCTCGTGTCTACCAGGTGCCGAGAGTAGGTGTTATCCGCGCGATCTGTGCTTGCGAACATGCGGACCACCTAGACTTCTAATCGTATGGGAAACCCTAAACCCTAAACCCTAAACTCTAAACCCCCAAAGCCTTGTGCGAGAGTGAGCGACTAAACCCCCACAGGTGCGGCTGGACTGCTTGGCGGGTGGCAAAAAAAACCTAAAAAAACTACAGTTAGAGGTTGCGTCCGCACCGCCGCACAGGGATCAGGTGCTGGGCTTCAGTTCGGGCATGGAGCAGCTGGAAGATTCAAGAAGTGTTCAAGGGCATTTCCGGAAATAGGGTTCAGGGTTTAGGGTTTAGGGTGCCTCAATCAGGATGATATTAGATTTTGGGGGTCTACAGGGGGGGGGGGGGTGCCCTGTTGTGCGAAATACTCTTGTAGGGTTTGGCATGACAGTACGGTCGCCCTCAAGCCATAAGTACTTGTCCTTGTCGTTCCCGACACCCTTCCATCTGGCAGCAGGGTTTAGCAACAGCTAAACCCCAAACCCTAAACCCTAAACCCCGAGAAATCGCCCTGCGATGCGGATTCGCCCCAGCTGTGCAGGAGGGAAAAAACTGAACCCTAAAACCCTAAACCCCAATGCTGGCAGGACTGGAGATCCTGAAGCTGCACAAGAATCTAATCGGAGACCTCGGTGCGGATCAGCTCGCAGACTTCTGCAAACAAAGCACCACACTTCGAGCCTTGGCGCCCACAGATTTGGCTCAAGGGTTTGGGTTTGGGTTTAGGGCTGAGGGCTGAGGGCTTGGGGCTTAGGGGTTAGAGCTTAGGGCTTAGGGCTTAGGGTTTAGGGTTGAGGGTCATGCTTAGGGATCTCCTTTACGATGTGTTGCGAGATTATCATCTTGTCCTCATGTTTGAGACTGTGCCTGTTGATTGGCTTGCTAGAGTGGGAGTCCAGTCAGTAGCATTGGAAGCCTGTGCTTGGGCAGTTTCTGGCAGCACCCACGGAATTCCGGATGCAAAAGGGTTACCTACTCTTACTTGTGTGCTACGAACCATGATATTTAGCACCCATAAAAAGGCACTACCGGTAGCAGTCCAGGCAGCTGCGGAGAGAACAGAATCTGTGCCGATGGGCGAAGATAGTACTAACGATTGTGATAAGAAGTGCAGGAAAGAAGAGCGCGCAAGAAGACAGCGCGCGCGCGCGCGCGCGTGCGAGCTTCCTTTGTTAAGTTAGTGATAAGGAGCCCCTAATGCAATAAGACAACTATTCAGTGTTTTCGTATACTCCTTCGCAACCAAAGCAGTTAAACCAATTAAATCTACTGGACGTCTGGGCATCTTGAAACAAGACAATGACTGGAAAGACTTCTCCTAAAGTAAAGCGGAGATGATTCTCCAGAAGATATAGATGCAGAATGAGTACCTTTCAGTATAATATATTAACCGTCTAGTACAGACTTTCTATTCTTCATCTTTTCTATCTTTGAAGGTATTGGGCTTTTTCTGGGTTCTGGGATATGAGAAGGGTCACTTGATCTTCTACAGACAAGCTCTGCTACTAATGAATGCAGGAGAGTTGCATCTGTCTCACAACCGATTCACTGCGCACGGGGCCGTGATCATTGTCCACGCCGCGGAACGCTCCAGGACCAGCAGAATGCTGCTGGGTACTTCGCTTGTTTCCTTGGCCACATGTGGGGCGGGTTGCTTCGGATGCTTTCATGGATTTTGTGCAAGGGACCTTCACGGACCCTCAATGCAATGGTGCAGGTGGGTTTTAGGGAAAATCGGGCTCAATGTGCTCCTTTGGAGGGCCTCCCTGCGAATGCTTTAGGGTTTAGGGTTTAGGGTTAAGGGTTAAGGATTAACCCTTAAGGGTTTAGGGTTTCTAAGGGTTGCGACAGTGCGACAATGGTGTAGTCAAAGCTACAAGCTACCGGAGTGAACCTCCGGTGCAGTACTGTAGCGTCATGCCTTAGGAGGACGCGAAAAGTTGTACCGAGACACAAAGGGGTATTGCCCAAAAAAGGGGTACCCCTTTTATACCCAATAGAAGGGACACCCCAAAGGGGTACCCCCATTTTCGGGGAACCCCCAGATGGCCGTTGCAGGAGCCTGTGTCGAAGTCCACTGTGGCTTCGTGCGCGCCTCGGGGCGAGGGGGGCTGGGAGGATGGGTTTTTTAAGAAGTCTGGAAGTGAAAAGTAAAAGTACAAATAATGGTGCTACAGTCCCTTTCGGCGAGTTTGCTTCCACGACTCTAACTTTGCTGGGATGCAGTTTTGCACTTCCAAGGTGCCTCAAGCACATGCAAAATCACAGTCAACACTCAGTCAACACTACAGTCAACACTACGAAAGCCCTGGGAAAACCAGCAGATTCCACAATTCAGTCGTTTTGAAGGAAATATACAATTCTTTTAGCTTCTGAATGTCCAGAACAGCAACATGCTGGATTTTCCAGCGTTTTGGCAGTGTTGGCTGTAGTGTTGACTGAGTGTTGACTGTCATTTCGCACGCATTTGCTGAATTACAGGAAATACAGTTTTTGGCTTCTTAAATGTCCAGAACAGCAAAATGCTTGGCAGCGTTGACTTTAGCGTCCATTCTAGATGGAATGAATTGCTGCGTCGTGTGTCCCGAGTCCAGGCGCCCTAGACCAGGGTGGGCGGGCGCTGTCAGCCAGTTACTGTAGGTGCGCAAGAGATGCAAAAGCACTTCTGCCCTTCGGTGGATGGACGAAATCTTGCACCACTTGTACATGCGTACTTCAAACGATTGAGGCATCAAGCCCCGCACCCCCTGCTTAACATTGGCGGCTAGGACTACTTGAGCGGTGCAAGATTTCGGCCATTGGAACAAATCCGGCCAGTAGCTTTTCACAGCTAATGTTAAAAAGGGGGCGCGGGGAACAAAAAAAAAAAACTCTGAAAAGCGGTGCAAGATTTTGCCCATCCACAGTAGTAGTGTGCTAATAGTAATAATGGGACAAGCTGAGGCTTGGAGAGAAATGCGGTGGAGCATCCGGATCAAGTCCGAGACCCAGAGATGGAAAGACCAAACCGTTTGTTTTTCCGAGCATGGGCCCTGCGGTAAGGGATCTTCAGGGCCCAGGACACAAATCCGGCTGACTTCTATATATATATATACAGACATATATGTAATTATTTAGTGTTTATATATGTCTATAAAAACATAAATAGCTATGTATGTGTATATCATAGTATTGTGTGTGTGCTTCTGCTTGTCGAGGTGGCTGATGCACTGCAGCAAACGCTCAGTGTTTGCTTTCGCGTCGACAGGAGACCAGGGTGGTGCTTTCAGGCAAATCTTATCCAAGTTACCCTTGCTGTGCGCGAGGACATCCTGCAATAGCACGCGTTGCGCCCAAAACTGCAAAGTGCACCTTCCGTACTTCCTGCGGCAGAACATCTTGCGGACAGATTCAGGCTGATGGGCCGCTGTCTTTTGGGTGCCGACTTGTGGACAGCCAGTAGTAGAGACTAGTAGTGCTTCATTGTTATGATGCCGCGTTGCACACAACCCGGAAGGCGGTGGGAAGTCAGCTTATGGTGAACCTGGCGATTCGAGCTGCGTAGCTGCTGTTCCAAGCAAGCGACTGTTGCAATGCTCTTGGGAGGGTGTGGTGGCCGCCGTGACAATGCCAGATGATGTCAGCGAGAACTCCATGACATGCTTTCCAGCCGGACCGATGGTTGTGGCGCCGCCCGGACGTGTACTCAAGCGGCGACTATCAAATCGCCATGTTCCGGGACTACCGCAACCAAGCAGCTTCTTGCAACTAGTGGAGAGTTGTGGGGGGAATTGAAAAAAACGCATGTACAGACGGCTTTGGGCTGGCTTGTCGATCCACCGCCCAGGTGCCGACAATCTTTCCAACTGGTGCCAGACGGCTTGGGATGCAGGCGCACGTTGTAGGGTTTAGGGTTTAGGGTTTAGGGACCTGGATGCAAAAAACAGGGTTTAGGGTTTAGGGTTTAGGGCTAGCCTGGGCTAGGGGGGGGCTCCAATCGGCTCCAATCACTGCTGCTGAAGGCAATCCATGCAAGCGCAGCAATACAAAGACCAATGAAGAGCAGGCTTTGGTCCGCATTTCTCATGCATGCCTTTGTTCCCCGAAGCTCGAAAAACACATAATGTACTTACTATCGAGATTATTACTCTTATCATCATTATCATCATCATTATTATTATTTCTTGTCAGCGTCTTGAAAGACAGCCAGTTGCCTTGCGCCCCGAGGCTTGCCCAAAGAGTCTTCTCAAGCCCTTTTTTGCGTCGGTGGCAGGCCTTCCGTGTGCCGGTAGCCTGAGTTTTTTTTGCTGTTGCCAGGTCCCTACCCTAAACCCTAAACCCTAGACCCTAGACCCTAAACCCTAAACCCTAAACCTGCTGTAAGAGGTGAGCCTTTGGATGCTCCAGCCCTCGATGCCGTCACGTTACCGCCTTTTCCACCCTTGCCCCACATCCCGAAGCCGCAGCAGACGGAGGAGGCGGCAGGGGAGCCAAAAGCTTCGGGTTTAGGGTTGTATAGGGTTTAGGATTTCTTAGGGTTTAGGGTTTAACGGGGTAGGGGCAAGCGTTCCTTGCGTCACCTGGTCTGTCCGATTTGCGAGGAACCGTAAGGTTGAGTTCTGACTAGCAATGCGGTTCGCCGGACCAATTGAACCGTGCCGGAAAAGAATCACAACAAGTAGTCCGGACAGTCCGGAGGCTTTCAAGCCTTCAGTAGCCTTCAGCCTGAAGCTGAAGGCGCAGTCCCCGGACCAACTCTTCCCAATGTTGGTTTAAGGGCTCATACACTACCGAACTGAACTCCTCCGGGCTGTTGCGAATCCCCTAAACCCTGCTAAACCAAAAGCCCTAAACCCTAAACTCTAAACCCCAGATTCAACCCCAAACCAGGATGCCACAGCAACCAGCCGGTGCTTGCTGAAGCCACGGAGAGTTGACCAGGCCGCCTGTGCGGGGGAGATGTGGAGCTTCCCCAAAGAAGGGTACTTACTATTTTAGGGTCTTTCTAAGCCCAGTTGCCAAAAGGGTCTTCTTAATGGGGATTCCGCTGTGTTGGGGGGCGTGTCCTAAACCCTAAACCCTCAATCCTAATAAAGGGACCCTTTTTTGGGAAATGCCCGTGTTCTGGATCCCCAGCCGCGAAATGTGGCAAAGTTGCCTCTACAAGTTTCAGTTCCGAAACCAGGCAGTACAAGAGCCGCAGAGAGCGACAAGGATCTTTTTCTAGACTGGATCCCTAAGCCCTGAACCTGAAGCCATAAACCCTAAATCCTACACCCCAGGCATAAAGTCCTCCCCAGTGAAGGCTCAGGGTGAAGAAGGTCTACAAGAATCTTGGGAGCCCAGTGGTTCCCTTTTTTTCTGTTTGGGGGGGGGGTCGGAGGGGGGGGGGGGGGGGGGGGGGGGGGGGGGGGGGTGGGGGGCGGGAGGGGTGGGCTCTGGGTTTTCTTATTGGGGTCCTTATAACGTGGGAATCCCACGGTTGGAGGGGGGTCTATTTTAGGGGGGATGTTCCCCATTATACTAACAGTCCTTAATCGGGATTCTTATCCTAAGCACTACTAAAATCCCGATCAAGGACTGTTAATATAAGGGGGATTATCCCTAAACCCTAAACCCTAAACCCCAAGCCCTAAAGTTGTTAGTTGGGGCTTGCGAAGGCGGAGTTTTGACATAGCAACAGAATAGGGAGTCTTTTTAAGAAGAAGATGAAGCCCGCGGAGCGGTTCGCCCAGCTAAACCCTACACCCTAAACCCAAAAAATCCGGCAAAGCCTGAGCCCTGATTGTAATATGCTGACTGGGCTACCCAGCAGCCACCACAAAGCCTAAACCCTGGAGTCGAGACCCCAAATCCTAAGCCCTAAGCCCTAAGCCCTAAGCCCGAAACCCTAAACCCTAAACCCTAAACCCTAAACCCTAAACCCTAAACCCTAAACCCTAAGCCCTGATTGTAATGTGCTTTCTGGGCTTCCAAGGAATCTGTGGTGATGGCCAAGGTGGATGAGCTTTCTGCTTGGCATGAAGAGCTTAAGGCCGGTTGACGATGGGCCTCAAGGTTTTTAGGCTTGCTGGGTGTAGGGTTTAGGGTTTACGGTTTTGGGTTTAGGGTTTAGGGTGGGTTAAGGTCATAAGTTACCAGCTTCACATACATCACTCTACGCAGGTTTTACTGCTATTGTGACCTAAGCGTACGCTCCTTAGCAGCAACCTAGTTTATGGTTCAGCGCTTTGGCCTGCCTTTGAAGGGCACGTCGCATACGGGAGGGCCCCGTGCGAATGCAGAAGACCCCTAAACCCTAAACCCTGAACCCTGAACCCTGAACCCTGAACCCTGAACCCTGAACCCCAAGTGGAGGCTCGGGAGAAATACCTCCACCTTTGCGAAGATACCGTCCGCGAGCTCCTGCTGTCCGAAGTGAAGTCGAACACTTTGGATGTTGATGTGGCCTGGCTGCGGCAAAGAGACATGGGGGTTTAGGATAGTGGTACCTTTTTGGGGCCTTACAAAAACTGGATCCTACTATTTGGGGGTCTGTATTGGGGGTCCCTTGTTGTCGTAAACCCCCACATACTGAGCGAAAGCTCTCTGGATACAGCTTTAGAAACCCAGGCGGAGGTGCTTCGAGACCCTACACTCTCCATGCCCTAAGCCCAAGGATGAGGTGTATTTGGACAAGGAGAAGTTCGCCATGCGACAACTTGAAGCTTGGGCCAACGGCCAAGATGGCCCCATGGCATGAGACTAACTGAGCAGAGACGCTGGTTGTAAACGTGTGCTGGCAAGGCCACATAGGACAGCTATCTGCCATCATAGCCACCTTTCAAGATTCCGTGCGTCAGATGCTGCGAGGATTTGGTCTAAGGGTTTCTCGTGGCAGCGTCTACAACTTTTCAGGCATAGCATGGTGCAACGCAGCGCGATCTGATGTGCGGATGGACGCGAGCGGAGAAGCGAGGCGATGCTCGCAAGATGCACCTGTTTGCGACCGTTTCCGAATTCGTTGGCAGTTATCCTCCCCGATGCTGCACTGGTTGCTTGCCCAACCAACTTGCAAAAGCAAGTTCTGGACACTGAATGTTCTAAGCGGAACAGAACAGACCGGGCTTGCAGACTAGACTGTACAAAATCTCTGCAAACAGTTCAAGCCTCATTTTCGCCTTGCAGAGGCTGCGCCGGAGAGGCAACTCGCACTTGGGGGATGGCGTGGGCCGTGGAGTTGGCACACGAATTGAGAGACCTGAAAATCTCACCCGAAAAGCCCTAAACGCTAAACCCTGGACTTTGGATCGTGTGTACCTTGCCCGGCTTGTCCGAGTGTGAGCGAGTATATAAACCCTAAACCCCAGACCCTAGACCCTAAACCCTAAACCCCAAACCCTAAACCCCAACCCCGAAACCCTAAACCCTAAACCCTAAACCCTAAACCCTAAACCCTAAACCCTAAACCCTAAACCCTAAACCCTAAACCCTAAACCCTAAACCCTAAACCCTAAACCCTAAAACCGAAACCCTAAACCCTAAACCCTAAACCCTAAACCCTAAACCCTAAACCCTAAACCCTAAACCCTAAACCCTAAACCCTAAACCCTAAACCCTACGCCGAGCTGCCCAAAGGCCCGCCTCTCTGGCAAAGCCTGTGAGACTGCCTTGTCACCCTCTCTAGTCATCTGAAAGAACGAACGAGCTATAGTCTGCCAATTAAAAGGCCCGGATGCTTCAACGCCTCGAGAGTGCTGTCCCTGAACGTGTGGCTGCGGAACAGGACCACTGTCCGACATGTACATGTATGGTACCTAAGTATACTATGTGTGTCGATATATACAGTAAGATAGTATCATGTGAATACATACAAATATACATGGCCACTTCTCCAAAAATACCGATAAATAGATAAATAAATATAAATGTAAATGTAATATACATGTAAACATAAATATAAATATAAATATAAATATAAAATAAAGATAAACAGAAATATATGTATGTATATATATATATATATATAACATACATGTATATGTATATACATATGTATTTAAGTAAAATAAGAAAAACAACTATATTTAAATAAATAAATAAATAAATATATATATACAGTATTAAAGGACGTGTTAGAAGGTCCCGACATGTTGTCTGCTGGCAGTACCGGGTGCGTCGGGAGCAGATGTGAAAAAGCTGAGGGCCAGGCCGATGCCGGAGCGATGCTCAATTCTTTTACCCGATTTTACCAGCAAGAGTTGGCCAAAGAAGATTCTGAGCCACTCGATGTACGCACGGCCGGAAAATTGACCTGTGCTGTGCTCCAGCATGACCTTCTTGCGGCAGGATGGGCGGTGAACCTGGATTGTGGCAAAGTATTACCACAGCGATTGCAGTTGCTGTAGTTCAGAAATCGGATAGGATTTACAAAGATGTAGCCGAGCTACTTCGTTGATTGAATTGGGGTTAATCTTATGATCCAAATCATGGGCCGTTTGGGGGGTTCTACTTAGGGTACCCAAATTGCACCTTGAACTCACCATAAACCCTCCCTTCCCCCCTTCCCTTCCCCCCCTTTCCCCTCCTCCCCTCCTCCCCCCCCCCCGGCCCCCTGAGGACACCGGCAAAGAGAAAGAAGACGGCCCAGAGCGACCAGAGGCATCACCTCCCGATTCAGGGTTTATTCAGGGTGTAGTTTCTAGGGTCTAGGGTTTAGGGTTTAGGGTTTAGGGTTCCCAGCTCCTGGTTCAAAAAAGGTTGGGAATCTAATCTTACATTCGGGGTTTCGGGTTGAGCCTTCTTCCGTCTGGGTGTGTGTGTGTGTCTCAACTGCACATACCATCGTTGGTGTTTCCGAGTGCGTAGCAGCGTGGCATGCTTTGGAAGAAGCTTTCGGCAAACTGGGGGTTTCCGAAACTAGGGGTACCTTACTGGGGCCCTTTTTTAGGGAGCCCCACTTGGTCCTTATTATTTAAGGGAACCCTACTATTTGGGGGTCAATCTTCGGGGCCCCCTTATTTTCGTACACCCCCCAACTGCGTCAGGTGGCCGGAAGAAGCTACGAACGATGATGGGACCAGGAGATCAATGCGGGTTTCCGAAAATAAGGGACCCCCGATATAAACCCCCCAAAAGTAGGATCCCCTTATAATAAGGGCCCCAATAAGGTACCCCCAATTTTGGAAACCACCAGATGTGTTGAGATTGGTTTATGGGAGTTGGGTTGCCGCTAAGGACTAGACTCAGGAACTTAAGGCTTGGGCATCACAAGACGGAAGACCCCATGAGAATTGCCGTGCCGCTATGCGTCCGAATTCTGTAACATGACCGTTAAATCTGTTATGAGCTGCTGATAAGTGTTGTCTTCACTTATGGTTTAGGGTATAGGGTTTAGGGTTTAGGGTTTAATGTAAGGTTTCTTCAGTGGGTTTTACGAAGCTTGGAGCTGCGCCGTGCCCTCAGACGTCCAGGGATAGGGATCAAAAAAACTTAAAAAGGATCAAAAAGAAAATAAAAGGGATCAAAAAGAAAATAAAAGGATCAAAAAAAAATAAGGCCGCGATCGACGACCCTCTCACACGAAACGCGTCTCGAGGTGCCAAAACTCGAGTTTTGGTTCGTTTTCAGAGCAGGATTGACGACCCTCTCACACGACACGCATCTGAGGCGCTAAAACCCTGAGTTCTGGCACGTTTTCCGAGTAGAACTCTTGGCTTCCCGGCTTCTTGGCTTCTTGGCTTCCTGGCTCTCCTCGGCTTTTAGCTTTTTGGCTTCTTGGCTTCTTGGCTTCTTTTTTAAATCGCACAAGCTTGCTTCAACGCATACGCGTGTATCGAAAGCCATGATGCGAGGATTGTGTTGCAAATGGGGGGGGGGCCCCCCCCCCCCCCCCCCAACCCCCCGGCTTTTTAAGTCCGCAAGCTTGCTCCGAAAAATAGGCGTCTGTTCGAAATTAATGATGCGAGCATTGTGTTTGTGTGTGGGGGGGCGGGGGCTACACCCCGCCCCCAGACCCCCGCTTTTTTAAATCGCGCAAGGTTGCTTCAAAGCACACGCGTCTTCTCGAGACCCACGATGCGAGCATTGTGTTTGCAACTGGGGGTCTTATACTACTACTACTACTACTACTACTACTACTACTACTACTACTACTACTACTACTACTACTGCTCCTACTACTACTACTACTACTACTACTACTACTACTACTACTACTACTACTACTACTACTACTACTACTACTACTACTTCTCCTGCGACTACGACTACTGCTGCTGCTGCTGCTCCTACTACTACTACTACTACTACTACTACTACTACTACTACTACTACTGCTACTACCACTACCACTACCACTACCACTACCACTACCACTACTACTACTCCTACTACTACTACTACTACTACTACTACTACTACTACTACTACTACTACTACTAGTACTACTACTACTACAACAACAACTACTACTACTGCTAGTACTACTACTACTACTACTACCACTACTACCACTACTAGATTATATATTATATACTGTTTTTTTATCTGTCATTGATTATATATTACCATTATTATGTATTTTATACTTAAAATTAAGTCTTAGATATTAAATATCATGTATCATATATATATATATATTAGACATTAAAATTACGTCTTATATATTTTATGTTATGTACGAAAAAATGAAATAGTTTATATTATATGATCTTACTTCATAAACTATTATATTACATACTATTATATTATATTATATTGTATTATATTATATTTTTAAATTAATTATATTGTATGACATAATATAATATAATTTAGTATAATATAAAAATATATTATTACTATACTTTTTTCTTATATTATATATATTATTATTATATTATATTATACTTTTTATGATGTATTTTATATCATATCTTACAATATATTCTTTTATATATTATATTATATTGCCGTTTAAATGGTTTTTTTATATTTTTATATAATCCATGATAATATAATATATTATATTATCTAGTACATGATATGCTATGTAAATATTAATATGAATAAATAATATTAATAATAATATTAGCACGAATATTAAAACATATATATAGATATGCATAATATATTGGTCGATCGCGTCGGGAACAACGTACCAAAACTCGAGTTTAAGCGCCTCGAGAGGGTTGTCGATCGTTCTCCGAAAACGTACAAAAACTCGAGTTTTGGCGCCTCGAGATGCGTTTCGTGTGAGAGGGAGGGTCGTCAATCGTGCCCGGAAAACCTTTCCAAAACTCGAGTTTTAGCACCTCGACACGCGTTTCGTATGAGAGGGTCCTCGATCGGGTTTCGAAAACGTACCAAAAATCGAGTTTTAGTACTCGAACGTTCGAAGTTTATTTTCTTTTTGATCCTTTTATTTGTTTTTTGATCCTGGGCTGCGTTTTTTTTTGATCCTTTCATTTTTTTTGATCCGGCAGCCCCAGACGTCCAAGTCCCAAAACACCCCAAAACACCCCAAAACCCCTAAACCCCAAAAACCCCAAAAACCCCTAAACCCCTAAACCCTAAACCCCAAACCCCAACTTGAAGGCTCACGGGTAGTAAGGTAGCCTATGTGAGTAGAACCTGAAGGCAGGCGCAGAAGTCCAGAGGAAAAAAACAAACCTGAAGTTAGAAGGGAGGTTCCTGAGAAGTCGAGTTGGGTATCGAGAAGTAGAGTTAGGGCATGCTAGAGTGAAGCATGTTAGTGCCAGGAAACGTGCACGCTATAAAGACGTTGCAATCGTAGGCGCCGGGTTTGAAACTTGCGGTCTTTAGGAGCCTAGCTCAATGACTCCAAATTACTTTCGTATGTTGAAAAAAGGGTTTGCAAGATTTGTATTTGGAGGGGTTGGGGGTTGAGGCGGTGCCGGCTTGGGTGTAGGGTTGGGGTTTGTAGGGCTTGGCCTCCCCTAAACCCTAAGCGCTATACCCTAAAGCGTGGTTCTTCCAGCTATGTGGGTGCCAAAATGTTAGGGTTTATGTAAGGATTCATGGTTTAGGGCTGATAAGGTTTCGGGCTTATAGAGCCCGAGGCTTGGACCACACGGACTTCGGATTCCTCCCAAGCCCCAAAGATCCGAAGGTCCGACACAGATGCACCCCAGATTGCTCAACCACTAGAGCCCATGGTGTAGAGATGGCGTTTGAAGGGTTGAGGCTTCCCAATCCTTACTGTGCTAGTAGGTGGAACGCAGGAAATGGAAGGGCAAGCAAGCCAACAAATGCATTCACATGTATGTATTATGTATGTATGTAGTCTGTATGTAGCATGTATATGAATGTACATGAATGTAGATGTATATATGTGGTGCGATCTATATGTAGATGCATGTTCTACCTTACGTTGGATTTGGCTCTGGGGGCGGCATTGAGCTTCGAAGCTTCAGGAGCTCCCCGGAAACTTTGGCTGACTTCTTCAGCTGCAGAAAGGCCGTGTCTCCACGCCGGAGGCAAGCTTGGGCGTTAAGGTTTAGGCTAACGCCGCTCATTGCGGCCGCGAAGGTTTTGGCATGTTTCAGGGAATTTCAGTCGTGTTTTTTTTTTTTTTTTTTTTGGGGGGGGGGGGGGGGGGGGGAAACGTCCATTCATATGGCGACCCTGCACCAAACATCGGTATTTACAGCGTTTTTGCCCGGATGTTTGATGCCTGTGGGACAAAACGCGCGGTTACAAACGTTCATGCGCTTGGCGCGGAGAGGCCGAAAACTCTGGCATTTACAGCATCTTTCCTTGTCTTTACAACATATTCACAAGCGGTCGCAAGCGTTCATGCCTTTGGCGAAGATGCCACCACACTGGTATTTGCAGCGTTTTTGCCGCTCCGTACACATTTTTCTCTTTCTGCAACCAGAACGCTGTGCGCAGTGTTTACGCCCGAAAGAAGCGTTCATGAAGCAAGGACTTTTTTGGGTGCGATTTGCGCGTATCGAAAACATCGCTGTGCGCAGTGTTCTGGTGCGCGCGAACACCAATCCCATGGCGGCAGTGGCGAACTTGAACAAACGCAAAACACGTCCCGCGAACACGATGCTGAAAAACCGCGAGTTTTCCACGTGTTCCTGCGTCCGACTCCAAAACGACACGCGCAAAACACGCGGAGCCCCAATGAACGGCGTTGCCTTCAGGCTAAGGGTTCATAGGGTGTGAAAGTTGAGGGTTTACAAAAAAAGGGGAGCCGGAGCTCCAAGGAAGGGCTTATGCCAAAAGGGCGCTGTTGGTTCTTTGCGTTCGGAAGGGTAGTGGAGCTGCTCGATGGTTTCAAGAAGCAGACGGAGTAACTCCACGATCTTCGTAGCCGAAAGGCCCTCTAGTGACTCGGTTGGTGATGATGCGGTTGGGATCCGCCATACCGCACCAGAAAAACTGGAAACCTTTCGGCCTGTAAACTGTAGATGTCCAGGTGTGCGCGAGCCGCATGCCGAGCGCACCAAACAGCTTCGACAGTAAGAGCCATGGCTTCGGTAGAAGGCCCTCTACCCTAAACCCTCAACCCTCAACCCTAAACCCTCAACCCTCAACCCTAAACAACTTTAAACAGATGAAGCTGTCCCTGTCTCTTGCCGGGAGGTCCCCCGTGACTCCGACGAAGACGGCAGCTAGCCAGCTTCCTAGTCAGGACCGATTGGAGCTTCCCTATCATGGGTTTAGGGTGTGGGGTGTCCATGACATGACAAAAGGGCTCAGCATGAATAAGGATTATTTTGGGTAGAGTCAAGTTTGACGACAGAAGCCCTAAACCCTCAAAGCGAGTGTGAGGGCCGAAGCCCTTCTTGAATTCCTGCAGGTTCATGGGTAGTTAGAGAAGTCGGGTTCTAAGTACCTTGATCAAGGTTACAGAATATAGGTTACCTGAGGATATATGATATAGGTTACCTGTTTTGTAACCCGAAACCCTAACCCTAAACCCTTAACCCTAAACCCTAAGCCCCTACTTGTAACTAGCGATAAACCCTAAACCCTAAACCCTAAACCCTAAACCCTAAACCCTAAACCCTAAACCCTAAACCCTAAACCCTAAACCCTAAACCCTAAACCCTAAACCCTAAACCCTAAACCCTAAACCCTAAACCCAGTCGGGTGGCAAAAAAACCCTAAACCCTAAACCCTAAACCCTAAACCCTAAACCCTAAACCCTAAACCCTAAACCCTTCAAGTGCAGGAGAGCCCCTCAACTCCAACCCGCGGCCTCGGCCACGTGCACGGATTCCGAGCTCCGCTCCACGGCATCAGGCACACGCAGAGTTACCTTGGGATGTTCCCCCGTGTACCAAGCTCCTTTACTAGGGGGTTTAGGGTTTAGGGTTTAGGGTTTAGGGTTTAGGGTTTAGGGTTTAGGGTTTAGGGTTTAGGGAGTATAGTGCCCCCGATTAGAATCCCTAGTAAGGACTGTGAGTATAGGGGGGAACATCTCAAGAGTTACTCCCCAGAAACATAAAGAGAGACGATGTTAACTACAAGACAGTATATCATGGAGTGCGAAGCAAATCGTACAGGATTGTTTGTACATGTGCATGTAATATGCTGAAGCGGGCAAGCGGCCACATGTACAGTAGCTAGCAAGCCGTCCGAAGTACATGCTTAATTAAGTGTAAAGATGCTGTCATGGAGACGCCCTTGGCATTTTCAAGCTGTTTGCTCTCCCTTGTGCGCGAGGCTCCGCGCACTTTGCCTTCAATCAACTCCAGAGGATGACTTTGAGGGTTTAGAGCAAGTTAAAACAGGCTTTGTTTCGGCCTAAGCGAGTTAACAGTGCTTAGGAATCAACCATGCCAGGACCGAGCCAAAGACCGAAAGAGAAAGCGGCCAGCGCTTTACGGCAGCTCACGTGGCGAGCACACATGCGCTGTGACATGCAAGCGTGGTGTCATAAGGTGCCCCTGTTGTCCTGCAAGTGTGCCTAAGGAAGTCGAAGCATGGCAAGGCTTTGGCCCAGCAAAAGGCGAGGCAGCCAGAGGCCCCGGAAAAGCCTTCGGGCAAGTTGCGCAGATCCTGTGCGACAGCGCCGGGCATGGCCCCGATGGTACGCGAAGCGCCAGCCAAGACCCAGCCGGCGGAGAACAAGGAGGCCAGATGCCGCAATACTTCCCGTCGATTGAGTACCTTGAACGTCGCGGTTGCAGTGGGAAGCGTACTTGAAGGTTCATGGGTAGATATAAGCAGGGTTTCTAAGTAAGGTAACCTATGAGAACCTGAACTAAGGTACTTAGGACCCTACATATAACTACCCATGAACCTTCCCTAAACCCTAAACCCTAGCCCTAAACGCTAAACCACCAAAAAAACACTAAGAGCAGGAATCTTCAAGTGGCGCAGGCAGTGCCAAAAGCCCTCCATCGAAAGATCAACTGTACATCAGGGCGGGGACTTCCACTCCCGCTTCAGGCTATGAACCCTAAACCATCCTAAACCCTCAACCCTAAACCCTAAACCCTAATGGTTATTTCGGTTTTAAACTGCTTAACTGTTTGACTGTTGAAAAGCAAGTGACACAGTCCTTGTCGAAGGCCACGAAAATCACCAGAGCTTTAAGTCGATGCGTTCCACCGAACGGGTGCTTTTTACTTGCGTGCCCCTAGCGGCGCGCGATGCTTCCAGAGCCCTAAGGCCTAAACCGCCTAAACCCTAAACCCTAGACCCCAAACCCTAAACCCTAAACCGTGTCACAAGGTCCCTTGTCTGTTTTGGGGAGCTAAGCCCAAGAACTTTGAGCCTGCGAAAAGAAACCTCAAAGTACGCGTGTATGTCGTATGTTTATATATATATATATATACCTTTATATATATATATGTATACAGATATAACTGACCATGTAGCTATCCATCTGTGTATACATACTATATATGTGCATATTTTATTATCTTAAGATATATATATATATATATATGTATATATATATATATGTATATGTATATGTCAACATGTCTATACGTATAGACGGGCGCTTGTTCGCATTCTCGGAAAACCATGTCGGATCCCGCACGTCGCGACATTCCCATCTCTTGTAACGTGTGCGAGAAAAATGTCACAATTGACCGTGCCAGCCGAGACCTATCCTAAACAATTCTGTGACTTGTGCGCGTCAATGTTTCGTGCAGGATGCACAGCAACCACCTCCGACTGGTGAGTGCGTTTGGATGCCCAGCCTGCCGAGGGTGGTTTCCTTCGTGCCAAGATGATTTCCACAGTCCTAAAAGTGGTTGCTCTGCTACAGTAGCAAAGCCTGAAAGTGACAGGCGCCTACAGCACAACCAGGCAGAAGTCGAAGCAGGAATGCCCGCAGAACTTTCTAATTCCATGCCTCATGTTACGTGCCCTTGTCGCCGCAGGAGCAAGACGCGGGACGAGCGCATGCACCCGAAGCTCTGCTCGGTCATGTTCCATGCCGCCGCGGCGGCCCCGATGCCTTCTGCTTTCACATAAAAAATCAGGCTGCACTCCGCGGAGTTCCAAGTTAAGCATTGCTTCCAGGCATGTGCTCGTCGAGCCCCAGTCCCCATCGACAGCAGCAATTCCCTGCCGATCGCTCAGGGAAGCAGATAGGCAGACACACGAAGTGTGGAGCTGGCGGCGGTAGGCGTGATGCCCGAGTCTGCATGCAATGACTACATGAGGCCTATCAAAGGTGAAGATGCTGAACCCAGCTTCGAGTCTTTTGGGACCCAGAAGGCGGCCCGAGAGGCTTGTCAAGTCAACATAGTTGGTTATGAGCTTCTGGCGGAGAGGCCTGCAACCTGCGTCCGCGCGTCAAGCTCCGCACCCCCGCAGAGGCTCCTCGCGTCTGGACCCCACAGGGAGATTGCCTACTGGATCTGAATACTTCTGAGGTTTTCTGAGAGCTGCCAGTCAGCCGAGGTGAAACGACACGCAGAGGCTGCGGCTGCAGAACGCAGCTGAGTGGGAATGCGAACCCCATGGACCTCTTACCAGCCTCCCCGCACTTCACCTTAGCACCTGGCAGTCAGTGGAACTTCGCGTTCTCGACCTCCAGCGCTTGCGACCGATTGCCCAGGCCCAGAAATCCCATGTGGTCATGGATGTTTCTGCCACAGCGCCTGCAGGTGGAGGCGAAATTCATCGTTGCCTACCGGGAGCCTGACCTTGATCAAGGTCTGCCCGTAGTGCAGAGATTGATTCCTCTTCCCGAAAGTGTGGGCGGCTGGCGGACGGCGTCCAGTGACCCTAAACCCTGAACCCTGAACCCTGAACCCTGAACCCTAAACCCTAAACCCTAAACCCTAACGCGAGGTGAATCGTCGGCGCGGCTTCTGATTATCGTTGGGCCCCTGGGGGTCCAGCACTGGCAATGGTTTGGTGAGCTCGGACACCCCTAAACCCTAAATCCTAAACCCTGCGGCCCTCAGATCATGCAGCAGAAACCCTAAACCCTAAACCCTCAGCCCTAAACCCTAAACCCTCAACCCTAAACCCTAAACCCTAAACCCTAAACCCTAAACCCTAAACCCTAAACCCTAAACCCTAAACCCTAAACCCTAAACCCTAAACCCTAAACCCTAAACCCAAGTAAAGTGCAACCAGCACATCGTGGCACACATGCGGATGCAAAAGCTTGGGTTCTGGACCCCCGGCTCTTGAGAAGCAAGGATCAGCATGCAGCCGCCGAACGGGCCCTGCTCTTAGTACTTCTTTTGGTGTTTAGGGTTTAGGGTTTAGGGAATTCTCATGGGTAGTTTTAAGTAGGGTTCTAAGTACCGTCATTCCGGTTATCATAGAGGTTACCTTACTTGGAACCCTATACTTTGAACTACCCATGAACCTTCAAGCAGGTGAAGTCAACCTTAGAAAATCAGAGGCGAGTTTGGGGATGCTCTGCTTCAGTGGGCCGAGAAAATACCCATATTTCGTCGACCAGATACTTCCGGAGGTGCTGCAGTGCTGCGCGACTACTTGGAGGTTCATGGTACTTATTAACCAATTGTAACTGTACTTATGACTGTACTGATTACCATATCAGGGCACTTAAGGGGGTTATTAGTGGGTAATGTGGGGTTCTAAGTACAGTTAAAACTGGTTTATGAGTACCATGAACTTTAAAGTACCGGCTATGCCAGCAGAAGGGTGTGAATTTGGTGTGTGCAGGGGGGCGGCGAAGGTTCAAGGGGGGCTAGGATGATGTTTACGCAGGTGCAATGGTTAGGCTTTCATAGATACACCTGATTCCATCATCCTAGCAGATTCTCTAGCATGTTGTCAAAAAAACACAAGCAGCCGAAGATACTTCTGCAGCACGCGGCAACATGCGCCTTAAATGGCTGTAGAAATGGGAAGTTAGGCAGGTCTGATGGAACTGAGCTTCTGGAGTTGGCTGTGTAGCGACAACAGTGGGGTTTTGCTGCGCCAGCGGATTCCTGAAGTCGCATTGTTCTACGGCTGTCGCTTCGAGGCGTGGTATCACAACGTGACGGGCTTGGTTGCAGAGCGACCGACTGGACCGATCTCCAGCCTCCTGGAGCGATTTAAGGAAGTCTCCGAACCAGATCGGCCCATCGCCATCCTCAGGCACGAGTGCAAGGGCAACCCGCGAGAGGGAATCCCGGGTGGCGCCGTCGTACCCGTCCTCTTGAGCCTGCAGCGCTTTACAGAGATCCTGCGCGAGGTGGTTGAGGGACGGATCGTCAACCTCAAGACCGGGAGCCTGTCCGGGCTCTGGACGCTGCAGTCCTACGTCGAGCCACGCTATGGGCTCCGATTCCTGAGCGTGTACACCTGCAATGCGCAGCTGGAGGAACGGCACGACGCCTTCTCCCGGCCGTTCAAAAAGTGCTACTTTCCAGAAGGCAGCTCATGCAGCTCGGCGCCGGAGCCCGAGGATGAGAAGAGCTCCGAGAAGTTTCGGCTCGATGCGCCTCAAAGGGATGCCATCGAGTCTAAGGCCCTGGGAATTGTGCGCTATGCGCACCGGTTTCACAAGCTGGACCTTGAAGGGATCCTCTTAGAGTTCATTGTGGATCGGAGTGGCCGACTGACCTTACATGCCTGTTGGTCCGCCTCGATCTGCGACGCCCGCGACTCCAGAAGGTTTCGATCTGCATGGCCCGAAAAGCAGGGGCGAGTGCAGGAGATGCCGAGGACCTTCAGCGTTCCACGCTTGGAGGAGAGCTTTGACATGGATCTTGACGCCCCAGACAGGCGTTGCGGCTCACCCAGGAAGAATGCCGCGACTCCAAGTTGCACAGAGCCAAGGGCGCGAGCTCGACCAACTCCTCCTCTACTACTGGAATTCTGGCAGGGTGACGATTTTCTGGGAGAGGCCTCCTTCGGGCGCCAAGGCTCCGGCTCATGCTCCGAGCTTCGGGTCCTGAAAGTCCTCCCCCTGGGACACAAGCCTCCTTTGAGGTCGGATGGCCGCAAGATGCTCGCAGACGCAACAGGGGAGGCCCTCGCCGTGGTGTCCTTGAGGCCGAGTGCCGAAAACAGTGACCTCTGGAACTTCAAGCTCGGAAGAGCTGAAGGCCTCCCGGTTGCAGACCACGAGGAGAAGGTCCACGCAGTGCTGTGGAGACATGGTCGCAGGCTGAAGTCAGGCTGTCAATGCTCGTAGCTGTAGTGTGGCATATATGGTGCAGCGTTGTTAAGCCCCTCCCCGCCTCCCCCCCAATGGGTTGGGTTTCGGTGTGGGTCCCCCCCTGTTACAGGGGGGTGGGGTGAGTGGAGGGGGGGGTTTTGGGTTTCAAGGTTTTAGCGTTTCTAAGGGCGCCTGGTGCTTTTACGGGATTGTTTCGGGTTGCAGAGTTTAGGGTTAGGGTTGGGATGCGGAAGGACTTAGGGTTTTAGGGTTTGGGCAGGGTTTGGGGTCTATGGTTCAGGAAAGTTTAGGGGTTGCGTGAGGGTTTTGGGTCTAGGGTGGGGTGGGAGGAGGGATGGGGGGGGGGGGATAATTACCATGGGAGGGGGAGCATCGACACGGCGACACGGAACCGTGCGTAGGCAGAATGCTTGTGGGGCTAGGCGGGCGTTCGGACGTGTGGTTGTCTTGTACCCAGGACATGGCAGAATCGCGCCTATGCAACGGTGTGGAGCTCGTCAGACTCGGAGGCGGTGGAGGAGTTTGTGGATGGCTGCTGGGCCACCGTCCACGTCTGGAATGGAGAGTCTGTGGAGTTGACGCTGCCTGCAAGGACCCTTGAGCCTGCCCCAGACATTGATGCTCAATCTTCAAAGGCAGCACGACTCTCTCCGGCACCTTCTCCCAGGCAGTCCCCAAAGTCCGAATGCACGTTGGATGAGGGCCTGAGGTCGTACGATCACGTTTGTGGCGCCGAGCTGGCAGCCCATTGGGGCATGAGTGAGGATGGCATGCGTGGGCATCTGCTGGCAACACAAATCTGGCAGCGCATGAAGCTGGACCGCAGCAACCGCTCCGGGCTACTCAAGCGCTTGGCTCAGCAAGTGGTGAGCTTTCACAACATGCAGCGCCAATGGGAGCTTTATCTCGAAACCAGCCAGCAGAAGCGAAAAGACATGACGGCGGACTGGGCAAAGCAGGACAAGGCGCTGCTAGATGCAAAGGAAAGGCGCGACGCGGCCACAGAGGCTCACAAGAAGAGGATGATCGCGGCGTGCCGCAGGATGTACTCGGAGTATGATGAGTATCGAGCCCGCGAAAGCGCAGAAGCCGCCGCGCTGGCAGAATCTCATCAAAGGATCCAAGAGCAGCAAGCCAGACTAGCAGACCTCACAGACAAGGGCCAGCACTTTGCCGAGTCACTGAAGCAGGTGCGGTGTAAAGTGGATGACCTGCTTGCCGAGGATGTCCGATTGCGCCAGCAGCTTGATGAGATGCGTGCGCAGCACATGGCATCGCGGCATGCCAGCATGAGGTCAGCAGCGGATGATCTCGCGGACCTAGCCGAGATCAAGTCAGATCTGGCACGTAAGCAGAAGGCAGCGCGGAATGAACACAAGCACATCTTAAAGATGGAGGACTTCATTCGGCGGGTTGCCAATCAAGACGCGAAGTCCCTGCGAACTGGTGGGGGCTTTGTGCTGAATAGCATGGCGAAAGCCGAGGCGCAGTCTCTAGTGCAAGAATTGTTCTTGGAGTGAAGCCAAGCTAAGGAGCAGCTTCTGCCAAAGAACGAGAGAAAAAGGGACCGCACTGTGCACAGAAGGTTCTGAATTTGGATGATCAGCATACAGAGTCTCAGAGACGGGTAGAAGCGTATGATACAGTTCCGGAAATTATGTCGTGCTTGGGCGTGGCGTGCTGAATCAATGAACCGCCTGCGCCCAACTTGCACCACGGCGACGGTCGCCAGAGGTCGACCTGGAGCGTCTTCAGCGGCAGACGCTCGCCGAAGACAGCCAGGATACAATCAACGTGGCCACGTGCTCAGCCATGTGAATGCTACTGTATGTAGGAACCCTCAACCCTAAACCCTAAAACCCTAAAACCCTAAAACCCTAAAACCCTAAAACCCTAAACCCTAAACCCTAAACCCTTAACCCTCAGCAGCTGAAGCCTGAGGTGCAGGTCCATGGCAGCGGAACCTGGCTGACCCTGGTGACTGCGCCTCATTCACTTCACGCCACGGCGGCAAACTTCCAGCCACCGACACGGCGACAGTGCCAGGCGAAGGAGGAAGCCCGGTGGCTGCAAAGATACAAGGCGCATGCAGAGCGACTTGCCGACATGTTTGGGGGCACATTGTGGTTTACCATAATTTGATTTTTTCAGAGTCTAGCCGAAGATCCTTGTGCCTCGAGAACTTGCCCATGCTTTGTGCAGTTCACGTGGTCGAATCATTGCAGGGTGGGGCTTCCGCTGGCGAGCTCAAGGCTATAGCAGTCAGAGTGGCAAGCAGCGGCGCGGTGTGGATGCCACTTCATGTCAAAATGAGGCGGCTTGAATGATGGCACGTTGCCTGATGAAGTTGCGGCGCTCTTACAGCTGCGTCGAGTTAAGAGTTGTGGAAATCATCGTGATTGAGGTTGTAACTCACGTTCCCAACATCCTCGGGACCATGTTGGCACCGAGGGATCTCAAAGCAGCGCCGCCCTTTTAATCACTTGCGTCTGAAGCGGAGGTGCCCCCTCCTCCAAGAAGGCAAAGCGCTATCAACCTGAACAAAGGTGTTGGCTTCAGCCGATGCCACCAGTGTCGACGGCAAACCTGCCCTTCCGCCTGTCGTGCTGCACGGCACCTAACTTGCTTTGCATACTGCGCTGCAAGTCTTTGTGTTTGTCCGCCCTTAACACGTGATTGTTAGCTTTTGCACGGAGCCATTCTCCCCACCGGATCGGTCAGAGACTGCCACTGCCCCAGATATCCCACAAGAATATCCCTGGAGCGCTGGTTTTTGATGGAAAGTGACATGTTGATTTGTTTTGTGGCGGGGGGGGGGGGGGGCGGGGCGGCCAACAAATTTGCAGCTTACGTGGAATCTTGAGGCACATCCTCGCTTTCAAAGCTTGCCGGGGCGCTATCAAGTTTGGAGATTCGCTGTCACAGGCACATTCGGCATGTCTTGTTTAGCCGCTTGCTTTGAACACCGCTGTGCGGACCAAACCCTGGGGAGTGCCTGTTGGCATGAACATTGCGCAGGTGCAGATTCAAGCATTGCTTCGAGATTTGAGCTCGTGCAAGTTTCCATTTCAGTCCCAAGCTTGGTGATCTCGCCAGACTCTAATAAACCTTAAATCCTAAACCCGAAACCCTAAACCCTAAACCTCTTAGCCGCTTGAGTCGCAGAGGTGCGCGCATGGACGTCCGACGGTGTACCCACTGCACATGGGTGCCGAGCTTACTTGCAGGGAACTCGTCAGTCCCCTTCGCATGGGCGGCGCTTAAAGAACCAACCCAAATCGAACAAATGCGACTCCCGAAATGGCCCTTATAAAGGAAGCATGTTTCATTTTTGGGGTGTGGTTCTACAGCAAGTAGTAGAAACGCGAAGCTTCAAGGTACGTGGTTTGCCATGAGTCGTTGAAGGTTCATTTGGGGGTTTAGGGTTTAGGGCCCTCCCTAAACCCTAAACCCTCAACTTTTGGCGAAACGATTTAGGTCACAGGTAGCTGGTCTATTTCTTCTGGCTGGTAAGGGTTTAGGGTTTTAGGGTTTAGAGTTTAGGGTTTTAGGGTTTAGGGTTTCGGGTTTAGGGTTTAGGGTTTTGGGTTTTGGGTTTTGTTTGTTCTGATTGTTAGTCTTCCGGCTTTGCTACTGTAGATTTACATCGCACAGTGGAGCTTGTACTATTATCCCCGTTGTAGCTGAGAAGTAAGACGAAACAATCCTGAGGTTTCATTGAGGTTGCGGGGCTTAAGTCCGACGTCGAGAGTTCACGAACATGAATTGTTTCGCTAAACCCAAAACCCTGAACCCTAAACCCTTACCCGTAAACCCTAAACCCTAAACCCTCCTGCACCTCAACATACCTCAACCCTACAAGCTGCCAGGCTCGGCAAACCACAGGTGGAGCAGGCCGACTGGTCCAGCACCACTTCAAGGCTGGACGACCGCTGAGGTTTTGGGCAATTTGACGCAATTCCCGGGTCGGATTTAGGGTTAGGGGTTTAGGGTTTAGGGTTTCGGGTTTAGGGTTTGTTTGACTTAGGACGGTGGTCAAGGGCCAAGGGTGCGAAGCCATTTTCTGGGGGCTCGGTAACAATCGAAAGTCACCGAGGTCGCATCTGTAGCATGATCCAAAGTTTGGAGACATGGTGAGCATACATCAGGCACCGAATGCCAGAGCACGACCATGATTAGGGTTTAGGGTTTAGGGTTTAGGGTTTAGGGTTTAGGGTTTAGGGTTTAGGGTTTAGGGTTTAGGGTTTAGGGTTTAGGGCAGACAGAACACACATGTGAAGCAAGAATCGCCGTCACCGGGCTTACATTCTCTTCGTTTCTCGCGTGATTTGAGATTTGGTTGTCGATAAATCGGAGATGTTAGGAGCTGGCTGCAAGGGAAGAAAAGGTTCAAGCTTAGGATATTCCCCCGTGCATTAGGGGTTTTTGACGCGGATCATACTAAGGAAGTACCGTACTTTCAAGTACCTTGTGGACTTGCTGCAGTATCTGTTCGTATACGTTTTAACACACAACGCAACGGTTTAAAAGGTTTCAGGTGCCAGGGGCACGGCGGGTTTAGGGTTTAGGGTTTAGGGTTTAGGGTTTAGGGTTTAGGGTTTAGGGTTTAGGGTTGAGGAGTTGAGGAGTTGCCTGGCAAGCTTATGTGAAGTAGGGTTCATGCTAAGGTTTTGGTGAGGGTACACAGGTTTTGTTTAGGGATATTTGTGAGTCTCTATGCGCTGTCCTCAGGGAATACTCACAATAAGAAACACTACTTCGCATGACATGGGTTTGAGCAGCTCCTCGGAAGCCATCTTCACTTGTCCAACAACGGCGGCGCTCGACACATCAATAATCAAATATCAGCTGCTTGGATGCTGCCCGCACCCTAGAACAATACCAGTGCAATTCATACAGGCGTCTAAATGACATGCCATCCCTCTTTGATCCCTACACTTCATTTGTCATTCCTTGGTTCCTCCATAGTGCCCATTCTAATTCACAATGTAACGATATGACGCTCTAAGCCCTACAAAGCGGTGGTCGTTTGAAAGGTGCACTTTGCCAGCAGACTCGAGGATGTTCGCCATCCGAAAAGCACTAATTCGGCAGCGTTGAAATTGAATGCAAAACCGAAAATTCGAGGCATGAAATCTTGCTCCAGCAGGCAATGAACATTGCTGCGGTGTATTGAGCGCTGACTTAGGCCGTTTCGACCATCGCGCAGAAGTCGGCAAAAGCCAGGTCCTGTAAGTGGTCAATCGCGTCCACTCTGTTGAGGTTTGGTGGAGTCGGTCGGATTCGGTTGGTTTAGGATTAGGGTCTTGGGTCTGCCCCGTGACGACAAGTCCAAAACCTTCAGCCAGGAAGATTTTTGAGCAGTCGGAATATTGCGTTTCAGGGATGGGACTGGATGCATGATGGTTTCCATGAAGATGGTCACCTAAATAGATCTAGGGTTTAGGGTTTAGGTGAAAACAGAGAGCGCTTTAGAGGAACCCAAATAGAGACCAACCCCAAATATGGTCGAGTCTACTCTGCTTTGGTTCCGAGTTAGGCCAAAAATTTGTTTCCAGTCTGAAATATCCATAAGAGACGAATTCCCTAATTCCCTACTAAGCACCAGTCAACAAATGCGTCGGTAGCTAGGCATGCGTTTGTCAGCTTGACAATCCCTTGCCCACCACTTAAACCTTAGATTCGTCATGCAGTTTGCAATGCAATGCTTGCACAGGCAGCCTGGATAGTTTGTCGTGTTTGCAGATTTGCTGCCTGAAGTTGTCAGGGTTCATAGCATGATAAAGGCTTCACAGACAGACAAACACACAAACACACAAACACACAAAAATCCCTCATACAAACACGCACAAACACGCAAACACGCAAACCCAGGCAAACGCAACTCGGCGAGTTGGATGCCAGTACTGTACATCTTGTGCGGAGTGGTGCCATGACTTTGCAGCTGTCCTTAGCGTCACTCATGCTTTGCGCCTTTCTGGTCGGCGCTCACGCCGTCTTGAAAGGTATGCGAGAGCCAGAGAAGACCTCGATGCTTTCTTCTTCTTGTCAGCTTTTGTTCGATTGAAGTGGGTTATGGGTGAAAGTTGGCTTCTCCTGTAGGACTGGTTGACAACTGAGGATAAGGGCAGGAGATTGGCACGGGTTGGAATACCGCTGGAACGTGAACAAATCTTTGAGGGTGCGCTGGAGCAACCGCACCGTTTCTTGCATGAAGCTGCCAGGACTGCTGGCCAGGGAAACAGCCAAGAGCGTGCTGTCGCTGCTTACACGCAGTCAGTCATATGACTCTGAACCTGATTCTGTGGATCACATGCCAAGCTTCGAGTTCTACCCAATGGCAGCTGGCAGATGGACAGACCAAGCCTTGCAAGAAAAGTTGGACCAGTTCGTTCGGACCGTCATGTTGCCATATGTGCAGCAGACTTTTGCCTGCCCCCAGTGCTCCTTAGCTGATATTCTTGTGCGAAGGTATGTAGCATCCGAGAGACGCACTCATCAGCTTCACTTTGATGGCCACGCCTATGTCACCGTGGTGCTGGGGCTAACTGACCCATCAGAGTTTGAGGGTGGGCTGTACATCCAGCCGGGGGCACATGCCAGCTCCCGTGAGTTTGTGCACTTGGATCCAGGAGACGCTTTTGTGCACTCGTTCGACCTGCAGCATGGAGTTCCTTCCTGTTGGTTAGCAGGGAATGAGGGAATTCGGGGCTGTGTTTTTATACCCTACCCCCAATTCCCCCATTGCCTAGTAACAGTAAGGTTCGGCTTTGGCAAGGGACTCGATACAGCATGGTCTTTTGGATTAAGACGCCGGCGGAGGCTGTTGAGGACGGCACTGCACCGTGGTACGACGTGGCGGCCAAACATGGTGATCCAGATGCCATGTTTCTTGGTCATAGCTGGGTAGCATGTTGCATTTTTAAGGGTACTTAAACCCAACAAGGAGTGACAATTTAAATATTGATAGTATCCCAACAATGAACTAGGTTTAACTTGGGTGAGCAGTACCTTCGGGGAACCTCTGGACGAGATGTCAACGTGAGCCGGGCCGCTGAGTTGTACGAGCAGGCTGCTGCGTTGGGACATCATGGTGCCCAGACGCATTTGGGGCTGCTGCTTGCGGATGCTGGTGGGTCCAATCTAACGGCAAGTGCAAGGTGGCTTCAGCTGGCTGCCAAGGGCGGGGACGTACTTGGTCAGAAGAGTTTGGCTTTTGCGTTTGCAAATGGACAGGGCGTTCAGCAAAATTTGACGCGCGCGGCAAGGTGGATGACGCGAGCAGCAGAACAAGACGATTTGGAAGCTGCCTACGTGCTCGGCACCATGTACTTGCATGGGCAGGGCGTGGAGGCTAGTCGCGCCCGGGCCAAGCGTTGGTTGAGGCAGAGCGCCGAAGCGGGCTACGTGGATGCACAGAAAGAGATGGCCCTCTTTGAGAAAGGAGAGGGGGTCCCTGGCAAGCAAGGCCCAGGAACCCTAAACCCTAAACCCTACACCCTAAATCCTAAACCCGACACCCTAAACCCTAAACCCGACACCCTAAACCCTAAACCCTAAACCCTAAACCCTAAACCCTAAACCCTAAACCCGACACCCTAAACCCTAAGCCCTAAACCCTAAACCCTAAACCCTAAACCCTAAACCCTAAGCAGGTTCTAAAGCGAACCTCACAGCGGTGGAAGCCTGGCTCAGCCTGGCTGCACGGCAGGGTGATTCTGAGGCCAGGCACCTTCTGGCAGACCTCCTTGCCCGGCAAGAGAGGCAGCTTGGTAGCCCAGCTTAGGGTTTAGGGTTTAGGGTTTAGGGTTTAGGGTTTAGGGTTTAGGGCTTAGGGTTTAGGGTTTAGGGTCTAGGGTCTAGGGTTTAGGGTTCAAGGCTCCCTCATAAAGTAACCAACCCCAAAAAAGGGTGCCCTTTTTTAGCATATGTTTTCCTACATCCAAGGCACAAAGAGGCTGTAAAGCTCTGGCGGCGGCTCGCCAAGCTGGGGGATGCACAGGCGCAGTGGCAGCTTGGCAGGTGCTACGCACAAGGCCGGGGCACCAAGGCCATGCCGCAGAAGGCGCCTTGGTGTCATAGCTGGGTAGCATTTTGCATCTTTTTAGGGGTACTTAAAGCCCAATAAGGAATAGAAGCTTATTATATTTTTAAAACCATTTTACATTTGTAAGGGTACTTAAACCCAATAAGGAATAAAAGCTTATTTTCTTTTCGATATTCTCCCAACCATGAACTAGGCGCAGGCCTTGCTTTCAAAGGCCGCCGCTCAGGGCCATGAGGATGCGGCTCAAGATTTGGCCAGGCTCAGGAGCCTCAAAAGAAGAATCTTGCAGCCATGCAGTGGGTATTGGGTAATTTTATATATTATATTATATTATATTAAATTATATTATATTATATGATATTATATTATATTATATATTTTATTATAATATATTATATATTATATTATATATTATATAATATATATTATATTATATTATATTATACATTTTTATTATATATTATATAATATATATTTTTATTTTATATATTATATATTATATATTATATATTATATATTATATATTATATATTATATATTATATATTATATATTATATATTATATATTATATATTATGTATTATGTATTATATATTATATATTATATATGTATATAATATATTATATATTATATATAATAAATCATATATTATATATTATATATTTTATATTATATATTTATTATATATTATACATTATACATTATACATTATATATTATATATTATATATTATATTGTATTATATTGTATTATATTGCATTATATTGCACGATATTACATTATATTGTATTATATTGTATTATATTTTATTATATTGTATTATATTGTATTATATTGTATTATATTATATATATATATCTATATATCTATATATATATATATATATATATATATCTGTGTGTGTGTGTGTGTGTTTGTGTGTTCTTCTTGGCTGTCCCTTTCAAACTTTCCGTCCTGGCTCAAGCGCTCAAGCGCTCGAGTGACCGGACAATGCAGCTGGCATGTCAAATCAAACAGTCTTGGGATGTCAGCCGCGTGCATTGCCTACAAGCCCGTGAGCTGCACACCTAAATCCAGCACTTGGGACCAGGCAGCAGAAGCCGCACCTAGACCCATCTCAGCCCACAATTCTACCAGCAGTGGTTTAGGGTTTAGGGTTTAGGGTTTCGGGTTTAGGGTTTAGGGTTTAGGTAGCGTTTGGCACCTCCACCCCGCAAGCCATGGGAGAAGAGCTGAATCGTCTCACGGCATACCCTCCAGAGGGGGTGGAGTGGGCCAACCGCAGCCTGGCGCGACAAGGGCTTAGGGTTTAGGGTTTAGGGTTTAGGGTTTAGGGTTGAGGGTTGAGGGTTGAGGGTTTAGGGTTTAGGGTTTAGGGTTTAGGGTTTAGGGTTTAGGGTTTCCTTAAATTTGGGGGTCGAGGGTTTGGGGGGTCGAGGGTTTTGGGGCTTTGTTTTTGAGGGTGTTTTTAAAGGGGCGTTTGGGGGCTTTAAAGTTCTCAGCCCATACAGCTACTAGTTTGCTTAAGAACCCCGAAAAAACAGAAATATTCTCTAGTATAGGGATTGTTGTTTTTTTAGGGTTTTTAGGCAAATAGGAGTAAAAGTACCATCAAGTAGAGCAGCCCCCAGAACTTTCGTTTCCGGGCCGCCGGGCTTGGCGCTGTCGAGCTAGTGCGGCTGATCGGGCATGCATTCAGGTTTGGACCGAGGGTTCAGGGTTTAGGGTTTAGGGTTTCGGGTTTAGGGTTTAGGGTGTTTTTAGGGTTTAGGGGTTAGGGTTTAGGGTTGTGGTTTAGGCTTGAGGCTTGGGAGGCTTTAAAGAAACCTTTGCGGTAGGAATGAGGCTCTGAAGCATTGCCTTCGGCCGGCGTGAGCGGCGAAAGCATAAACTCCCCAAGCCTAAACCTAAACCCCAGACACCCTCAGCCTCAACACTGGCCCAAAAAACCCAAAACCCCCTGAAACCTAGTGGTTTCCCCTAAACCCTAAACCTAAACCCTACACCCTAAACCCTAAACCCTAGACCCTAAACCCTAAACCCTAAACCCTAAACCCTAAACCCTAAACCCTTTGGGGCGCCTTTTAAAGGCTGGGCCGAGCTTGAGAACGCGTATGCGGATTTGGAAGCACAGCGCGACTCGCTGCAGCAGGAGGCGCTCAGAGGGATTTTCGGGGTTTTGGGGTTTAGGGTTTAGGGTTTAGGGTTTAGGGGTATTGGGGAGTTTTTGGACTTCGGGGGTTCAAGAGTTTTTGGGCGTTGGGGTTTTTGGGGCTTGGGGGTGTTAAAATAGGGGCTTAGGGGTTAAGGCGTTTAGGGTTTAAAGTTTAGGTTTTAGGGTTTTGAGGTTTAGGCTTAGGGTTTTGGGGTTTATGGTCTGTAGGGTTTAAAGCTTCAGAGCTTAGGGTTCGGGGTGTCAAGGGGGTGATGGTTTCGACTGTGAGGATTGGGGCTTGGAATTTCTAGATGGAAGTTCAGGGTTTTGGGTTTTGGGCTTGGGGGTCAGGATTTGGAACCCTAAAATGCCTCAAGACTCCAAACCCGAAGCCCTAAACCCTATACCCTAAACCCTTGAACCCTCAACCCTAAGCCCTAAACCCTAACCCCTAACCCCCTCCCCCCCCTCACACACAAAGGGGACCAGCCTGAAGGTGGATGGCTTGCGCCGAAGCTCGCAGGAGAACCTGCAGGACGGAACGGATTAGGGTTTAGGGTCTAGGGTTGAGGGTTTAGGGTTTACAGTTCCCCCCAAATCACTTTGGGGTCATTGCCCAGGGCTCGGCATATTCTAGCCCTACATACCCTATACCTTACCAACCCTCTACCCTATATCCTACACCCGACACTACACCCTATACGAACTAAACCCAAATAGGGTTTTCTTGAGTTTGCTGAGAGACGGAGCAAGCCTGGCAAGTCAAGGTTGCAAGACCGGACAGATTTCGAGTTTAGGGCTTCGTTTAGGGTTATCCGTTAACACTTGCTTCGCTGCTGTTTTCGGGTTTCAGGGCTTAGGGGCCTTTAGGGTTGAGGTCTTCGTTTGGTGCTTTTGGTGGGGGTCTTTTCCGGCTGGATCTAGGGCTCGAGCGTTGAAGCCCCGGACCCCCAACAGCCGCAGCCGAATGAGTGGGGGCATGAGGGTTCTTCTAGTCACTGCCATTGGGGGTAATGGTTGTTAGGCTGATTAGGGTCCTGAGCTAACCTCCCAGCCTCTACTTAAACCCCAAACTCCCGAAGCCTCAATGCCCTAAACGCCCCTAACGCAGCCAGCTTCTCATAAGTTGTGCTTTGAAGTGAAATCCCTACACCAGCACCTCAGCCCCCTTCTTCCGTACCCTCAATCCCGAAATCCCCCCGGCTGAATCCCCTAAATCCTAAACCCTAAACCTTAAACCCTAAATTACTAAACCCTAAACCCTAAACCCTAAACCCTAAACCCTAAATCCATGAGATTGAAGTCCTAAGACGTCTCTTAAGTTCTCATTCGAGAGTTTGGGGTCTCAGGGTTCCGTGCAAGCCGCTTAAGCCACCCTAAACTCCCAAAACCCTATAGACCCTAAACCCCAAACCCTACAGGAGAGACCCCAACCCTAAACCCTAAACCCCCCTAAACTTCCTAAACCCTAACTCGCCTAAACCCCCCAAACAAAAAAAACCAAACCCCTCAAAAAATCCCTTAAACCCTAAACCCCAAACCCTAAACCCTAAACCCTAAAACCTAAACCCTACCCTGAGTCGCGGACAGGAGCAGCCGCTCCCATCGCAGCCCGAGGAGCTCGAAGAGTTGAGGGGGCAACTCCAGGAAGCCAAGAAGGAGGCTTTAGGGTTTAGGGTTTTAGGGTTTAGGGTTTTAGGGTTTAGGGTTTAGGGTCTCGGGTTTCGGGTTTAGGGTTTGGGGTTTAGGGTTTAGGGTCTAGGGTGTAGGGTTTGAGGGTTTGAGGGTTTGGGGGTTTGGGGTTTAGGGTTTAGGGTTTTTCAGAGGCACAAGCTCACAAGGCTTTGGAAGGGCGATTTTTTTTTTTTTTTTTTTTGGGGGGGGGGGGGGGGGTTATGGGGCTTTCTTGGGGTTGCTGGGGGGTGTTTGGGGTTTTGAGGTCGTTTTGGGGTCGTTTTGGGGTTGACGGCTTAAGAGGGCTCTAGGTAGGGCATTGGGGTTTTGGGCTCTAGGGCTTTAGGTCTTGGGGTGTTGGGCTTGCTGGAAGGTTATCATAAAGAGTTCTGAGTAAGGAAGGTTTCATCCTACTGCAGGCAGCACATGTTGTTTTCAAGTTTTTGAACTTGGCAATTCTTTGAGAAAGCCCTAAACCCTAAACCCTAAACCCTAAACCCTAAACCCTAAACCCTAAACCCTAAACCCTAACCCCTAAACCCCTAAACCCTAAACCCCGCACACCCGACACTCCCCGAGACCCGAGACCGACCCTGCCCCGCAGCCGCGCAGGCGGATCTGCGGCTTACGGAGGAGGTCCGCAAGGAGGAAAAGATTACCAGGCTCCTTTTTCTTTTTCGGGTTTAGGGTTTCGTGTTTAGGGTGAACGCCCTCTCTGCCAAAGCTACGGTTAGCACGGCCAGCAATGCCGACAAGTCTGCTAATTGTCAATAAAACACGAACACGAACGCCAACACGAACACTTGTGATGTTTGTTTCTACCACGACCACTACCAGGGTTTAGGTTTTTGGGTTGCTGATGTAGGATTTAGGACATTATGGGTGAGAATCCGACCGAGCACGTGCGCGAATCGTGTTGTGCGCGAAGTTCGAGTCAATGCGCGAATCCGGTTTTTCCGCGTACCCAAAAAACAGTTCTCTAGATTCAATGTCATGTCACTTCCCAAGACGAATATTCGCTTTTGTGAGTGCAATTCTTCAGAGTTTTTTTCTGCCTTTTTTTGGTGTTTATTTCGGGACACGAAGAAGTCGAGCAGTGCGTTTTCAGCTGCGTCAGAGGCTGGCCATGGAACTGGAGCAGCAGACGCTCCGCCTCTCTGAGCTCAGCAAGCAGAAGTTCCAGCTCGAGTACGACAAGACCAGGACGCGAGAAAATGAGAGAAGCGTGCTGAGGCCCATGCCATGAGCTTGTTAAGCCAAGCTCCACTGTTTGCTTAAGAGCCCCTAATCCCTATATTTCCCTCAATAAAGAAGAGTCCTTTTAATTTTTCGGGGTTCTTAAGAAATTAGTAGAGCTGTGGACAGGACTGAATCCGAGATGCTGCCCATTACTGCAGCCCGCGATCGGCTGCAGACCGAGCGGGAGGCGCAGGACAGGCTCATCGAAGAGCTACGCAAGGACCCCCTTGCGAAGCGGGTCCGATGTTGCATCAAAGCTCCATTTTTCAATGTTAAAGCAACAATTGTAATACTATCATACAATTTTAAAATCATGTAAGAAAACGGTAGTTTCTTTTTCAGAGGAGCAGGACAAGCTGTTCAACGAGAAGTTTGAACTGGCGCGGAAGATGCGGCGAGACCTGGAGGTCATGCCGAACCCCATGGCCCCCCCAAGGATGCAGGTCGAACCTCCTGGACCCTAAACCCCTAAACCCCCAAACCCTAAATCCCTAAATCCCGAAACCCTAAGCCTACTAAGCCTTAAACCCCTAAACCCCTAGAGTCCTAGACCCTAAACCCCTAAGCCGCTAAATCCTATAAATCCCTAAACCCTATACATCCCTAAAGCCTTAACCTATAGAGGCCAAAACGCTTTGAATGCCCAAACTCCCTGAACTCCGAAAACAGCCCGGAAGGCCCACAAGCCCAAAATCGAGCCCATGGACCCCGAACCCTCAAAAGTTTTAGGGTTTGGGGGTTTTCGGGTCTTAGGGTTTTAGGGGTTTAGGGTTTCTAAGGCCCTGTTAACCTTAGTCCTTAAGCCAAAGCTGCACCATGGAGGCAGCACAGGCTGAGGCCAAGTACCACCAAAACGTCGCAGAGGAAGCGCGCGAGGCCCAAAACCCATGTGGCTGCCATCTTGGGTCCTTATTCTATAATCATAAGTGTACATAAGGGCTAAGCTAAAAAGGCACCCAACTTAAAGGCCCATGCTTCGGATTTTGTATTGAGAGATGATGAGGCTTTGGGGGCGCAGGGCCTGAGGTTTCAGGCTTTCGGGCTTGGCAGGCTTGGGGGCTTTGCGTTTTCGGGTTTGAGGCTTCAGGGCCTTGATGAGTTGAGGGTTTGCGGGCATGTAAAGTCAGAGAGAGAGAGAGAGAGAGAGAGCTGTAACAGGAGCACGTCCTTCGGGACGACCCCCTTCGGGGGTTACGTGCTGTGGAAGGAAGGAAGGAAGGAAGGAAGGAAGGAAGGAAGGAAGGAAGGAAGGAAGGAAGGAAGGAAGGAAGGAAGGAAGAGAGACAGAGAGAGAGAGAAAAAAAAACAAAACAACAAGTCGTGGCCGGGTTCCTCCTTCGGGGGGGGGGGGGCCTCAAAGCGCTGAGAAGAAGAAGAAGAAGAAGAAGAAGAAGAAGAAGAAGAAGAAGAAGCAGAGAAAACAAAGACAGAGAGAGAGAGAGATGGCGATGCCTATGTCAGGCTCAGTATCGCGAGAGGAAGCTGAAGGAGGAGCTGCAAGTCCAGCTGAAGGATGAGAGGGAAGATTTTGCGGCCAAGCAGGCGGCACTGGAGGCAGGGTCTGTGCCAATCAGCAGATATCAGCAGTAGTTTCGCAACTCATGTTACCCATCCATACCCATCTAGGATCTGTAGGGATGTTATGGAAGGGTGGCTTCAACGGACTAGAGTCGGGTTGCTGCGAAGAAGAGGGCTAAAGAGGCGTCGGGGTAGAATGCAAGAGTGCTGCAAGCATTGCAGGACAACTGCCGCATCAAGCAAGAGCAGTTGGACCGCACGACTCGCCATTGGCAGACTTGCAGGGTGCGCAGCCCAGTAGTAGGACTAGCTGCTGTCTGGGGTTTAGGGTTTACGGTTTAGGGTTTAGGGTTTAGGGGCATGATGCCCATCCCCTCGCATTCCGTCTCATTTGGCTATTCCCATAATTGTAGGAAACCCCTGTTTTCGGAGACCCCCATGTCAGTCGAGGAGCAGCTAGATGAAGCCGTGCAAGGGCTGGAGCAGGGCGCTGAATCGGAGAAGCAGAAGAGCCTCGGCAAATTTGGGGGTTTCCGAAAGTAGGGGTACGTACCTTATTGGGATCCTGATTGTAACGGAATCCTACTATTTGGGGGTCTAGATTAAGGGGTCCCCGATTTCCATTTGGCACACAACACTTGGTTCTTGAATAGCCCGTGAACCCTTGGCCCATGTGTCTTTCTGAGGAACGCAGTTCAGGCGGAGTTGGAGGACCTACCACGCAGCTTCTGCTTCAGAAACTGGATCTTGTGGTTTTTGGCGGTTAGCCTTAAACCCGAGCTCTGAAATGGCCACAGTAGCTGATGTTTCCAGGAGTTTCTGTAAGCTTAAGCTTACAGGAAATGTTTCGGAAATGAGGTACCCTATGTAAGCCTTTAACGGGTATATATAGGGCCCTAATTCCCTCATTCCCTGCTAGCCAACAGTAAGAAAGAGTCTCCAAGAGTTGGCACCGACAGGTTTCTTGTCTGGATTGCGGAATGTGGCCCGGCAATCAATGCCTAAGTGTTGAGACTCTACCCTAAGCCCTAGCCCTAAACCGCCTAAAGCCTCTAACCTAGCGCAAAACCCGACGGTTTGGGCTTATGGCTTAGGGTGCGTGTCTGTAGGTGAAAACAGTTAGGTATAGGGAGGTGGCTTCACACCCTCCGATGTGCACACGCACCCTAAGCCATAAGCCCAAGCCGTCGTGTTTTGCGCTAGGTTGGACGCTTTAGGCCGTTTAGGGCTAGGGTTTAGGGTTTAGGGTTTAGGGTTTAGGGTCTAGGGTCTAGGGTTTAGGGTTTAGGGTTTAGAGCTTAACCCTGAAGATGCCCTTGGCAGGCCGAAGCCACTGGCCGTGTCTCTAGATGGTTCGGGGGGACAGACGGCCAAAAAAGGTCCTCGAAACCATGGTTTTAGGGCCTCAGGGTTCGAGGGCTTAGGGGTGTAGGGGTTTAGGGGCTTAGGGCTTTAGAGGTTTAGGGGTTTAGGGGTTTAGGGGTTTAGGGGTTTAGGGGTTTAGGGGTTTAGGGTTGGAGCTCAGGGGAATTTCGGACCCCGGCAGGACCTGCGCCAAGAGTTCGAAAGCTTCAAGCAGGAGAGGTGGGGTTGGGAAGGTGCCAGGGTCCACAAGCAAAAGTGCTTCGTTCGTTAAGATTAGTTCCCCATGCGCTTAGGGTGTTCTGGGGTTTCGGGGTTGAGGTTTTCAAGGCTTGCTTAGAATGCTAAACAGGCCCGTGGTTCGTAAATCGAAGTCAATCTATAGATGGCCCCTAAGGGGCACTTCCTAATCCATACACCCCCAAACCCCCAAACCCTAAACCCTACAACCCAAAATCGCCCTCCACTTTCCTTAGCCCTCAACCCTAAACCCTAAAATCCTAAACCCTAAACCCTAAACCCCCTCACTTTCAGGAGCACGAGGACTTCTTGAGGAGGCGCCTGCCTGGAGCTGATACTGGCGAGCTCCCTCGAGGTCTGGGGAGGGGGGGGGTTAAAGCCCGAAACCCTAAACCCCAAACCCCAAACCCTAAACCCCAAACCCTAAACCCCTGTCAAAACCTCAAACCCCTAAACCCCTAAACCGGTTTCTTTGCTGCGTCTTTGAGAAGTCAGGGATTGAGAGCTGCGCCGGCGCGCGAAAATGTAGGAATATAGCAACAGTCGACTGGACTGGAGAGTAGCCCCTGAGTGGCTCCTCCAGCTATGCAGGTGCCAAAAAGCAACTTTAGAAACCCCTGTACCCTGCACCCTAAACCTTCAGCCCGAAACCCCAAACCCTAAACCCCAAACCCTAAACCCCAAAGCCTGAACCCTTGACCCTAAACCCCTAAACCCGAAACCCTGGCTAGGGCCCATCCCTGGCCCCCTGGCCCAAGACGCATCCAAGAGCCACGGAGGCTTCGAAAGCCTCACCGAGCTGGTCAGAATTGCCAACACCTCCCGTGAGGAGGCAACGCAGCAACGCGATCGGTTTGGGGTTTAGGGCTTCGGTTTTTGTCGGGTGTTCTGTGCTTAGAGTTAGCACTGTCGCACACCCAGCCCCAAGCCCGCCCAAACCGTTTAGGGTCTCGCACTGAACCCTCCCCCTCTCAACAGACCCTTGGCCCAGAATTCGAGCCAGCTTATCGGTAGCCTGTAACACAGCACTACTTGTCGGAAAAGGCCCCGGGCGCACAACACTACCTTCAACATTTCCCCCTCCCCTGTTTTGCTCTACAGGCCCTGAAGGAAAGAGCTGCCAGGGAAAACCTCCAGCAGGCTGCTGGCTGCTTCTGGCAGTTCGAATTGTTCGGGGGCTTATGGTTTAGGGTCATGGTATGATTCTTATGTATTGTGTTTACTGTGTTTTCCAACTTCGCATTTCTTTGTTTTTGAGGTGGGTGGGGGGGTAGCTTGAGGATTACAGGGAGGTGGCGAAAATGGAACACACATTGTTCTTGAGATTTGGGGCTTTCAGTCATTTTTCAGGGGTTTGCCTTTCAACGAAGAGGCTTAAACAAAACCCTTTCAAGAACCACCAATATCTGTTGAGGAACGCTGGTGGCTAGTTGGTCACGAATTTTATTCTGATCAAGTATGTATGTATGTATGCATGCATGTCTGTATGTCAGGGTTATGTTGTCCGCCCGTCGCAGCGCTCGGACTGTCCGCAAGGATTGCATGCATAAGCCCTAACGCTAAACCCTAACGCCCAAAACCCCCAAACCCAAAAACCGTCCCCAGGGTTTTGGGTTCAGGGTGACCCCGAATTCCCCTTTGCTGACTGCAGGTGCTCCAGGACATAGAGAAGGAGATTCGTCAGCGATATCCCGTCCTCATGAGCATCGGGCTCAGCGGAGACCCTAAACCCCAAGCCCCAAAGCCTGAACCCTAAACCCTAAACCCTAAACTTCCAAGCCACCTTCTGCCCTGGTCTCGGGCGTTGAGGGCTTTAAAATCAGCAGGCTTTCGTGGCCGAGCGACCCGAGACCCCCTAAACCTCGAGGCCAAGTGCAAGAACTCCGCGAGCTGCGCAACCAGAATGCCGAGCTCAAGGAGCAGAACAAGATCATCTACAACAAGGCTGGGGGCTGGAGCGTGAGCCTTTTTCTGCCTGATGCCGGTTGTCCTGGCCTGTGGCCATCATGTTCCTCACTTTTGCTTTGACCTGTGTGTAGCGCAGGCTCGCGAGTACGCGATTTACAATCGAGACGCAGAGGCAGCGGCGTTCGTCCAGTGCGCGTGTGCGTGTAGATGCCAGTGAGTGACGGTTGTGCGCATGTCCTCATGCGTGTCGCATCAAGTCCATGGGGTTTAGGGTGTAGGGCTTAGGGCTTTTGAAACTCCATCTCGGGAATAGAGCTGACCGAGACTGTCCGCCTCGGCAGGCTCGCGCGAAGAGGGCGGAGCAGTCAAACAAGATGATAGAAGCTCACGCGTTTTTCTCAGTCTGCACGTCAGCATCAGGAAGGGTACCTGTATGATCTCAAGACCGAGAAGGAAGCTAAGTGGAACAGATCCCCACTCGATGTTCCCACACCCTAGAAACCCTAAACCTTGCCAGATGGCTCAGGCCCAGGACCTCACTAAACAGCTTACCATCATGCTGTATGAGAAAAACAGGCGCTCTCCTCAGATGCCAGACCGACATATGGGGGGTTTCTGAAAATCGGGTTTAGGGCCAGTTTAGGGGTTTAGGGTTTGGGGTGCTTTGTGGGGTTCTTGTACTACTACGAAACCTGATATTTACGGTTCCAAAAACTGTAAAAAGGGCACTGCTTAAGGTGGTTCTATCATAGTTGGGGGCACTCTTTGGGAAGTACCCATAAACCATTAATGAAAATAATTGACACGCAAACAAAAATCACAAATTATTTGAAAGAGCAGAACGAGAAGAAATTACACAATGTGTTAATAATATTGGACCATATAGCTGAACCTCCCCTGTGTTGCTGGTTTGGGAACAGAGAAACACCTAAGCAGAAACTCCTGCTAAGGATATCCCTCCCTTTTTCCGGGTGCATTGTAAAGGGCTTGTATGGCGTATCTATACCCGCCTCCGTATGGTATTATGCAGGCTATCTAGGCATATTAAACATGACAGATTGGCCGCGACCAGGGCAAGCGATGGATTTGTTTTCTAGCTGGTGGGGTCCGCTCTTTTGTAGGCTGTATATTGATGCTATGAGGGATACATTGGCTACGAATTTAGTGGATGTTTTGGAATAGTATGGTTGCAGCATCATCACCCATACCAATGAAGCAACCAGCTGCGCCCTGGTAGACCGGATCGTCCATCGGCCCTGCTCTAGAGATCGGCAAAGCTCTTTCAGCAAAGCCTCCCTAAACCCTAAACCCTAAACCCTAAACCCTAAACCCTAAACCCTAAACCCTAAACCCTAAACCTGGAGCCCCCTAAACAGATCTTTAATGAGAAGTAGGACTGCCACCCAGGCGGGCAACCATCAACTTGGCCGGTACCTCCCGGACCTGGTTCGCGCTGAACCAGGCCGCAGAAGTTTCATGGGCTCAGCGTTTGGGTTTAGGGTTTGGGGTTTAGGGTTTAGGGTTTAGGGTTTAGGGTTTAGGAGAGCGGCTCTGCCTACAGCTGGCATCGTCCATGTTGGGGTTGATTTCCGGTAGGGCGGCGCGACTGAAAACCAGAACCACTTCGTTCATGTGGTGAAGCTGCTGCTGTACAACGCAGGCGGAGGAGGAGAACGAGTGGCCAATGACTTCCGTGCAGGCCCACTTAGACAGTTGATGTGAGGTATCTTGCTTGCTGTACTGTCAATGCTGAAGTTCTGGGATGTCGATTTTTTTGCAGTTGGCCCAAGTTTCTAGCCGAATTGAGTCCGAAACACCAAGCCCAAAGACGCTGAACTCCAACGACGCCCTTGTCGCTCGTCACACCCTCAAGTTACTGGAAGCGGGGAATTATATAACTTATATCCCCCTCCTGCCCTGTGTGGGAGTTTTACGACAAGTAGGGGGCACATAAAAAAGACCCCCCAAATACTAGCATCCCCGAAAAAAATGAGGACCCCAATAAGGTACCCCTAAAATCATAAACCTCCATGTAGGGTAATATAGCGGTAGGAAAAATTTCGCATGATATTCCCTTCTGGTCTCTTTGTAATTATACCATAATGACCCCCCAAAACCGTCTTGTCATCATTCAGGCCCCCATATTAGGGAGTTTACTAAATTCTGGGACACCGAATATAGACCCCCAAAATTGTAGGATCCCTTTGTCATCAGGACCCCAGAAAGCTACCCCGTAATACCTAACCCTAAACCCTAAACCCTAAACCCTAAACCCTAAACCCTAAACCCTAAACCCTAAACCCTAAACCCTATACCTAATCTCCCTAAGCAAAGCATCCCCGGGGCCGCCCTCACCCCATATTGGAAGGCCTCAGAAGCCCTGCTAACAACCTTCCCGAACCCTAAGCCCTAAGCCCTACACCCTAAACCCTAAACCCTAAACCCTAAAACCTTAAACCCTAAGCCCTAAACCCTAAACTCTAAGCCCTTAGCCCTAAACCCTAAACCCTAAACCCAGGATGTTGTTGAGCAGAATGTGGCGCTGCGCAAAGCGTTGCGGCAAGTCGAGGAACGGCACGGGCCCCCAGGTTTGAGGGTGCTCCATCGGCACGGGGTTTGGCGTTAAGTACGGTTTGGGGTTTAGGGTTCAGGGTTTAGGGTTTAGGGTTTAGGGTTCAGGGAGCCCCCCTATTTTGGGAAATGTCCGGTTTCCAGATTTTTCTTATGGGGCTTAATCCTAGGGGCTCGGATTCCTCTGAAACAGGTCGCTACATCCGAGTTTTTCAACCCTAAGCCTCGAGCCGCCCCCCAATGTTTGCCTTGGACGCTGCCCTCCAACCACTTAGGTTTTTTTGGTATAAAACACAAGAGAACATGAAGCACTCATACTAGAAATAAAACCCAAGCAAACATAACAGAAATGGGGTTTGCGAATAAAATAAGGGACCCCTAGTATAGACCCCAAATAGTAGGATCCCCCTTATGGTAAGGACCCCAATAAGGCACCCCCTAATATCTTAAACCCCCCATGTAGGGTAATATAGGGGTCGGAAAAAACTACTAATCATATTCCCTTATGGCCCTAAACCCTAAACCCTAAACCCTAATTCAGAAACCCCCAAATAGTATCCCTAAACACTGAAAGCCCTAAAACCCTAAGCCCTGAACCCTAAGCCCTAAACCCTAATTTCAGAAACCCCCAAATAGTATCCCTAAACACTAAAAGCCCTAAACCCTGAACCCTAAACACTAAACCCTAAACCCTAAACCCTAAACCCTAAACCCTAAACCCTAAACCCTAAACCCTAAACCCTAAACCCTAAACCCTAAACCCTAAACCCTAAACCCTAAACCATCATCATTAAGCTCCCCTTAGGGGAGCTTTGCCAAGGTGCGGGCGAGAAGAGGCTCAGGAGATGGAGCGCCTACAGGCCCGAGAGGATCAGTTTGCCGCGTGGCGCGCACTCAGCGAAAAAGCTCCTAAGTCAGGGTTTAGGGTTTAGGGACTGGGTTAGGGTTTAGGGTTTAGGGTTTGGGGTTTAGGGTTTAGGGTTTAGGGTTTAGGGTTTCGGGTTTAGGCTTAGTTTTTAGGGTTTAGGGTTTAGGGTTTAGCGTTCAGGCTTCAGGGTTCAGGGTTTAGGACCCCAGAGTAATCACCTACCTCCCTCTATGATTAACCCTCCCCTTTACCCCCTAATATTAAATACCACCCATGCTCTAATATAAGTAACTATCCTGGGAGTGTTTACTATTCGGGGGTTAGGGGGGGTTTTAATATATATTTTGGGGAGGGGATTAGGCCCTTCGTTCCTGTTTTTTAGGGTTCAGGGCCCTCTTCAAGAGGGTCTAGTGGCAGGGAATGAGGGAGTTAGGTATCTCACATCCCCCGTACATAAGCAGGACGTGCCATGTAGGGGCATACTTGGAGGTTCATGGGTACATATAACTCCACTTATAAATCTTCTTAGGGGGCTTATCAGTGCAGTCATAGTAGGGTCATAAGTGCCCTGAACCTCCAAGTAGAGGTCTTAAGGTGAGCACGAGCCAAGGAGGAGGAGCTCCAGCAGAAGAGTGACGAGCTGAAGAACCTCCAAGCACAGCTCCAGGCTCGCTGCTCTCTTTTCCTAAATAGCGACATGAACCCTACATGGGTTTATGGTTCATATACCTTTGTCGGAAGTATGGTAGTATAGGGTATTTGGCCCCTAAGGTCGTTGTTGCAGTAGTAAGCAGCCCTCAACATCCACCCCAACCCCCACCGTGAAGCTTGCCAGAACTTGCCGCAACACTCATGCCCTCGTAGATTCAAATGCAGTAGGGCGAGCTGGCTTCATGAAAGGGGCCTTGGAAGTATTTCACTCCGAAAACCACACCGGCAGGAAGTGAAGGAAACTCTGCAAGAAGCTGCGCACGACCGAGACGCAGCAGTTCGAAAGGTGAAGACCCTGGAGGCCTCATTTGAGTGGTACCAGAGCCCTGCATCTGGGTTGAGGGTTAGTTGAGGGGTATTGGTTTTTTTTGGGTTTTGGGTTTTTAGGGTTTAGAGTTTAGGGTTTAGGGAAGTTTAGGGTTTAGGGTTTGGGGGGGAGTTTGGGTTTAGGGTGCGGTGATCTTGCTGGCTGGTCATGGTGCTGCGGACGACCTCAGCCATCTTGGCACGGCTGGGCGTGGCCAGTGAGGCTGTGCATGATTTAGATCAAACCCATGCATGGACTCATGGATATGGGATGATCAGAAAGTCCCCTTATCATCACACAGAGCACTGCACATTCACAGGCATTGGAACGCCAAACCTTAGCTAGGAAACCTCTTCGTCGGAAGCCATGGACAACAGGCCTGCGGAAAAGAGACTCACACTGGAGGACTGGACATGGGTGCATATAAGCCCTCAACCCCAACCCATCCCAACCTTAAACGCAGCACGAGAGCCACAGCTTAGTGGTTTAGAGGACTTATGACTTAATGCCTTTGCGATGCTGAGGACGTGCAGCACGCCTTCAGCACAGCAATCAGATGGGACACCGAGTTCGTCGACGAGGTGCCGGGACGGAAGTTGATTGTAGAGACCGAAGCTTGAAGTCGTGTGGCTTAGTTAAACTAGTAGGGTTTAGGGTTCAGGGCTTCAGGGTTTCAGGTAGAAGGGCTCATTTTGCTTAAACATCATAGGGTTCAGGGATTAGGTTCCTGCTCAACTTCCCACATTCGCACAGGAACGTGCCTAGGTTTGTGAGGCGTAGGTTTAGGGTTTAGGGCCAGGGGCTTGGGGGATTGAAGCGCGAAGAGTCTTAAAAGCAGTTGTTATTGTTATTCGTTGGCATCGTGACCCCGGGCTCTGAAGCCAGCACTCGGGAAGCATCAAGCACCATGTCCTGAGAGCCCTCCAAGAATCCTGACTACTCACTCTGCTCGAAGCCTTCAAACCCTCCCCCTCACCTTACCTTGAAACCGCAATGCCCCCAAACCCTAAGCACCCACAAGCCCCACACCCTAAACCCTTCAGGAGGGTCTCGCTGAGCTGCCGGGCAAGCGTGGGAGGGGCGCAGGGAAACCCGTTCAGAGCGCCAAGGACGGCGCACTGGAAAAGACGGCCTTGAAGGGTTCGACTCCTAGGATATAATTCGGGGGAGAAGTGCCATTCAGGTGATACTCTGACTTACGGTACCCTACTTATAACTACCCACGAACCTTCAAGTAGAGGCACCGTTCCGTTTCTTGATGTCGGGTGCTTTTAACCCATCAACCCTATACCCTCAGGACCCGTAAGCCTGCCGCCGCAACCCTAAACTCGAGGAGCCTGGCGCAAAGGGTAGCAAGCGTCCGTCGAAGGCCTGGCTAGTGGTGACCAAACGGGGCCCTTTGGGATGTGGCAGAGAAAATGGTGCATGTTTCAGAGCTTTCCTCTCTCGACCTAAGTTCAATGATGCCCTCTTTCGATCCACGAGTCACGTCATGGGTTGCCCTGAAGGTGTCGCTCAAGCGGAACTCGAAGATGGAAGATCCCGAATGGATTCGAGCCAACAAGGAGGTGGCAAGAGAGCCAGTCGTAGCGGGGAGCGGTGACTGGCTGGTGGACTGCCTGCTGGAGGAGACAGACCCTCAGGTGGCCATGCGTCAGCTGGAGGAGCGGGAGGCCGCAGGTGACGTGGCACCCTTCTTCTGTGTGGCTCGAATTTGGGGTGGCGGTTGGGGAGGCCAGTGCCGGTTGCCCCATCTGCCCGGCATCGACTACTGCGAGTCGCACCAAGCGCAAGTCAAGCGCCAGGGGTACCTGACCCATGGCCGTATCGACGGCCCGATCCCGCCAAAGAAGCACCGGGAGTTTCGGACGGTTCAGCGCAGGCTTAGCGCATCCTCTGCAGGCTCGCACGGTGCCAGGGAGACCAACTGCGAGAAGCCAAAGCAGCCGATCCAGCGTAGCTTGTCCGAAGTCCTGGGTAGGACGGCGCCCAGCGCAAATGCCGCAGGCGCAAAACCTGCCAAGAAGCGAGGTTTGCTCGAGATCCTGCGGAGGGAGCCGAAAAATGCGCTGCGCGGGAGTTGCAACCTTGTTCGGCGTGTTAACGTGTGAGTGCGTGAGAGCCATCCCTACACCCTAAACCCTAAACCCTAAACCCTAAACCCTAAACCCTAAACCCTAAACCCTAAACCCTAGACCCTAAACCCTAAACCCTAAACCCTAAACCCTAAACCCTAAACCCTAAACCCTAAACCCTAAACCCTAAACCCTAAACCCTAAACCCTAAACCCTAAACCCTAAACCCTAAACCCTAACGAGCGCATCGCCAGTCTGTTGGTCAGGCTGGAGGTGCAAGTGGGCCACTCACTGGCAACGCTCCAGCTGCTGGTCAAGGCTTCAACACACGGTTTGAGATCCAAAAGTACGTGTCAAGAAGAACAACAATACGAATAAAACTACTAAGGAGAATTGGAATTTGAATAGTACGCATGAGAATGAGAATCGTCATGATACTATCAAGCGTAATAGGAACATCTCTGCGGTCTCTGCGCGCAGATGCAGGTGTAGCTTAGGTAATTACCCAGACTCTTCGAAGATTCCGTGCGTCAGATACAGGTTTAGGGTCTGGGGTTTCGGTCTTGGGGGCTTTTGGAGCCTCTGGGGCAGACGTAGAGGTTCAATGGCCTCATACCAGGAACAGCGCCGAGCGGCGTGGCCGCGCCCAGATCTCGGCCATGGCATGTGCTGCGGGTTTAGGCTTGGGCTTTGGCAATGCGCAGGGGGCTAGCCAGAGACCTTCCCAGGGACCCTACCACCATTTGTTACACAGGCGCTCTGGCTTTAGGTATGTTCGTTTTAGGGCAGTCGAAAGTTTAGAAGGGTCCCTTTTGGGCGGTCTTTCCTGGTATCCTTTCAAATGGGCATCTCTAATCTCTACCCTGTTTTTGTTTTCCAACTTGGTGTCGCAAGTCATTAGCCTCTTGTAGAGACACGAAGGGATCCACCCTCAACCCTCAACCCTCAACCCTCAACCCTCAACCCTCAACCCTAAACCCTACACCCTAAACCCTAAGCCCTAGGGTTTAGGGACCCTAAATCAAGGCCGGAGTCGGTTTCAGAGCGCGACGCTCTCCGGCTGAAGTGGGAGCGTGAGGACGCCGTTTTCTGAAGGTTTAGGGTTTAGGGTTTAGGGTTTAGGGTTCAGGGTCTAGGGGTCTAGGGGTCTAGGGGTTAGGGGTTAGGGTTTAGGGTTTAGGGTTTAGGGTTTAGGGTTTAGGGTTTAGGTTTGTAAGAACCCAAACCAGGGTGATAGGGGTAGAAGTGCCATAAACAAGGCCATCGGCTATCATTCAGGTTACCTTACTTCGTTGGGTCACTTGGGGCTTAGGTTCTTAGGTAGGGGTTGAGGGTTTTGGCCCTTGGGGTTAAACGTTAAAAGGGTTCACAGTTAAGGGTTTCGGATTTAAGGTTTTAGGGTTTGGGAGGCTCAGGGATTGGGGTTTTGGGGCTGGACTTCCTAGAGGGATGGGGCCCAGGGCTGAATCCCACCCCGAAGTGCCGAAACCCCAAACCCCTAGTTTCTAAACCCTGAACGCCTAAATCCCTAAACCCTAAAATCCCTAAACCCTAAACCCCTAAACCCCTAAACCCCAAACACCTAAACCCCAAATTCCTACACCCCAAAAACACCCAAAATCCCTAAACCCTAAACCCCTAAGACATCCTAACCCCCCCTAAATTCCTAAACCCCCAAGACCTCCTATACCCACCGAAAACCCTAAACCCCTAAAACCTCCTAAGCCCCCCCCCACCCCCCCCCCACCCCCCCCCCCCACCCCCCCCCCCCCCACCCCCCCCCCCCACCCCCCCCCCCCCCCCCCCCCCCCCACCCCCCCCCCCCCCCCCCCCCATAACCCTAAACAGGAGCTGTCAGAGCGCTGTGAGCGCCAAGCCACGCAGATCAAGGACTTGGAAGCCAAGGGAGCCCAGGCAGCGCAGGGTTTAGGGTTTAGGGTTTAGGGTTTAGGGTTTAGGGTTTAGGGTTTAGGGTTTAGGGTTTAGGGTTTAGGGTTTAGGGTTTAGGGTTTAGGGTTCCGGGGAGTTAGGGGAGTTCGGGGCGTTCGGGGGGAGTTCGGCAGTTAGGGGGAGTTAAGGGAGTTAGGAGATCAGGGGAGTTAGGGGATTTCGTGGAGTTAGGGAAGTTAGGGGAGTTCGGGTTAGGGGAGTAGTTTAGGATGGTCACGGGGTCTTAGGGCTGTGGAGCGGGGCCTTGTGGCTTTTGGGGCCTCCGGGCTTTAGGTTTTTTGGGTTGCTATGATTATGGTTTTTGGTTGGGTGGGGGGGTGGAGAGTGACGAGGACGGGTCAAAGTAGCTCAAGTTGTTTTGGCCCAGCCCGAAGCACTTAACACCAAAATCCCACCATCCCTGTACTTCCCCCAGAGCCTCGGTTAATCCCCTCTCCTAAACAAAGGTTTTAGGGTTCAGGCCTTAGGGTTTACAGCCTAACGTCCTTGAACCCTTCAACCTATGAAGCCGCAACCGCTTTGTAACCCTTCACCCTAGGCCCTAGGCCTCCTCAAAACGTCCCTTAAACCCAAACCCTAAAAGAACTATATATATATATATGTGTATAAGTATATGAGCATATATATATATATATGTATATATATATATGATATACGTGTATATATATATATATATGGACACACCCCCCCCCCCATGACCCACCCAGATCTGTTTCCCTCGTAAATACCGTTTAAAACCCGATCGTGCCCTATGCCGTTTTTTGCTACTCTCAGTGGCTGTATCTCGACAAAACAGACCCCACACGGCCCACAAGACTGGACGCCGAGACGCGCGAGACCAAAAAAACAAAAAAAACATCTTTTTTAGAGAATGGGGAGGGGATGTTGAAAAAGATGGTTTTTTTGGTTTTGCCTCGTAAAAAGATGGTTTTTCATAGAAAACCAACTTTTCCCACGTAAAAAGATGGTTTTGGTCTGGACTGCCTCAGGAAAACCATCTTTTTGCGACGTAAAAGTTGGTTTTTGGCTCCAAAACCATCTTTTACGAGGCAAAACCAAAAAACCAAAAAACCATCTTTTTTAGAGAATGGGGAGGGGATGTTGAAAAAGATGGTTTTTTTGGTTTTGCCTCGTAAAAAGATGGTTTTTCATAGGAAAACCAACTTGTCCTACGTAAAAAGATGGTTTTGGTCTGGACTGCCTCAGGAAAACCATCTTTTTGCGAGGTAAAAGTTGGTTTTTGGCTCCAACACCATCTTTTACGAGGCAAAACCAAAAAACCAAAAAAACCATCTTTTTTAGAGAATGGGGAGGGGATGTTGAAAAGATGTTTTTTTTGGTTTTGCCTCGTAAAAAGATGGTTTTCCATAGCAAAACCAACTTTTTCCACGTAAAAAAGATGGTTTTGGTCTGGTCTGCCTCAGGAAAACCATCTTTTTACGAGGGAAAAGTTGGTTTTTGGCTCCAAAACCATCTTTTTACGAGGTAAAAGTTGGTTTTTGTGTCCAAAACCATCTTTTTACGTGGGAAAAGTTGGTTTTGCTATGGAAAACCATCTTTTTACGAGGCAAAACCAAAAAAACAATCTTTTTCAAAATCCCCTCCCCATTCTCTAACAAAGATGGTTTTTTTGGTTTTTTGGTTTTGCCTCGTAAAAGATGGTTTTGGAGCCAAAAACCAACTTTTACCTCGCAAAAAGATGGTTTTCCTGAGGCAGTCCAGACCAAAACCATCTTTTTACGTGGGACAAGTTGGTTTTCCTATGAAAAACCATCTTTTTACGAGGCAAAACCAAAAAAAACATCTTTTCAACATCCCCTCCCCATTCTCTAAAAAAGATGGTTTTTTTGGTTTTTTGGTTTTGCCTCGTAAAAGATGGTTTTGGAGCCAAAAACCAACTTTTACCTCGCAAAATGATGGTTTTGGCGTGGTGTTCTTAAGGAAAACCATCCTTTTGCGAGGGAAAAATTGGTTTTCCTGTGAAAAACCATCTTTTACGAGGCAAAACCAAAAAAACATCTTTTTCAAAATCCCCTCCCCATTCTCCAAAAAAGATTGTTTTTTTGGTTTTTTGGTTTTGCCTCGTACCTCTCTCGGGCCAGAACCGTTCAGCTCTACATGTAGCTATGCTTGGAGGCTCGTTGGTTTTGGTCAGTCTTATATTAATCTCAGCAATAGCATTCCTATTAATGTAAAAGGGTTCCTAACCATCTTTATAGGACTTCTTTTCATTTTACTTATATTCTTATGAACTTTCAGAGGGTTCTTATTCAACATCAGAGGATTCCTAATACTTTTCAATAGGGTTCTTATGCATTTCAACAAGGTTCTTAATCATTTTCAAGTGGCTCTTTTTAATTCCTACAGGGTTCCTCTGAAATTAAAAATCTTTTTAAGATTCATATTGATTTTAGTGAGTCTCCAAGTAATTTTAATTGTATTCTTAGAAAATTGAATAGCATTCCTCGTCCTATTAATTCTAATAGGAATCACATTAAGTCTAACAGGAAGCCAAGAAATTTTGAAAAGGAACCACATTGAATTTTGTAGGATTCCTATTGGTTCCTATTAATTATTAGTAGGGTTCCTCTTCATTTTAAAAGGATTCCTATCAATTGGTTATTGGATTCTTAAAAATTTTACTGGGGTTCCTAATATATCCGATGAAGGTCAAAGGGTTCCTGACCATCTTAATGGGACTCCTCTACCGTTTCAGAATATTCTTATGAATTTTCATAGGGTTCTTATTCAATGTAGAAGGATTCCTAATACGTTTTTGTAAACAGGGTTCTTATGAATTTCAACAAGGTTCTCAATCGTTTTAAAGTGGCTTCTTTTAGTTTCAATAGGGGTCCATCTGAAAATGAAAAGGGCTCATACTTCTTTTTAGGATTCCTATTGGTTCCTATTCATGTTTGCAAAGTAATTGGAATGGTTTTTTCTGGAGATTTGAATAGCATTCCTGTCCCATTAATTCTAATAGGAATCACATGAATTCTAACAGGAAGCCTAGAAATCCGAACCGCATTTATTTTTATAGGATTCCTATTGGTTCCTATTAATTTAGTAGGATTTCTCTCCATTTT